GCCCTGGTCCAGTTCTCGAAGCATCCTAAGCTCAAAGAGACGGACAGTGTGTTTGTGGTCATCATGTCTCACGGCAAACGTGGAGCTGTCTATGGTGTCGATGATGATGAACTTCAAATTGACAACATTTACGAGCACCTGAGTACCAAAAACTGCCCAGAGCTGGTGGACAAACCCAAGATCATCATGATCCAGGCCTGCAGAGGAGGCATGTCTCCTTCCACATCACATCAGTGGACAAACTGTGGCTTTTATCAAGACAAATAGACGATATCTGTAGTTGTGATTTGTTTCACAATTCTCACCAGACACACATTTTATTGCACTAGTTTAAAGAAATATCTAAATGCATTTTTCCAGATAATGACTGCAATTCAAATGAGGAACAATTGACAACTGAAAAATAATGTTTTGACATGTTTCATTATTAGATATTAGATTATTATTAGAGTTAGCAGATAAGAATGTCTCAAATGAAGGGAAATACAATCTTATTGAATCTTAGCCTATTTTTTTTATACATTTTACTGCAATCCTTGTATTTCTGAGCTTGTCTCCTTGTTTTAGAACTCAAAAAACACAGAATAAGATAATTTGCTGTTTGTAAAGAAAACAAAATAATTGTAGGCTGGTTTGCAGCCACTAAAATGGTGATTGCTATTGCAATTAATGGATCACGTAAATCATGTTTTATCCAGTGGTAAAAGTAACAGAATCTAAATTGGCTCTTGTGACGCAGGTCAGTGCAGTAGTAACAACACAATTGAAAGTCAGTGTAAAAAAGTGTTCGTTTATACAGTTTGAAATGAAATGTTTTCATGATTTACATTTCCAGCACAACATGGAGCAGTGATCAAACATGACGACCATAAACCTCTTATGGAAGTGGATAGTCACAATGCAGTCGGAGGAGACATCGAGGAGGATACAATTCGCTTCTTACACAAAGAAAAAGATTTCATTGCTCTTCTCTCTTGCACCCCTGGTAAGTCTAATATTAGTAATGGATTAAAAAAAATCAGTTTTAAATTATGTTTTCTTTTTACTAGATACTGTGTCATACAGAGATAAATCCAAAGGCTCTTTCCTCATTCAGTTCACCGTTGAGGTTTTCGATGAATTTGCACAAACCTGTCACATTGAGGAGCTCTTCCAAAAGGTCGGTTGTATTTATATAGTTAGTACATTCTTATTTCATGCTTTTGTAACTGACAACTATTGCTTGTTCTGTAGATCATGAAGAAATTTGCAGATTTACATTGTAAGTGGAAGCAGATGCCCACTAAAGATAGATGTACTACTCCTCGTAATTTTTACTTTTATCCATGAGTCGAACTATAGCAAGTACGTTAAGGCATTACCCGGCCCAACAAACATACTAACAATGTTCTGAGTGTCAACCTTTACTGTTTGACTGTAGCTTTATTTCGCTCAGCAACCTTCCCATCAGAATCCATGGCCATGCTAAATATATGCAGTATATATGCTAAATACAGTGTGCATTCACATTGAAGTATGGTTGTATTTCAATAATGGGATAATTATTTAATGATAAAGTTAAAAAAAACGAACACGTTTTAAAAAAAAATTCCAGACAAAGTTTACTTGAAAAAAAGTCTCAAACACAACACAAGGCAACAATCATATAGACAATGTGACCCATCAATCATGCACTTTCTTGTTCAAAATAGGCTGACAGACGACAGATTAAAGCTCAGGGATTGAACAGAATAATACTAATAAAAATTCAGTACAATTGGAGTTAAACATCTTATTTCATTTGAACATACTGGCAGTGTTAGCAAGACTTATCTTACTCAGCATAAGATCAAAACAAGAGGCTTCCACTTCACTGGAGCTAGAAATGCAGAGGTTAGTTTGATGTGTCATTTTCCAGGTGAAGAAAATCTGTTATTTTGTATCCGCAAACTTTATATATAATAGTTAAGCAATGTATTTTTATAATGCCCATTTTAATTAAACATTACTAAAAGTGCATTATTGTTTTAATGTAATTTTTCTAAACAATCAGATGCATCTTTGTCTTGCTTCTGGAATTCACAGAGGGGAACCATTTCAAACACTGTAAACTTATATAGTTTAAAACTCCAAATGGTATAGTCACTTGACAATATTAAAAGTATTCCCCAATTTTCCAAGTGAGATTCAAACGATTGCATTAAAAGGAATAAGTAGTGAGTAAAACAGACAACATAACGGACACTGTTGAATACTGGCTTCTTACTGTCAAAGCTGGAATGTGTCATTATTAGTGTGCCTTTTCTTTTTTGTGACGGCATGACTTTACGATACTCAAGATAACAGTTTGCAGCACCACAGGTTTACAAAAACAACTCATGCAAAAAAACACCTCCAGCCTTTATCCGCTGAATCCAATACATTGTGCGTCATGTTGGAGGCACGTTGCGTTTGACCCGAAACTGTAAACGTGAAGTGTGTTTTTGCTCTTTTGCTGTCGCCATTGTCTCTAACCGAGTGTGCCCCCGACAATGGAAGCCACCACAATGCCCAGGATCACACAGCATATAATGATCATGATTTTCTTCTGTTCAATGAAAACATGTGGTGTGCATCCGAAGCAGCAGTAAAGACACAGAAAGAAGTTTGTTAGAACAACTCTGCTGTACTGCACATTCAGACAATGTGAGATTATGAAAAGACTGGACATTAAAAGGATGCAGTCACATTACAAATCAAATGATTAGAAATGACACAGTATTTGACTGGTTCCTACTACAGCTGGTTCCTGTAGGGGAGTTAGTTGGAGAAGCCTGTGTATGTTTTTGCATGAGACTAAATTTGAAATGTGACTTAGTCCTTTTTAAATCCCAGCCCTTGCTTTTCTTACAAATACTATCCATCAATACATCTAAAATGATCACAATGTCACATTTAGTAGCAGAGACAAGCAGCAGCATGGACACACAACTGGACAACAGCTACATGCATCTGCAGCAGTGGGTCCCCTTTTTTTGTGTTGTTCGAACGGAAGATTGGAGACCTTTATCTGATCTAAAACGTTCATGTGCAGAAATTATGGTCCGCAATCTCCAGAACCGCGGATTGGGAACCATTGATCTGCAGCACATCCAGAGTTCACTTTGAGTTTACTTTGATTCTCATCAATAGCTCATCAATCAACACTTAAAAATGTGCTAAAAAATAATGATTAAATTTGCAGTAAAGACAGTTTTACTTACTGCATTTCTTTAAATAAATATAGGGTGTGTATAATTACAAAAAACATCTCTTGTTCCCTTAAGTTAGACCCAGTGTCAAGGCAATAATGACAATGGCCAGACAAACAGCAATGCATCCTCCAATTAGGATCACTTTCTGAAATGAGAAACAGAAAATGTGAACAAAAATAGCCTGTTCTGCTTTAACTGATGCAAAATACACAAAGGGGGAAAGGAAAGCGCTGAAGAAATCCTATTCTGTAGTGTATGTTATTACCACTAAGAGCCAAGAGGGGGCACAGTCGCTCTCTTCTAAACCAGACCTTCAATTATAGTCAACATTTCTTGCCCAAATGAACTCAGTCCCTACAGTCACACTACACTTTTCATGCCACAGAGTCAGCAGCACAGACATATGTTTCCAGGGGACAATTACTCAAACATGCATCGGGCTGATATGACTCACCCTCCTCGCTTTGCTCTGGTATTTTACTGCCTTCTTAGTGTCTGATACTGCCCTTTCCACATAGTCTACCGAGTGCTCCACATTGTACTCTATGCGATCTATCATTTCACCCTTTTCCAAGATGGAGATCCGTATAAAGTTGAGGATTACGAGCAGCAGTGGGGAAAATGGAGGAAAAAGAGAATTGTTAGTTGTAATATGTTAGTGCAATGTCCTACCTTTTTAGGTTTTTTAAACTTTTTGCATTTGGGTATGTTCTCCTTGGCATTTTCTACATAGTTCTGAGCTCCTAAAACACAGTGCTCAATGTTGTTCACCAGGTCACCCTGCATGGAAGGGGAGATTAGTTAGTCCAAAAGTTTATCTGATAAGGCTCAAGGTAAAAGATTGAGATTCGTGTAGTTTTATGCAAAGTGCTGTGTCCATCTTGCTCCTCCTTGGTTCGATTCCACGTCCAGACAGGGCCTTTCTGTGCGGTCTACACATGTCTGTGTAGGTTTCCTCCAGGTGCTAGAGTTTATCCTACTAATAAAACATATACACTAGCTCTCCTCTGTCTGGGGCCAGGTTTGTATCTTAAGGATTTGTGTTCTTAGCTCTGAATTTGAGTTTATCGACTGGTTCAAGCTATGGGACAAGCACTTTGCATATCATTGCGAACAATTACATTACCTGGCCATATGCTTTCTTGTGCTCGGTGCATTTTTTTTGAATGGAAATAAATAGTTTGAAAAGAGAACCAGGCAAGGACAGACAAATTAAAGACTCCATCCCATTCGTGTGCTTGGTACCCTTATTGAAAAGAAATTGTTAGTTGATCAAAATAATTGCAAAATTAAGTGGATTAGTTGTAAGAATAACAAATGCATTCGATATAAGGCCCTTTCAGACATGCTCCTGCTCTCCAAGTAAATAGTTCTGATAAAATGGTTCTCAGTGGGGGTCCAGCCCACACAATCATGTTCACAATCACAAGCTGCAGGTCCTTGCATTACCTCAGGCTGCACAGAACCAATGCATTATGGGAAACATACAGGCAAATAGTTCCAATGTGTTAGATGAAAATACAGCAAAGAAAGAAGACCACATTTCACCACAGGTGAAAACAAATTTGTCCTTGTCTATTATTACCAGCATATTTTGCAAATAAGGAAACAGATGGAGCTGAACACACTATCATTCCAACTCATTTGGCAAAGATTACTTTTAATGTAAAATTTGTGTTTGTAGTTTAGGCTCTTTGTCATGTTGTCCTTTAGGCATGTTATCTGTTGGTGAACATCCTGATCATGACAAAAAGTCTGGATCAGTGAATTTTAACCACTCTCCCATGTGTCTATTGATGCCACAAACATATAGAAGAACTAAGTAATTGTTGAAGCTCCTTCACTCCGCATGTACAGTAAATAATCTATATCTAAAATAAATAATAAAAATAACTATAGCCACAAGTGGCAGTGATTGTGTATATAAGCCTCTGCTAGTTATGAAGCATCACGACCATTTGTTTTACATTTCACACACAGGAACTTAACACGTGTATGAAACATAGTAAGCCAAATACATTATTACAGAGACATACAGAGAAAAATTTTGCCATTCATTTGTTAAAATACTGCAGCTGTGCCACACAGACGTCTGAATAAAGTTTGTATTTGCTAATGATGGGATATGAATGTTTCCATGAACAAAATAGAAATCATTGCCACGGCAACACAATAACAAATATGGCATGGGTCCCATTGACTTTTTTGATTGGGATGCCAAAAACTCGGCCACTCACACAGTGGCCGAGTGCATTTAACCAGCTGATTTCACAGATTTGGTAAATTTCAACATGGGGATTTTCTGTCATCGCTACGGCAACATGGTAAGAAATAAGGCATGGGTCTCATTGAGTTTTTTGATCGAGATGCCAAAACTGAATTTTGTGCAAAAGTTCAGCGATACTGTAAAATAACTGCCCCATAATAAAAATCTTTTACTTTGTCGAGGGACTCTAACGGATAAAAGAAAACTTTGAAATAAAAGAATAGAATAGAAAATTATATTTCCATGGTCACATTTGTCCAATCCCAAACTCTAGTTTTAAAGTTTAGAGGTGAAAAATGTCCTCAAGGTCAGACAAATTTGAACATTCTTGTAACAAATGCTCTCTACTGCCTTATTTAGGTTTATCTAATCTAATACACTAGAAACTATCAACTCTCTAGAAAACCAACACAATTATCATTCACAGTCATTCCAGTTTACATCCAGTTTAAAACAAACTTTGTGTATTATATGTATATTATACTGGGATGTTTTACCTGACTTTCCACCAGCATAGCCATGTCCATGAACATGTCATGCAGTTCTCGGATACTGTTCTCCAGTTTGATAATTTCGTTGTGCCGTGTCTCAATCTCATTCATGGCTTGTTCTGTGATGTTGTCCATGATGATCTGTAGAAGTGCGTCGAACAGAGAAGAGTGAGCAAGAGACATTTCAATCTGAAATAAAGTCTCACACTGAGCCGCTCACTCCAGAAGTGAAGATCGCCGGGTTGTCACTTTCCAACATGCTTTCTAATTCTTCGTTTGTTGTCTTTCGTCCGGCTGTAAAACAAAAACAAAAGATGATACATTTGCAAAGAATGGACAAACACACACACAAGCACATAAGGAGCCCTTTGAAGCTCTAAACACGGTCCATCTGTGCCTCTCTTAGCGCTATATTATTTTAGGAAGCAATCTGGAGATTGTTGTCGAATTCTCGCTGGCGATACCTTCCAATTTTTGTCAAAAGATTGCTGCAGACTTAACACCCAATGTGCGTTCCAATGGAACCCTTCCATTTACACAGATTTGGAGATCAGAACAAAAGAACGACACATGGCTTAGGAGTGGATTCATTTATTTGAATTAATTACTGTACCTGCCTCTAATGATAATGCATACTAGTCATAGTGATTTCCATGACACCCCAAGATGCTTCACATACATGGTGGTGGTAAACTACAGCTGACGAAAGCAATCGAGGGGGTTGTCATTCAACCCCCGACCACCACCAATAATTTATGCACACACCAGACTCATACTAGGCTACATATTATACTACAATATGAGTTAAGTATCTTACTTAAGGACACAACAACATTTAATCTCCACTGTGGCACTTGGTGTTCCCAGAGGTCTCCCATCACAGTACTAACCAGGCCCTGCCCTACTTAGCCTCTGAGGTCTGACGGGATCTTGCTTTCACATGCAGGTATGGCTCTAAAAAAATCAATTCACCTGTCATTCTAATTGTAGAAAAACTGCATGGCTCTTTGTAACTGTGAGGGAGGGTCGACAAACTGCATGGGTTTGTTATTGATTACATTCTGCACGGATTGGTCTCTGCTAAAACTGCTGCCCCTATGACCCGGCAATGGATAAAGTGGCAGAAAATGGCTGGATCATGCATTGATGTAAAATGCATAATGACACTTGTGATGGAGATTGGCTATCACTTTCTCGTCTTCAAAAGCCAATAAAATCTAAAGACACAGAGACTTCAATAAATCTAGACATTGCAATAACAGATTCAGGAGGCCACATATTTCTTGTCCCGGAGTTTCTTCCTAAAAAAACATCAGTTTCATCTACAGCCCTTCAATAAGATTTTATTATAGTGGCAAATTTTTTGTGAATATCAATTTGTTCTTTGTCATATTGTCTCAGTGTCGCTTGCTTTGTGGACCATTCGTTTTTCTGACATTTATGCAGCGATGGGAATTGCTTTCACCAACAGAATGCTGATGAGAAACTTCCTCAAGTTGATCACATTCTGTCCCTTTTCAGCTGGGAATCCTATCAATACTTCAACTTGTCAATCTTCATTATTATTCAATTATTGTCAAATCCGAAATATGAGAATGTGCAAGATGAAGGCCACAGAGCAGGAAAGGGCATCAGATCACGTTGGACTGACGTCACGTGTCATCAACGACAAAGTGACCTTAAACGAGCTCGGAGGTGACATCAGATATGCTTTTGGACACATCCTGCAGATAAAGGGCAGATATGGTGCCATTTCAGTCAATTTATCCCCAATCCCACATACACACACACACACGGTACATTTATATTTGACAGGCGATGGCGGAGGCTCTTATTAGTTACCATGGAGACCCAAACCCTGAGAAATGCAAGCCAAGAAAGTCGTACTTCACCAGTGTGCTCGCGGGCTGTTAAATCATTCATATGTTTCTACCAATTACAGGATTATTAAATTTCCATTGTTATGTAATACAAAGGAAGTGAGAGCTCAGAGGAAATATTGAAAAGACATTGCAGACACAGACATAGACAAAAAAAACGGACACACAAAAAGACACTGACACGGACACACAAAAAGACACTGACACGGACACACAAAAAGACACTGACACGGACACAGACACTGACAGGTCGGTCGTGGCAGGATCTGGCTGTAACATACAAAGCACTGAGTGGATTGCTTAGATTAATGGTGTAGAAGCCTGTTGAGAAAGAATAATAAGTCCTAATTGTAGAAATGATGAAATGTTCGGATGGATGTCTACAGTTCTGTCAATAACCGTTGTAAAAATGAACCACGGTTGTCATTAGGGCTGATTCAGCAGAACGATGAAGAAGGATCAAATGTCATATCTCTATGTTGATTCCAGATATCGGGTTATCAACATGATACGCTATAACTACATGTTCAATGTCCTCTTTTGTTGCATTTAATGCATTTGCATTAAATGCAACACATTCCCCCATGCAAGACGTGTTGGGGGTCACTAACATCTTTTGAGTCAGCGAGAGTGTGGTCTGCTCGTAGATCAGCTGGAGGGAGGGAACTTCAGCTCCAATGATCTTGCCGTTTATACCAGCCTCTGGATTTTGGATTTGTCCTACACAGAGCGCTCTGAAGCAGACTGCCATGCAGTATCTCAGACAGTTTCCAAAGAGAGGGCTGTTGTAAATAAACACTATTTTTGTCCACACTCCAAATAGTGGCAAGTGTCACAGAAAGTGTCATCTCGGGGGCAGTTTTGCGCAGCAAAAGTCAGCCTCATCACTACATTTGAGTGATGAGACTACAACAGCAGTCCTGCGCGCACCAACAGTACCAGAGAGGTATTTAGCCATCTGATGATAGCCTCGTGGGTACCATCTGATGATAGCCTCAAGGTACCATCTGATGATAGCCTCAAGGTACCATCTGATGATAGCCTCGTGGGTACCATCTGATGATAGCCTCGTGGGTACCATCTGATGGCTGCCAGACAACCAGACTGTTATCTTGCTTTCAGTTACTGTACCTTTGGGTATAATGGCAATGGGATGATACCCTTGTGGGTACATATGACAGCCATTGTACTTTATTTGTCTGAATTTTTTTGTCACACCTTATATATTTATTTATGATTGATTGTATTGCCAAGGATTACAAACGGGTTAGGGTTTGTTGATGTTGTGTGTTTTGTACCTTTTCACACATACACACACATACACACAAACCGCCCCCTCTCTCTGGAGCCAGGACCTAAAAAAGAGATTCTCTAATCTCAGTCTCTTTCCTGGTTAAATAAAGGTTATTATATAACACCAGTACATATCCACTGCTGTCTGGTCTCCTCCTCTGCCATGTCCCAGCAGACCCAAGCGTACTGTGAGGGTCTGCTGGGAAAGTCTGGCAGATCCCCTGATCTGCGGCATCTTTAACTCAAATCTGGGACATTTGAGTCCAAATGGAACATGATGTGGCCCAATAATGGCTCGTCAAATTCAGGAAGAGCAGCGTGTTTTTTGTTCTGGCTTGGAACACTGAAACCAGCTCTATACCCTCCATTTGACATCAGGTATGTTTTACCTGTGGTGTCTCTGGGGGGCTCTTTGCTGACGACTGGCCAGTGCCTTTATGAGTTGTGTTCCCTTTGTCGGGAGTAAGGCAGACCTTAATTGCCGACCACAAAATCTCATCTGTGTTGGATGAAACCACTACTACAAGAAAAAGATGCGGTCTCCTCACAGCATGCAATCTGAAGTCTACAACATTTGAGGTGTTTGCTAATAGGTCCATTGTTTTATTCATTTACCATATTTTTGTTGTAGAAAAACCTCTACGGACCATAAGAACATGCCAACTCTGATAAAGGCCCCAGCTGCCCTGCGTGTCAATCAAACCCACTACCATCTTCATGTGAGCATTAGAGACTAGTGTTCTGCCCGTTAGAGCCAAACTAAATGTAATAACATTACCAGAAATGTTCTGTCATGTGCTTAAAACCAACATGGAGATATTTGAGAGAGTTGACAGAATGTGTCAGTCTGTCAGAGCTTTAGTGTAGAAACAGGTCTGAAGTACGAGGCGAGACGTGGGAGAGGAAATATCGATATTCAATCCGACAGACCAGACTGTGTCCCTCTGAGAGTGATACAAGCTGATTGATTTACACCACAGTAAAAGCTTCCACAGCTAGAACAAAGCACTGTTTAACTAATCCTGTTAGATCAGATCTAACGGTAATGTCAGGAGACAACTTGTGGAGCAAAAGACAACGCTTCAGTTCTCTCCTTGTCGCTTTACACTCTCTTCCCTAAGGACAGGCCCCATCAGCAGAGGCCCCCTGTGATTAAAGCAGCTGACAGTCAGATCCTAGCACTGTGTGTTTGCAGAGAGTGCTCTTCAAACACTGCAAAAAAAAGTCTAATAAAAAAATTGAAAATATGTGCCAGGTCTAAGCAAAAATGCAGGTTTCCTCCTGTAGTCCCGAGACTGATTTATTATATAATGACAGAAAGACAACAGTTTGAGCGTCCATTTATTTACATACAACAATCAGTTTTCAGCCATGATCAATTTAAGATAGAATCAAAACAACACACACACACACGCTGTCTGATGTACTTACTGATCTCCAGTTGTCTCTGGATGCGGCCTTTGCAGCGCTCTCTGTAGTCCGACTGAGTGGTGTTGTACTCAGACATCACTTCTACAAACTTACGGGACAGTGTGGAGTGCTGCAAAAACAAACATGAAAGTTTCACTTGTTCACAACAACGTCCACGGCTCATGGTTCATACCTGTGTCTTGCGTATTCTCAGATCTGCTGATGATCTGTTCTGTCCTTCTTCTTGTTCAATAGTTTGCTGAATACCTGTTGCACAATTATACAATGTTGTTCAATATAATATTTGAGTTTTACAAAGTATTTTTTGTGTTTGTGACTTCATAAGTACATTATGGAGTCACATAATACTCCACTAGCTTATTTGATGTAAATATATTGAAGTAAATATATTGATTCCAGTGCAGAGGAAAACTGAACACATCTTTCTAGTATGTTGTACACAGAAAAAAAAACTCACTGACTTTTTAGTTTGGAACGAATTTTATTGGCCAGCTTCTTGATGTCTGTCATGAGGTCCTCTAGTTCGGCCTTAGTTTCTGTAAAAAAACAAACACAAAAAAACAACCAATTACTGTGTGTGTTAGTATCTATTACAAAAGATACATTTTGAAAGGATTTTAGGAGCCCTTTACGAGGCGTGTGTACGACAGCTACGTGCTGAGACTGCGCTCTCCTAATCTATCTGCAAAAACCACTGCTGCATGTGGCCCAATGGTCACAATACTCTGGAAACGGTTTTGCCAAATATCTGAAGCTTTAATTGATGCAAAAAAAAAAAAAAAAAAAACACAGAAGTCACTTGCAGCTCCTCACCAAAACATTTCTGAATTCAACAAGCAGCTCAGTGACTCAAGGACACAAAAATAACTGAAAAGGGAGAAAATATCTAAGTGTAAAGCAGCTGGAGGAAGTGTGTGTGGATAGGGAAGTCTTTGCTTCCACTGCTGCCCCCGCCACCCGTATTCGGATGTGTAATTATGGTCTATAAAACTCGTAATGGACTTGCCCCGCTCCCATTGCAGGAGCTCATACAGCTGAATGTAAATTCAAACACACGGTCATCAAGCAGAGGAGACTGCAAAATCCCATTTAGACCTCATTTAAGAATTTTTTTTGGACAATATGCCTTCTCAGTTCCAGCAGCACACGCCTGGAACTTGATCCCGATAGAACTGAGGAACCTGACCTCAACCCACACTTTTAAAAACTCTGTAAAGAAGTGGCTTGTGGGCGATCAAAAATGTGAACACAACATGGTCTAAAGTCATAACCACTGACACCTTGCTTTGTGGAAAATTGTGGTGTTTTGTGTATTGTCCCGCTGATCTTTTATATATGCTTTTACATGGTACAACGGATTAAAATTAGCCTACATGGCTAACTCTGGCACATTTACATGTTGATTAATGTGCACTATCCCAATTCAGATTAAAAAAATAAAAATAAAATAAGAAGGATGGATGTAAAACAACCACCTTATTTTACTGCTGGATTGACGGGTGACGTTGGGGGTTAGTGAAAATGTCTTTTCAACTTTAAAACTAGGGACAGGATACGTACAACATTTGTCCTCTTTCTGTTCCTGTTTGTCCATGAATGTACAGACACTATATATAATGTAAGTAATATGATGACATGGACAAATAAATGAATAAATACATACATACAACTTTCTTCAACCAGAAAACTACTAATTGAATACATCAATGTTGATTTAACTTTACACTATTCTAATCATTAAAACCAAACATGTATTTTTATTAAAGCACTAATAAGAGCACAAGAATTAAAATGAGACACAAACAGAAACTAGTCTCTTGGAGGACATTCATCAGCGTAATGCCATAGAAGACAGGTCTGCATAAACTAACAGGCCTCAGTAAAACAGCCGACACAGAACATGTAAGGTTATTTAATCAAACTCAAGCGCTCCCCACTGCCCTAAGTCCGTAACAGTAATTACTTTGCATATTGCACTGTACCATCTATTTTTAATAAGCGCTAGGCATATAAATGATTCATATGAAAAATCAAAGTTACCTCAGATAATACATTAAACAGTAGGTATTTGTGTGAGCCCTGTCCATAGATGTTGATATATCGTTTTTAAGTCTTTTAAGTCTCCTCTTTACCTAGAAATACTTTGAATATAGAATGTAGAAGTTTAATATATTACTTGATTAAACAAAGATAATAATTGATAGATGACTTGTTTACTGCAATAATCGATAGCTGCAGACCCATTACCTCTGCTGCCGTTTGGTGATTAACAAAAGCCCTCCTGTTTAAATACCAGCAGATTCCGGCCATGAGCTGGAGGCAAAAGCAAACAGTCCAGAGATAAAGCTGTGCATGGGACACTGATTACAGTGGCTTTGGTTTGCTGCTGATTACAAAGACATCTTCTTATGTGTCTGTGATGTACAGTATGTCGTCTCTTTTGGATACAATAATAAGAATTGATTAGTAATTAAATGATTTTCTCGTGCAGTTGTGATCATACCCTGAAAGATTGCATGCCTTCATGAGCGATTTAGAGAATATGATTGAATAAATTCAAAGGACATTACCCAAATAATCTGGATGAAAATAGGGAAAACAAATCTCTTCCAATTTATATTCTTAAAAAATGGTAAACAAATCATACATTCTGTAATAACTGTATCCACATAAAGCAGTCTGAACCAGCAGCAGAGGAGCTGAGGCCCTGATGGCGAGTGGGATACCGACCGATGGACTGCTCAAGTCAAAGATTTGATCATATTACTGGAGGGAAGACCTCTCTCAACTTTAGTGCCTCTTACAGTCCGGAAATGATTTTTATAACATTATTGCAAATGTTAATGCAATGCATTAATGCAAACATATTGAATGACCAAGTAAGGTATTGAGAAAAGTAATTTCAGTTGTGAGTTGATTGTAGCTACAGATGCTCTTGTGCAGTGTCACTGTATTTCACATCATTTACATTGGATTCATTGTTAAATGTATTTAACAAAAAAGGCTGTTTCTCTGGTATTATAATATCAGATTTGGGCGGTTAATCGTGAGTAGTGTGAAATAGTTATTGTGTATATAAAACGTACACAAACGGAAATAAACAGTTTGAAAAGGGGTTGGACGAGGCAACAGTATTGGTATAAACTTTGGTTTTTCTGTGGGGTTGAAATTGAACAACCCTCTACTACTGGGTCATTGACCTCACTGCTACACACTGCAGTAATAACCAAACGGAGGAGTTGGTCTGTGATATGATCCACTTTTCCATTATCTTTCATAAACGTGAGTCAAGCTGTTCGATCAAGTGTCCATTCATTGTCATTATTAAACCAGAAAAGACGAGCACATGGACACTGATGAATAAGTAGCAAAGCTGTGAGAGGGGAAAGCAAATTAGAGGGCGAAAACTGAAGAGTCAATTGAGCTGTGTTCACACGGCTCCACTCGCTCAAATGGAATCTTCAGGTCACGCTTGTTGGCATCATTAGGATCACGTTACCATGGCGACACATGCAGCCTCATACCAAGAGGCGCAGAGTCAAATGGAGCGAATATTGGAAATAGGGTTGAAATAATTGGGGAACTCGATAATCGTGTTTATTCCAATGATTGATTCATTTATATTTAATTCTGCTTTAAATTCATAATTTTGTAACAAATAAAGACCCAAACCCTAATCTGTTTCTGCAGTTGCTAATAAAATTATTGAAAGCAGTGATAGAATTTAAAAATACACTTACATTATTTTCAGTTTTCACTTTTGTCAGTGGCTAACCATACCTACTGTGAAGCATGGAGATGGAAACATCATGCTTTGGGGCTATTTTCTGCAAAGGGATCAGGAGGATTATTGTAAGATTTTGAGAGAAAACCTCCTTTTATCAGCAGGGGGATTGGAGATGAAGCACTGCTCTAAAAGATCTGCATGGAGGAATGGGCCAGAACACCAGAAACGGTATGTGAAAGACTCACTACAGCTCACAGTAGTCCCGGTAGCAGCTCCCCCTCTGTAAATATATGAGTATTATAGAAAGTCTAGAGTCCAATATAAGCACAAACATATGTATTTTCTGATCTGGTATCACTGTGGGAACTTCTATCCCTTATTTGTTTCTTTCTTTTATTGTGGAGGTGATGTATTTCTCCAAGATAAAAATGTTATAACTTAATTGTCATTTTGAAAGTGTTGGACATGTCGTTCACAGCCTGTGTCCTCAGCAGAAAGCAGGTGTCACTTTCAGACGTATCCAATAGGATTTTATTTCATGAGCACTGACCCTTGCACACCACTTGGCCTTGGCACCCCGAAAATGCCACTTGAGAGGGGATAATGGATATGTCAGGTAATGGTGCCATTGCTTCTTCTTTACAGCTTGGAGATCCCTCAAGGCAGATACAGATGCTTATTTCTATGAAGGACACATATAAATAACTAGCTTTAAGTATCTGCTGATATTGAAATGAACCGCTGCCAGTGAAGCGACTGAAATAGCATCTATCCTTTCGAATCACAGTGAATTTGTGAAAAATCTATTTTTTTGCTGCATCTACTTTGTAAAAGTAAAATTTACGATTCTATGACATTCTGGTTTTAAATCAGCCAGTAATAGGGCTGGATATCATTTAGGGTTTACCAATGTGCCTTGATGCCATAAAACAATACATACCCAATTCAATTAGATTCAGATAAATATAAAGGTGCGGCTTACGGCCCTGTAACATTTGAAAGGAATATTGACAGTACTAAATAAATATTCTCCGTATTCCATATCTATAATGACTATACTATCAGTATCATAACATCCATAGAGAGGATTGTTTTTGTTTCATTTAGAAGAACTTTGTCCTCTCACTATTTTGACAACACCAAATTACCAGTATGATGCATCTCAGTGATAATTGCCTCACCAGATTACACATTTTTAGCATCCAAGACCCTCATCCAAGACCCAGTGTGAAACTATCTCTGTACTCAATGACTATGAATGTGTTTCTATAGCATATTTGTGCCTTCATCTTATTCACAATAGAAAGAAGTACAAAGAATAAATAATAATACATCATCATTATCCATGTTGCTACTTAAGGTCTCCTCGAAACACAGCCCACAGACACAGAAATGCTAAACTCACACACTCTACTCCATCGCTATTCCCTGGTGGAGATTTGCCACGCTGCATTTATGTGGGAGGACAAAACTGTGATTGGGGGTAATGTGGTGCGGAGGTAACAGTCAGTCCAGTCAGCAAACAGACAACAGCCGTGGGTCAGGAGGAGGCGCGAGGAGCTGGTCAGGTGGGCGGCTGCAGAGATCATTATGCAACTCCTAAATCGTGAGGGAAGCACATGGTTTACTGCCTACAACTCCAGTCGAAATCCCTTTCAGCCGCTTAATCAGCACAAAGGAAAAGATGGTGGGATCCTCTGACATTGTATATATGGAGCTTTGACGAATGACATGTCCCAGTGAACCTGGCGACTGGTGTCTTCTGAACAGTTTGTTCAGTCATAGCGAGGTTAGGTCAAACTATACAGCGTCTAAATTAATGTAATCATAATGCAGACAAAACTACATTTACATACTAATTATGCAAATACTTGATATGAGCTTTAAGAGATATTCTTAATTAAAAATATGAAATCATGTTTACGGATAATTCAAACAGAAGAGCAGAATGTTAGCCAGACCCATGAACTACAGATATAAATTAAGCTATGTATCTAATTTGCATCTGTAGTGCCTCAGTCACAATCACAAACACACACTCATTCAACCCTCACCTATTGTACATGTTTTTAGAGGTAGGGGAAACCGGAGCACCTGGAGGAAACCTCGGCAGACATGGGGGGAACATGCAGACACCGGGGCAAAATGTAATCACCAAAAATTCCTGAAAGTGGAATCAAACCCAGGACCTTCTTGCTGTGAATCACAAGCACTAACCACTGCACACAGTGGGTGCCACCTTTAATGATATATGTTTTCTAATTCTTTTATACTTTTTTGAATCTATACCGGTGTTGCAATAAATACAAAACACAATAACATGGAAGAATGGATATCTTTGAAAGGGCAGTTTAACATAAGTGCATGAGGAATAAGATTATTTATAAAGGAATTAGAATGCTCTCTCCCATTAGAGTTAACTCTACCACTACTCAGACAGCACACCATTACCTGCTCCATGTGAAATCTCCAGGGTGCCAAGGCTAAGTGGTGTGCAAGGGTCAGCGCGCATGAAATAACTCCTTGTGGAAACATTATGTGACCCTCACCCTCCGATATGAAGACATTGGTCACAACAGAAAAGTAGAGACTCCAAAATGACAATGCCAATCTCAAATTCGACAATTTAAATGTTCGACAGTTTAAAACCCAAACCAAACCAAACCAAACCCAACAACAATTACAATTATTTTCCTTTTGTACATATGCAAAATTCAGTTGAATATCATACATGGAATACAATAGTTCTCTTTCTTTTGTTACCAGGGTTACGGTACGTAACAGAAACTTCAGATGTATAAAGGTATAAAGAAAGTGAAAGTATAATTCCTGCTGGTGCCGTGATGACCTTCATGTAACAAATGGCCCTGACACTTACATTGACCACTCACTGATGTGCATTTATCAGCACGGACACAGGCTCCGACCAAATAAGCCTGGGACACACACAGGGTTATCTTAAAGACTGCACCTTGACCAAGACCATGTTCTATAAGAATATCCATGAAATTGAAAACATCAAAAGAGAAATAAACCATCTTAAAATTGACAATCTTAAAATATATTTGAGTTAATGCCTTTATCAAAGCGTTCAACTAACAGCACTAGTAATTTTACATGTAGTTTAAACAGTCTTCATCAATAATAGCTTGCATTGGAATCCTCACTGACCATGGTATGAAATTTAGTGTGTTGGAGTCTCAACATTTTGACACCAATGTTATCTCTTAACGACAAATTAATATCGGCATTCTTAACAACTAATTATCACTATCTTCACCTCTAATCAAGACCCATTTCTTTTGTGAATCAGTTGCCGTTCAACAAAAATACATATGCTCTGGCACATGTCCCGCAATATGGCATTGAAAATACCCATCACCACGGAAACGAGAAGCAAAAGATCTGTTGAAGATCTTCTGTAGAAAGGTTTGAGGAAGTTTACTGCCAAATTGTGGAACCTTCCAAATAGAGAATGGATTTCAACCAAAATGGCAGCAGATATTGCAGAGCGTGACGTTACACTAAAATTGTATGTGAGTGAAGTCATGTTTATTTACTTTCGTCTGGGTTAGGTGAAGCAAGGATCGCACTGTGCTGCCTCTTCACCTCCTCCACTTTCTCCGCTAAAGACTCAATGAACCCGCGGATCTCCTCCACCTGCAGACAGAGAGGAAACATTAAGTGCTGGTTAGTCATATTTATGAGACAGGAAGCAGCGATTAGCCTTCGTTGACTGGCACTGAAGAGAGGATTATTGTTTGTTTTTGTTTGTTTATTTATTCATTTCAGGCATTTCACATGAGGCAGCAGTCACCTCTTGTTCATCATAGTTTCCAACAAAAAATAAAAATAAGTAAAGCATTGCTAACATGCATGAAAATAAAATAAAAAAATAAACCAAAATATTTGCCTGAAAGGGAGTAGGAAGAAGAAAACTTATTTAATCCTACCCCCATAATATGTATACAACAAAAATGTGCTTCTTTGCGAGACAGGGCTATCAACAACTTTTGACTTCTGCACTATATTAACACAGAAAAGTTTGAGTATTCACATTGTGGAGTTACCATAGTAACGCATCAGAGTTACATATGACAACAGTAATACAGGACTAACAATGGTAAGAGACAATACAAGCAATGGTAAGAGACAATACCAGCAATGGTTAGAGACAATACCAGCAATGGTAACAGACAATACCAGCAATGGTAAGAGACAATACAAGCAATCGTAAGGGACAATACCAGCAATGGTAAGCGACAATACCAGCAATGGTAAGAGACAAAACCAGCAATGGTAAGGAATGACAAATACATGACACAAACACAATACAGAAGTACAGAACAATTAAGACCCACTCTCTATATATTGTGACCAGACCAGATGTTTGTATAAAAGTTTGAATCTGTGAATATTTTGGCATTGCTTGTGGTGTGCATCCAGACTGTTCCATAGTTTCACACCTCGTACAGATACACAAAAGCTTTTACGAGTAGTTCGAATTTTAGGTAGTGTGAAGTCTCCAAATCCTCTCAGATTATGGGCTTTTTCCCGAATTGAGAAAAGGTGTTGTAGATTAATAGGTAATGATTTGTTAAAAGCTTTATATAGGATTATAGTTGTATTGTATTTTACAAGATCATTAAATTTTAGTAACTTAGACTGGATAAACAATTCATGAGTGTGATCTAGAAACCCAACTTTGTGAATTATACGCACTGCTCGTTTCTGCAACAAGACTAATGGGTTTATAGTGTTCTGGTACGTGTTTCCCCACACTTCAACACAATAGTTAAAGTATGGGAGAACCAACGTACAGTATAATGTACGGAGTAAATTGAGACCGAGGTACAGTTTTACTTTATTTAGAATTGAAAGGCTTTTGGAGATTTTAGTTTTTATGTATCTGACGTGAGGTTTCCAGGACAATTTATTGTCGATTATAATTCCCAAGAATTTATTTTCATTCACAATTTCAATTTCGATACCGTCGATAAAGATTTTTGTGTCTGAATTAAATCTTAGGCTGCCAAACATCATTGATTTCGTTTTTTCTATATTGAGGGATAGTTTGTTCATGTCCATCCACTTTTTAATTATATTCAGTTCCTTGTTCACAGTATTCACCATTTCATCGTAATCATTGCTACAGTAAAATATATTTGTGTCATCTGCAAAAAGAATAAGTTTTAATACTCGAGATACATAAAAAATGTCATTTATATACACATTAAATAATTTGGGTCCTAGCACGGACCCCTGGGGCACACCACAAGCAATGCCAAGTTCTCCAGATATGTAATGCCCCATTTTAACATACTGTATCCTTCCAGTCAAGTAACTTTTCAGCCAATCCCCAGCTACCCCACGAATTCCATAATTCCCCATCTTTCTGAGTAGAATCGAGTGATTAATAGTATCAAAGGCTTTTTTGAGATCTATAAAGATACCCACTGCAAACTTTTTATGATCAAATGCATTTGTGATTTCCTCAATTGCTTCCATTATTGCCATTGATGTGGTTCTTTTGGCTCTGAAACCATATTGACCTTCATGTATTATCTGGTGTTTCTCAAGAAACTTTTCAAGCCGAGAGTTAAAAAGCTTTTCAAGAATTTTTGAAAATTGAGGCAATAAAGAGATTGGTCTATAGTTTGTGTAACTGTGTTTATTATTATTTTTGAAGAGTGGTACTACTTTTGCAATTTTCATTTTTTGTGGAAAACAACCAGACTGGAAGGATAAGTTGCAGATATAAGTTAGTGGTTTTACAATATTGAACACGACCTTCTTAACTACCATCATGCTGATATCATGACAGTCAGTAGATGTCTTGCTTTTACATTTTGAAACAATGCTAATTATCTCCAGCTCATCTGTAGCAGATAAGAAAAAAGACTGCGGATTCTGATTGATTGTTGAAAAACATTCCTCAGTTCTATAGTCTGGAATTCCAGCAGCTAACTCAGGCCCTACATTAACAAAAAAATTATTAAATTGATTAACTATATAATTCATATTGTAGTTGTCTCCATTATTGTCAGTGAAGTAATCAGGATATGACGACTTTGATGATCCTTGTTTGATTAAACTATTCAGTGTATCCCAAGTTCCTCTTATATTGTTTGTATTTTCATATATCTTTTGTTTATAATACTGTTTGCTACTTCTTATGATGTCAGTTAATTTATTCCGGTAAGTCTTATATATTTGTTCCGCCTCTTTTGTTTTTACTTTGATGAACGATTTATAGAGATTATTTTTCTTTTTACAAGCATTTAGTATTCCTTTTGTAAGCCAAGGGCTTTGTTTGTGTTTTTTCTTTAAATAGTGTTGTTGAACAGGACAGTATTTGTTGTATAAGGAGAGGAATAAGTCGAGGAAGTTACCATAAGCAACATCCACATTTTGTTCGTTATAAACTGTATTCCAATCCTGGTCTGCTAGACTGTTGTTCAGATCATTTATTGATTATTGTATTCGAGGAAAAAGCAAAGAGGCTTTCTAAAATTTGCTCAGAGATAATAACAACTCTAATTGTTATGGCATTCATTGCAAACCATGTGACCTCACTCCGGTCATAAATCGCACTGGTGGCAAGCTGTTAGTTTGTCTCACCTCCCACTCACCTGTTTCTCTACAGGATGTGAAGGAGAACGGATCTAAGAGGTGAGTGACATCACAGTCATAGTTCAGCCACTCAGATAAAGTATTACTAAGACCTGCAGCCCTTGTGTCCGCGGAGATGGTCACCTATAACTTCACCGCCAAACAAACAAAACGTCCACCCTGTTTCTTGGATTCCTAGCTCTCAAAACTGTTCACTACTTATCGCATGTATTTTTGGCCAATCAGCTCTCAGTATGTATAAGGTAAAATTCTTTGGAGCATATAGACTTTGAGACGACATGTACCTCCCTCTTTCCCATTTTTGCACATCCCAATATCCCCTACATCTATCTCCAAATTGACCAGTCTGACAGAACTCTCTATCACCATCTCCTCCTCTGCACCTGCTCCAGCTGTTGCCACATGCTGTTCTGTTTGGGCCTGTCATTTCTGAGATAATAAATCTACATCTCTACTACCAGTTTCTTTTCCCCTTTAGTCTCAAAACCAGTATTACAAATAATAACAACATAATTGGTTTCAGGACACAGTGCAGACCTTCTTGCCGACTGCTGTGCCACCTTGCCGCCCATTTAAGGGGAATTAGTTAAACATGCATTCAGATTCACAATTATGATGCGGTTTTCACATGAATAGTGTTTTGTGTCAGCAGGTAGCATGTGGTATTTCTGCTCTAAAAGTCCCAAACCAGGGATCAGAGTCCACGACAAATGTGGCTTGCTTCTGCTCTGTTCACACTTGCATCATCAGCTGAAACATTTGAAAAGCACTATTTAAAGAACATTATCCTATTTTAATCAGTAACAAGCCCTGACACCCTAATGGAGAGACCATAGGTTCTGTGCAACAGCTTGACATAACAGCTCATGCATAACATTATTGTCACTTATTGCATGCATACACACACACACACACACACACACACAACAACATACAACATATGGCACTAAGTCATGCTTATACACACGCAGACAGCATGCTCAGAGATAAACAGGCCTGTCAGATGTCATACCTACTGTTCAGCGCCCCAGCTCTGGAAAAGAGTTTCTTATGGCTATCATCTGTGAAGAGTTGCTCCAGTGGTCTCTCCGTGTGTATGATTGTGAATGCACCAGTATGCAGAAGAATGTGGCTTCTTTGATTGTATCTACATATACATGTACTGCATGTGCATTTTATGTCCAACCCACTGCAGAGACAACCCACTGTCTCTTCTACATATTTGTGAGTTGTTTCTCTTCCCTGTTAATTAGCCTGAAGCGAACTGTAAAACCATAGCAGGATTACTTTTATATTTGATTATAAGACCTTTTTTATTAAGAATTCTGCTTTATCGGCCATCTTCCATCCTAACTTTGGAGATAATAAGCAAAGCTGTGGTCATCGTCAGTGCAGGGCGGTGACGGGTCATTCACAGAGAGCTTAATTAACGCCACAGTTGGGGTGAGCGCTCCCCGAGTGCACATAACATTAGCCCACCTGACTTCAAATGTATAACCATGACAAAACATACCCTCAACAATTCTATAGTTAATATTATTCCCTGTCTCAATTATGACAGGATGTTACAAAAGGAACAAGTTGTTTCCCCAAAGTCTGATAAATACTAAAATACATAAATAAAGTGTCATTTTTTTCTGCACATATTATAAAAATCTCTCTGTACCTGGTCAAAGAACTCATCCATGAAGCCTTTGTCCATTCTTACGGCAACTTCATCCTCTTCCTCTGCCGCCTCCTTCCCCTGGATGAAAACATTATTAGAGAAAACAAGTCTTTGCATTTCAATTTAAGAATTCAAATCGGTGCTGAGTGTCGGTGTGAGGCGAGGGATCCATGAGGCTCCTTTCAGAAGGAATAAAACAGATATAACTTATTTTCCTATAACCTCTGCCCATCAGCTGATTGGAAGCAGAGAAACACTTCTAATTAACCACCAATACAATTAAATCCACAGGTCGAGCGAGTAAGAACTTATTATTGTATTACAGCCATGGGGGAAGTCATGGCACTTAAATGTTATTGATAATTCATCTTACACAGGAAATGGTGTCTTTTTGTATTGAGTGATCGTGAAGACTGGCACAATGCAGAGAGAAACATATTAATATGTTCTGCAATATTATTCCAGACCAGAGCAATTGCAATTTGTCGACGGGCTTCTTTGTGACTGCTATTAAAATAATTTGAAGCCTGAGTCCCTGATTTCTTAGAACTTAGAATTTAGAATTTAGAACTTTAGACAGAATAAACATTTAGTGATGCACAAGGCATACATGCAGTGGGTAATACACTTGTTTCACAGTCAGAAATTAAACTATGATAGATTTGATAGAAGTATCAGAAATCATTTTCAAGAACTCAATCTCTATATTGTGGAAATGATGTTAGTAAAAATATGTTTGTGTGTTAATTGACTATGTCTACAGAATACAATCTAAGTGCAGTGTAATAGATTAAGAAGAATTAAGTAAAAAGTCTCTGTAATGGGTTAAAATCAGGATTTGGCCTAAAACCTGTCTCTACTCTACTGCTTTGATGACACTTAACATTTATTTGGCAAACATTATGACGAATCAATGTTGTGTAAATACCCCACACGTTAATCATTAGACAGCTGAAAGTGGGTTGCAGCGCCATGTGGGATTGGTGTGTGGGGAGATGGTGTTACACGAGAGATCATAGAAAAGTATGGGGCAGAAAAAGAATAGAGGAGGAGGACAGAAACAGCTTCACTCTCGGCGGCTCCTGTGGCGTGGTCACACAGCGGCTCAGGGAGACAGAGGCTTCAGACACATCCAGTCTGTACAAAGAGCACCACTCCAGACCCTGTAGCTGTCTGCTTTCCCCTGAACGTGAAGGCAAAGGCAGTACCAGCACATTCAGCTCACACTGTGGGTACTTCAGCTCCTATTCAGGCTGACAACCATTTCACAATATTCAAGTGCTTGGATTGAGCTCAGGCGGCTGATATTGTATCTTTCTTATTACTATTACGTTTAATACTTTTAATTTAATTGTACATAATGTATCTTGCAGAGAGACTTTTCACTTTTGAACATGTTCACACATTTCCTGTTTTTTGCACAACCTGAGTGAAACTATTTATGCCAAATGCGACATGTACATTTCTACATCGTGAGATCAATAAAGTCTATTTATGTATTGTATCTATCTTTTCTTTTTAATTAATATACTTAATTTTACTTTAATCTTTAATTCAGTCAAAAGTATAGACAAACAACATACACTCATACAGTGGGAGTTATATATATATCTTTATTCAAGATCCCATAAGCGTATTTGTGAGTGTGTATTATTTGTAATATTCGTGGCAATTAAAAGAGAAATAGAAACAGAATAATTGTGCCAAACAGCAAGAAGGTGGAAGAGCGAGCTGAAGTCTAGTAAATGTGCACTGTATTTATACCTGTATAACTTTGTCCTCTGCATTTGACACATCCTGCAAATGCTTCAAGGGCCTCTGTCAGGAGCAGGGTTGCTGTACAGTTCCTGGGGACCCATTTCCAGATGTTGATACTCGGCTTGATAAGATAAGATAGACTTTATGGATCTCACACCGGAGAAATTTAAATGTGACATGATTTTTTTTCATGTCACATTTGTTATGGATAGAATCACTCAGATTTGTGCAAAAGACAGAAGTGTGCAAACATGCTAAAGGCAAAAATTAAGTCTATTCAGGATCTATTATGAACAATAAAAACAAAAAGTGGCAGTTGGTCAGGACTACAAGAGCTGGAGGAGTTATGTGCATGTGTCTTTGCTGTACGGGAAACCAGAGCACCCGGAGGAAACAGACAACCCTGTTCTGAACGGTATTCAAACCCAGGACCTTCTTCTGAGATGCGAGAGTGCTACCCACTCAGCCATTGTTGTTTCAGTTCAATAATGCTAAAGTTTAATGATCCACGATGCAGCTGATTATGGGATAACAGGAATAACATATTTAGAATACAGTTACTAATTATCACAATAAGCAGTATACCAAGTATTCAGAATACAGTACCCTAATTCAATCAATCAATCAATCAAAGTTTATTTATAAAGCGCTTTTCATACAACAAATGCAACACAAAGTGCTTTACAGTTTGGCTAAAAAACAATCCTGCCCATGCCCTCCCCCCGACCGCCCAACAGACCCTCCCCAGACCACAAGCAAACACCACCCCAGCTGTGTATCATCTGCATAACTGTGGAAGTTAATTCCATGTCTCCTGACGACACCGCCAAGAGGGAGCATGTACAGGTTAAAAAGGACTGGACCTAAAATAGAACCCTGGGGCACACCACATGTGATTTTATGGACCTGAGAGGAGCAGGTATCCAAACTCACCATGAAGGATCTGTCTGTTAAATAAGAAGTGAACCATTTGTGGACAGCACCAGAGAGGCCGAGGTGGTTCAGGCGTGATAAAAGAATGGTGTGGTCTACTGTGTCGAAGGCAGCGCTAAGATCCAGTAGAACCAACACAGTCACCTTTTTAGAATCATAATTTAATCTAAAATCATTTAAAATCTTTAAAAGAGCCGTCTCTGTGCTGTGGTTCACCCTAAAACCTGATTGAAATGTCTCTAAAATTTGCTGTTGATCTAAAAAGGCATTGAGCTGGGTAAAAACAAGTTTTTCTAAAATTTTGCTTAAAAATGGTAAGTTGGACACCGGTCTGTAGTTGTTAAGATCATTAAAATCTAAATTGCTCTTCTTCAGAAGGGGTCTCACCACAGCCGCTTTGAAGGCTGCAGGAAAGACCCCAGTCTGAAGAGAGCAATTCATCAGGTTTAAAAGCTCCTCTCTAAAAGATTCATAAAATGACTTAAAAAATGGAGTGGGGACTGGATCTAAAAGACATGTGGTGGGCCTCACTGAGGAGAAAACTTTATTAAGCATCTCAGCATCAACCAGGACAAAACTGTCCAGTGTTTCCTCTGGCGAAGACAAACAATCAGATGTGTTAAAAAAACAGTAGTACGATTGGATAAAATGTTACATCTGATTGTATTTATCTTCCCCGTGAAGTGGACTGCAAAATCCTCACAGAGGGAGTCTGTGCGGGTTAAACGAGACATGCTAAAATCAGGGTTTAAAATGGTGTCAATGGTTGAAAATAGGACTTTCGCATTGTTTTTGTTTTGGGTGATTAGTTTTGAGAAATAATTGTTTCGGTTTTTCCTAATTGTTTTGTTGTATGTTTTTTGTTGGTTACTGTACATTTCGTAATTGATTGTTGTTTTGTTTTTCCTCCACCTACGTTCCGCCACCCTGCACTCTCTTTTCATTCTCCTTACTTCTTCGTTCCTCCATGGGGGTACAGATTTTGTTCCAGTAGTTTTTGTTTTCAAAGGAGCAACCTGATCTAACGTAGTTTTGAGTCTACTGTTAAAATCATTTGCTAACAGATCACAGGGGGCGGGTAAAACCAAGTGAGGAGTGTTATTAAGAATGTCTATAAAATTTGCAGCCACTTCAGGGGTTAGATGTCGCTTCCTCACGGTTCTCACAGAGGTCTCACGCTGGATAAAACCAGTGATGTTAAAAAACACGCAGTAGTGGTCAGAGACAGCCAGGTCGACAACAGAGGACACACCCGCAGTCAAGCCATAAGTAATGACCAGGTCGAGGGTGCGTCCTCTGTCGTGCGTTGGCTGTGTGACGTGTTGGGTAAAATCCATGTAATTAAGGACATTTAAGAACTCATTGGAAAAATTATCTGAGGGATTGTTGATGTGTATGTTAAAATCACCGGTTAGACCTGGTGCCATTATAAAGCAGGTATATTTTTGTAAAAATATAATATAAAAAAGTATTCTGCACAATACTGGTCATAATAATCTTCAACACAAATATACCTATGGAGCCCGGTCCTCAGTGAGCACTCCATTAGAGAGTTGCCCAGCCAGGTTCCCCACGAAATCCAATAGACAATCTTCACTCGACAAAGCAATAACAAAGTCAATACAGACCTTACAGAGCGGCTGCAAAAAAAGAGCCGGAGTACAACTGTTGGTGTGAGTGTGAGTCAAGCGCAGATTATGCTTAAGAAAGAGACAGCTCTAAACTCAAGTGGGCAGCGCTTTTATTGTTCTTTTGTGCCCCTATATTAAAGCAAAGCCATTGCCTTCAACTCAAACCAGCAGCTAATATATACAGCCTCAGCTTGTCTCTTAAGAAATGACTCACAAAGAGACTATCGCGCTCTCAGACAACTTTATTATTATGACAATACAGCAGCAGCAAGGTATTCATGGAGAGTATTCCACAGGGATGTCATTTAAATTTCAAAATGCATCAAAATACTTCTAATGAGGGGTTAGGATCAATATAGAGTTGTTTTCTCCATGCGTTATGTATGACAGGCCGCTCAAAGTTACCAATTAATTATAATATAACAGGATATAATGCAGTGGTTCTGTGCTTGTGTTTGATTTTTTTTATTATTTGGAGTTTCAGAATGGAAGTGATAGATGTTGGTGTAAGAGCGTGAGTGTAATTTCGCACTAATATGGCTCAGTGTCCACCCTCTGTAGTCATCTTCATTTTTTCATCTGTCCATCATCTGCTCGCCTCCTCCACTCATTATTACATCAAGCCCACACAACACACACCCGCTGTCCGTCTTAAGACCACCCCAGCATCCACACCTCATACATGAACCATGCAGACATTTAAATGTTTAATCTAGTCCAGTCCATGCACAGGAAAGTCATACTGAACCACAATACGGCCCTCTATTTTAAAACAAGCAGTGACATTTATCCAGTGAACTATATACAGTATATTAAAACTACTGCTCTGTGCCACAGTGAAAAAAAAAAAAATCTCACAATGGCTTCAATATTCAAAATTCACAAATCATTGATGAATTAATGAATAAAAAACTGTGGGGCTGTGCAAACAGTGTAACTATAAAAGGTGCAGAGTGTACCTAATGTACCCATCAACCATTGGACTTGTTTTCCTGCTCAATGAGAACATGCCAGGAAATATAACATATGTTATTAATAAAGTAGGAATAATTGTATAAAGAGAAACTGGGAAATTGAAAGGAAAAACATATGATCATTGGCCCATCTCTCTATCTAGCACAAAAAGTGGAAAGGAGAGTTTTAAAAAATCCTTTTGAAGATAAGTGAATTGAGCTATAAGCAATACAACCTCAGTTTTATTCAGTACTTCTTAGAAGTAAATAACTATGTTTCCATTTGTTTCAATAGTATTAAAATCAACAATAGTTCATGGCTATATGGTATATCCATACCGGTGCTACTTCATATATCATCAGGTTCATCTCATTCGTTTCATTATCTCCAATAATCCAATAATCCAATAAAGGATTGGAGTAATTTTAATCAACAACACACAGTGCATGAAACCTGACTTTCGGTGGCATGTGGATGATGAAACAGCCATCTCTATGTTTCCCCTCAGGATTCAGAGGTGGAGAACAGCTGACAAATATCAGATCAGAGCCATCTGTCAGTAAATCACTGCTGTCTCAATGGGAAGACTGCAGCTTTAGGGGGCGCTTAATGAACAGCTGGAGGAGCTCAGAGTCAGGCAGGTGCACAGCTCCTGATGTGGCTTTACCACGGATCTTTACACCAGGGCAGCATGGGGGCCGACCTGCCCCATGCCCTGACAGACGGCACAAAAACTACGCTTTTTCACTAAATTTAGGAAAACTCATGCCGGTTCATTTTGAAGAGCACACATGTGCGCACACGCACACGCACACACACACAGCAAAGTTAAAAAGTGTGAGATTTAGGTGAAAGGAATTCAAATGAATGACTCTTCAAGACCCATATTCTCAGACAATGTCTGACAACCAGAGCAGCCACAGTAGCACACACATCATACAAGATGAAATTATATTATTCTTGTCCTTCAGTACAACCACATTGATATTTGTGAAGAGGTGTTTGTGTTGAGACGAGATGACAGAGCTGTGAATATTATCTGGGAGCTTTGCGCTGGGATTATGCAACTCTTTCAATAAGACTAAATAAAAGGAGCCTTTTAACTTTCTTGGGAATCCTTGCTGCCTCTAAAATACTAAAAGCAATCCAGCCTATAAGCCAAAACCATGTTTAATAATGCAATGCATGAATGAGACTATAATGGAAAGTCTCCAGAGACGTTCTTACGTCACATCTGGTGACACGGTTCAATTCCCTGTAGATTTCAAATACAAAATATATGAGATATATAAGACACAAAGCAAACATGGATCAATTTTTGCAGAGCACATTAAGAAGAGTCCAGAGTATAATCAAATATTAAGGCATCAACTTTTATATCACTTTAATACACTTCACTAGGCATTATTCTGGTATTCTGGGTGGAGCTCTGGCGTGTACTATCTTGGTGCACATGGGGGTTTCTTGCACAATTTTTCCAATGTGGTTTTACTGCAAATGGCAAACAAACTGAATCTTTTTCATTCCCTCAGTTCACGATGGAGTTATACTACTACTGTGGCCTCTTCGGCTATAACCAATAACTCATGCACACACCAGACTCATACTGGGCAATGGGGGTGAAGGATCTGACCTATGCACACAACGACGCTGTGGCAACTGTTGTTCCAAAAGGTCTTCATCCTGCTTAGCTTCTGAGGTATGACAGGGTCAGGCTTTCATCTTCAGGGATGGCCATGATCAATAGAATATTGGTCAAAAATAGCACCATGAAGGGATGAAGTTGAGGAGAAGTATGAAGTCTGGTTAAACAAACATTTCCTGTGTTTTAAAAATCTAACAGAGCACTTTAATCCATTATTATGGAATGGAAACTGCAAATCTGTCAAGACAACATTGTCTGCCCAAACTCATAGCTCAAACAAGGACAGCACTAATCAGAGAGGCCGTCAGGAGGAGGAAACTGCTCACCTGGGGTAATCTGCACATGCATGGGGCAAATATTAGGTATACCAGTGGCAAATAGAAAACCAATTAAATTGTTGAATTAAAGCCACAAGAAGGCAAGCAGGGGACACATTCAACATCTGGAAGATGCTGTGATCAGTTAATATGGAACTTTTTGGTTTAAATGCAAAACACTATGGGAACTAACATTCATCACTCGAGACATACCTCCCCAGTGTCCAACCTGGTAGTGGCAGCATCATGCTGTGGGACTGCTTTTTTTCCAGCAGGAAGGAGGATGAGTGTCAGAGTGTATCCCTAACCTTGATGAAACGGTGAATAGAGCAAAATTCACCACAATCTTGAAAGAACATCTGTTGGGAGTCTGCAAAACACTTAAGAATGGATATTTTGGACTACTTACAGTCAGGACAATTTCCTTAAACATTAAGACTTAATGGAATTGGTTAAGAACAAAAAGATTTGGTGTGTTAGAATGCCCTAGTCAAAATCAAGACCCAAACCTGTGAAAATATCGGAAAAATTCAGCTCACAAATGCTCTCCATCTAAGGTATTTTGTTTGGAGGAATAGGGAAAAAAAATTGCAGCAGTCATTTCAGGGCAGTAATAGCCTCTCTCCCCATAGAGACGCTCAGACTTCACAAAAGCAGAGGAACTGTAAATTGCTGTTCCACTTACATCTAAATTGGCAATAACGCTATGTCATACTATGTCTTCCTTATATAAATCTGCTGAGCACAATGTGGTGGTTATAATTGTTAAATGCCAGTAGGATTACATTGGGTGTAGCACATTATAACACTATTCAAAATCCAGAATTGAAATAAATTATTCCTTACGGCCAGGGAAAGGGGCATTTAGTGTAAGGAGAATAACAAGCGAGACTAATTCTCTCTCAAACATTCATTATTGTCCTGAACAAATCCTTCCCGCCCGACGCAGAGTGAAGCTCATTCTCCTCAGTCTGATTGTGAACAACTCTAGGCTATAAATATCTTTTACTTCACAATATTACTCTCAGTGCAAGAAGTGCACACCTCAAACTCTCACCTTTCTAAAGTAGACCCATAACAGATGTTTTTGACACGCACACAAGTTTCTTTCAGTCTTTATCAACGCTACTGTTGTAAGTACGCCAGATGAATAATGATATTTTATCATATACACATTACTGACCAGACGGCCGAGTGGCTGCGATTGTTTAATCACAACTGTTGCTCAAAGCGCCCTGGTCCTTCATACCGTGCCTTGATCCAGGCTTTTCTCTGTTCGCATCTCGTTTTGATGATTGAATGATATTTTACAATAACTTACCTGACTAAGTTCTTGCATACGGTCCTTCATGTCCACAGAACTGCTCTCACTCTTTATTCCCGGAGAGACTGTGAAGGTCCGTGTGATGGAGAAGCGGCTCTTCACCGACACAAGAGCGACACGGAGACGAGTGCGCGGCGGGCGGGCGGCAGGTCCCTCCTCGGGCTGATGTGAGGACGATGTGACCGATCACAGCTTCACTCCGCCGCTGACGCGCACAAAGGTTAGGCCGGGCCTTCCACCGTTAACCCATTCCACAACTTACTCTGTATCTGTTCTTATTTCGCTCACAACTGAAGTTTTACAAGACGTCTAATCACGGAGTAATACTATTCTAAAAGAACAATGATGAAACATGAACAAGGTTCGACTGAAATGAGCGAAACTTCACTAACTGTGGTTTGGACCGAACAGGTTCAGATGGTTCAGATACGCCCAGGTGCTGATGCAAATGAAGAGGTCCTAAGCGCCCCCTGGCGTCCAAAATACACCTAACTAGCACTGAAAACACAATAGTAGATCATGTGAACAGTATTTTTCTTTCCAATGTAGAACAAGACGAAGTACGAAAAATTGTAAATGAATGGGAAAACAAAAGATCAACCGACTATGATGGTTTAGACATGATGATTGTTAAAATCATTTTTGAAGCTGTAATTGAGCCTTTTACACACATTTGCAACTTGTCACTAAAAACAGGAACCTTTCCTGATGGAATGAAAACAGCCAAAATAATACCTCTTTACAAAAAAGGGGACAAGCACCGCTTTTCAAATTATAGACCAGTGTCCTTGCTGCCACAGTTTTCAAAAATCTTGGAAAAAGTATTTGCAATAAGGCTGGATAGTTTTTTACAAAAAGAAAATATATTAATTAAAAATCAATATGGCTTTAGAAAAAAACACTCAACTGCAATGGCAATAATGGAACTGACGGAGAAAATAGCAAGAGAAATAGATCAAAATAATTATATAGTAAGTATCTTTTCAGACCTGCAAAAGATGTAATTAATTTGATGTAATTAACCACCCCAGATTACTATGGAAACTCCAGAAGTATGGAATCAGAGGCATTGCTCAAAAATGGATCTCCAGTTATCTTGAAAATCGCAAACAGTTTGTCCAAATAAACAGTACGAATTCAGAACCACGCGATATCAGTTGGGGGGTGCCGCAAGGCTCAATACTAGGACCAATTTTGTTTATATTATACATGAATGATTTTCCAAAAGCATCAACTGTATTACAAAGCATCTTATTCGCTGATGACACTACATTATTTTACTCTGGAAATAATATAGGAGAGTTAGAAATAGTAATAAACAAAGAACTTGCAAAAATAAAAAGCTGGTTAGATCAAAATAAATTGGCGCTAAACATAAAAAAAAACAATTACATGATATTCAATGATAAAAAGAAAAATCTTGGAAATAGTATATCCATAACAATAGACGGCCTGGAAATCCAAAGGGTAAAGGAAACAACATTTTTGGGAGTCATCATTGATGAGGACCTAAACTGGAAATCTCACATACACTATACAAAAGGAAAATTAGCCAAATCAATTGGTGTGTTACATAAAGTGAAATACTTTCTTACCCACACAGCATTAATTGCCTTACATAATACAATGATTATACCATATCTAACCTATTGTGTCGAAATTTGGGGGACAACTTTTAAAAAATATACACAGCCAATATTTATTTTACAAAAAAGAGCCCTAAAAATAGTGAACAACAAAAGAAGAGACTCATCAAATCCTGTTTTTTTAGAGTGTAAGGTGTTAAAATTTTATGATATAGTGGATTATAATATTTTTCAAATATTGTATAAAGCAAATTGCAAATCATTACCCGCAAACATTCAAGAGAACTTTGAAAAAAGACAAAGTCAGTACAATCTGAAAGGAACTGATATCTTTAAAAAACCTAGATTCAGAACAAAAGTCATGGAAAGAACAGTCTCAGTGAAAGGAATCAACTTGTGGAACGCACTTAACAAAGACATTAAAGAGTCAAAAAACATAATAGTTTTTAAGAAACAAATCAAAACTACTATATTCAGGAAATATGAGAGTGTTACACGAGAATAAAATCTGGATTTAAATTGATGGTTTGTTTTTGAAGAAATGGAAAGTAAGGTGTGATACATAAAGTGTAAGGTAAAGTATTGTGTGTAAGGTATGTATTATGTAATATATGTGTAAATAATGTAATTTGTTTAAACTGTAAAAGGGATGTGTAAAAATCCTTTGGAGCAGTTAAATCTTTCAGATGCAATGGACAACTCTTAACCATGAATAGCACATGACCAAGATCTATAGTGTAGGAAAACAAGTTGTCATGTTGTGATTGCCATTACTGCTTAAACAGATACAAGTAAATCAGAGCAGGCGAGATATGGTTGGATTGGCGGCCTCCCTCTTGCCAAGCGGCCTCAACACCTCGTTTTTAACGCACCACACAGCAAGCATATACAACGCAAATTTTCCTACATTTCCATTGGTCAGGGATGTTGGGAGTGGGGCGGGTTGAGTGGGGGCTATGACCTTCTCTCGACTGGCTCATTCTACCCACTGTTTTTAATGCACTGCACTATGTAGGGTCTACATACATAACTATGTTAACATTAAATAAACAGCTTTGGGTAAAAATGGCAACAAGTGACAAGTGACAACAAGACCTAAGAACTTCATTGGTGCTAAATCAGCATTTAAAATTACTATTCATGGAGACGAGTGTAAATTGTATATCTGAGAGAAATATGCCTGTATATCATTTGAACTCCTGTAAAGAGAAAAGTTTGTAACAAGGGGTAGGAAGCATAAGTTTCACTTCTACCTACTCCTTTTCAAATTGTGCATATATATGTTTATATGTTTCTTCTTTTTGTTTTGTTATGTATTGCGCATGTAATTCGAAATAAACGCACTACTACTACTACTACTACTACAGTAATCTACAATCTTTTTGAGCCTTGGCACACCTTTTACATTGAAAACAATCCCATGACACACCACCAGCTGAAACTGATAAAAAGTTGAAACTCTGCAGCCTTTATTAACAAAGCAAAGTCATTCTATTTTATGTAGAAAACCAAACAACTGCAAAAACATCTTTCTTATCTTCTCACATATTTTGATCAGGTGATACTGGATCATTTCAAAAGGCACATAAAACCACATCTTGTAAAAATGTAATCATTTTGAAATAAAGTCGAAATGTTGGAAGATGTTAAAGCTCAATTCAGGCTTTTAAAAACACGGTGTCAAACTTACTTTGTTACTTTGTACATACATCACCCACTCTTAGATGGAAAACGTGTTTATTATGACTCATTCTGACTGAAGTGTAATTTGACACTACAGTCACACGGAATAAGTTAATAAAGAAAAGCCAAACAGAACCATCTCTAGAAATGAGGTCTTCTCTGGCGCCCAGTGTATTTTGTATCGGCCCGAACACCCCTGAAGGCAAAAATGAACATTATTCAACATTAGAAAATATTTAAAACACCATCTGTAATCAAAACAAAAATATACACACCGTCCTTGTCTTCTTCTCCTCTCTTTTTTCTCCAAGATCCAATCTTTACCCTTTTTTACAGATTTGCCCTTCATATTCTTAAAGCGACATCTGTGAGGGAAATTAGCTTTTCAGATCATCAAAAACAACAAACTTCTGAAAATTCAACTTTAATAACAGATGTTAAAGGTCGGAAAAGCTGTCTGCTGGGGTTTAGAAACAGACAGGACGTTTTCCTTTGTTTTATTGTTTGGTCATTTGGCTCCTCAAAGGCAGGGATGAAGTCTGCACTCTGTGGAGGCCGAGACCTTTGTGTCATAGAGCTCTGGATCGTCACATTATTGATCATCTTTAGCCTAATGTAAAACCAGGAGATGTTGAGAGGATGACTTTGTAAGTATTCTTCCTTGTTTTTTCCAAGCTACACTAATGCTTGGCCTTTTTTGTGTGTAACGTACCTTAAATCAGTGTATGTTAGCAGGAGTGGAGTCAGGACCCACCGTCAACATATAATCCAAACAATATGACCCAAAATATAACTGAATTTAGAATAAATAATGTAAGATGCTGTACTGTTTTATAAGCATTGAAGAATATTATAAAACTAAAATTATGACCAAAACAGCTCCAACCGACACTTTGAATGTTATTTCTTTAAATTGTTGCCCAAAAGCTTAAAAATGATCCTGAAAGCCACTAGTTGAGTGCCTTAAATGACTTTTTTATTAATGCATCTCTATGGACAATCTAATGAGGCTGCTGCAGTCACCAGAGCTCTAGTCAGAGTGTATCTATTATAGCTTGTGTCATAAATGCGAGCCATACCTCTGTCCTGAATACTGAACTTGATTAGACATTGTGCTCGCTGAGGTTTCTGCTCCCAAGCCCTTAAAATAAAACAATATAATCTGTAACACCACATAATCAGAGGAGAACACGTGGTCATTTCAGATGTATTTGATGCTCAGACACTTTTCTAACCTTGGGCAGCACTCCGGACACTCCAGCAAACAAACATAAAAAGAATCTGCAAAAAAAATAGAAAAGAAGGTTTAGAAAAAAAATATGGATTGTATGCATTCTCTGCAATGGGTCGTAGGTAAAGTAGTACTTTCTATCATTTGGGGTCGTCTAAAAATATGTCAAAACATTTGGGAGAATTAATTGAGAGGAAATAAATAGATTTTGTCGTTTATGCTAACAAGAGAGTGTAAGCATTTTGATAATCTATCCTTCACTTGTATTTCTCAAGTTAGGTTAGTTCCTACAGATATGATTATTAACTCACTTTTTGGCTTTGGTACTGTTGGGGTAATCAACCACCATGCCCCCACTGAAACCTGCTTTCATGGCTTGTGTTGTGATCAGTTCAAGCTTTAGAAAAAGGAAAAGTACATATTTTGTTATGTTGCTGCATGAATTGAAAAATAACCATTACGTTACAAATGTCTAACCGTTTTACCTGCTCAGAGTTCTCTGGATAAAGCTGAAAAACTGCACGAGCCCCTCTTGACTGACAGATCAGAGAAGGCATGGAAAACATTATTTAACATATAATATATAGTGTGATAGTGTGACTTACCAGAGAGGAGTACAATGTGCTGAAAAAGGTATAGAGTCTCTTGGGGGGACTGTGTGTCCTCTTGTCAGCGTTGCAGAGCCATTGAAGAGCAGAAATACTAACAGCATAGATATTACAATTATATTCCAAACATAACTTTAAACACTTTTTAAAATAGTGTCAGAATAATTGTTTACCTGATGCATCCATCAAAGGTGCCGGCTCTGAAAGGCATTCCCTGTCCCATGTCTCCCACTACAAGGTCTCCCTCCACTTCTCTATCCAGTGCAACATCTGAAAATAAAACGGTATACTATTTTATCTATACATTTTACTAATACCATCTGTTTGTCTTTAACTTTCAGCATATCTCACTCACCAAGCATTGACGTACTGATGTCAACCCCAACCCAATGATGCCCTTCTTCTGATAGGTAATCTCCGCTGAGCCCAGAGCCACATCTGTCAATCACAATATAATAACACATCTGGGTACCTCAACTTTAAATGCATATAATGAATGTTGTATAAAACCTCTTTCCTATACTATTACTCAGTTGTTTTAGTGTAGAAAGCTTACCCGACATCCAACAGGTAACAAGTCTGTCCTTCTGGAAGGTTCAAAAGCTCCACAGCGCGCTCTGACATCTGCGTTTGGATCTCTATCATGCGAGAACTGTAAGCAAAAATAGAAAATACATGTGATAACAAAGATTGCAATTATGTTTAGATGCCAATAATAACACAATTAGGGGCACTTCATACGACAGCATTCCACTTACTTTTGCGAATATTTCTTTGCCTCGTCGTCATTATAAAACTGTTAGAGATCAAAATAAAACATCAGTCAAAGCGTGAAGATGAAATGTTGTGTTTGTTGTCCGATTAAATTATTACAAATTACCACTTCTGGAGGTGCCGTATGTTCGGGGCGTCGACCACTGGACATGACTGTACTGAGAGATGAATTAAACGTACGAAATCAAAACCAGCAGCTTTTAAAAAAAAAATCAATCTTATGTAGTGTTATTCCGCCGAGCGATTAAAAACCAAAACACGTGAATAAATATGACGTCAAAAAAACGCGACTGTAGGAAGGAACTCTCCTTCTTTAGGAAACTTCGCCTCCATCGCCCCCTACTGTTTAAAATAAACAAACAGAAAAAAGTTACAGCAGCAACCGCATTTTAAATGAATAAATTCTGCCTTTTTTATGTATGTCAACTAAACAAATAACATAATTGAGAACGTTAATAACAAACCGAAGGTGAACAATTAAACATCTAGGCATCCTTACTTCCTGTAAACAGAGAATTTGATTGGTCCTTTTACCAGTTACGTAGAAACTGCTTCCGTCCGTATCACTTGTGAAATGGCAGAGGTCGGGGACAGGCTGAAAAAGGACTTTTTATCTGTTATCCGCTTTTAGAAAACGATTTGTTATTTTTACTTGGTTCATAAGGGTTGGACATGGGCTACATGAGCGTATGATGAAGAATTATCCTCTAGAAGTCAACCTCAGGTCCAATCACTGTAAGCAATGAGCTGACACCTAACAGCTAGCTACTTTGTTTATCTTCCGTTGTGGAGATGTAATTGTCTTGTGTTGTGTGTTCCTCTTAGCCTCCCGAGCAGAATGACCCCCTGGGCAAGAAGAGTTGTTTTGTGTGCAAACCCAGACACCATCAGGTGCACTCAGCAGCTCAATTGGGCTTTCTGTTTCTGCACATTCTCTGTCGTTCCTCAAAGACTGCTTCTATTGTCTGAACAACTGCCATGCACCGGCACCAGGCACTACAGCCGGAGAGGAGACCACCAAACCAAGGGTCCTTTGCCACTCTATAGAAGTCGGACTGCATATTATGATATCCTTAAAGTTACCCCTCATGCCACTCAGTCTCAGATCAAAACTGCCTACTACAAGCAGTCCTTTATCTACCATCCTGACAAGAACCCAGACAATTTGGAGGCAACACAGGTTTTCTCCGAGATCAGCGAGGCCTACACTGTACTGGGAAATATTTTTCTCAGAAGGAAATATGATAGGGGCATTCTAAGTGAGTCGGATGTCCGAGGTGCAGGGAAACCTCCTAAAGACAGTTCCAACCGCAAGCAGCCGATACGACCAACAGCACAACAGAGGGCCAGGCAGTTCACCCAGCATGGAGGAAAGATCCTATATGATTTTGATGCTTTTTATAAAGCCCACTATGGAGAACAGCTGCAAAGAGAGAAAGAAATGAGAGCCAGGAAGCAGCGCATGGAGGAAATTCAAAAGAAGAACATGGAGTCATCACAACAGAAAAGAGTTTTTGAAATTCTTGTAACTATATTATTGAGTTCAGCTGGGTTACTTGTGTATAGCGTCACCAGATCCTGATATTTAATATAGAATGTGTCTAATTTAATATCTAGATTGTGTTATTAAGCTGTAATGCTTACTAATTAAAGTCTATCTAAACCAGTTCCTTTTAGACTTGTATCTTGAATCTAGCCAAGGCAAGGAACATTTATTAGAATTTGATTAGCATTATTCATACACAAGGCTGAACAAAGCACTTTTAAAAATAAGGGGAAAAATGAATACATGCTGGACAAATTATGAACAAAAAACATATTTTTAATCACAGTAAAAAGATCGTATCCTATCTTCCTGTTTAAACTGGATTTGAATATTGTCAGAGTAGACATCTGTCTCACGTTCCAGATTTTAGCTGTAGGAATCTGAAAGGGGACTATAACACAGGTGAAACTTGGAAAATTAAAGTTAATTTATGTAATTCAACTTAACGTGAAACCAATGTATGATATAGAGCCATTACATGAAAACAGACATATGCCAAGCTTCTGTTAACATTTATATGTAGAGAATTAAATAGACTTTTGAACATTATTTTATTTTTCATCTTAAAGTACCAAAAATGAATGTGGTTCTATCATGGTAGTTTTTGCCAAGACACATTACAGTATGACAAGGACTGAGGAGATCACTTGGTTATTGCTCTGTATAAAGAAGTGTAAATACATTCAAAATAAATAAAAAAGTAGCCTGCTGTGTCAGAACTTTACCACTAGGGGGCACTGAAACACGTTGTTTCTCTCTGAATCAATCATGACACATTTTAAAATGCAGAGATTTGTATGACATTTATGGCTTGAATGAACCAAGAAAGAACTAATAAAACCCACAGACCGTCTCATTTATTCACGTTTTATTGACAGAAATATAAAGTAGTATGTCAATTACATCACTTTGTACAAAATTGCACAGACTCTTCAAAACTCAGCCAGACGACAGGAAAATAAACTTAAGGGAGAAGAGCAAATGCTGATATGTGAGATGGGCTTTTGCAACACTCACTGAAGGTCTTCTTAAACAAGAACCAATTTGTACAATTAAATAATAATATTCAGCGGAAACATGTAATTTACAACAGCTGAAATAAACATGTTCAAAAATAGGATTTTTGATTGGCACATGAGCTCCTTCTAGTTCACAACAGAAAATATAAGTTCATTTTATGGTTAATGACCATGCCTGCAGGAGCTAAGGTGCTACTGTGAGTTATTTGATATGTTTGTCCCAATAATGTTGCATATTATGTCCAGATAATGGCATTGGTGCAGTTCATGGCTGTCGAGGCAGTAACGTGTTCTGATGCTGAATGATGGTTTGAACATCAAGCATGGCCATTCGGTCCCTTTTCCTCTACTTATAAAAACTCAAATGCACATTTTTAATTACCAACATCTAAAATAAGATTTATCATCTGTCCGCATAAAGATATGATAAATGCCCGACCCCTGGGATTTTCAGATGGTAGTGCCAGGTCCAGACAGTCATCATGAACCAAGTGGTGAAAAATATATAGGCATTTGAAAGGTGCACTACACACATTTTCTGGTGAAGGGTCCAACGCCATCTAAATGTTTTTTTGTAATTTCCAGGCATATCCCAAATGGGAAAATGTTGTGACTAGTCAACCAATACAAATAAATCAGAACTAGTATTAATGTAAATGGACTTCACAGGCTCTAAAACAAGCAATAGGCAATATTTTTTTTATCAGACTGTAAAAAAATAATAAACAATCAATGATACACTTATTTGAACATCTATATTTAGGAGCCTCAAGACCTTATATTTCAACCTTATTTAGTTACAAAAATAAAGATAATAAAGTAATATCAATATACACATGGAATGATTGACTAGTCCAGTAGTTCCCAAAGTGGAGGTTGCAAGATGGTTTCTAGAATAAATACGTAATTATATAGAATAATTACTACATTATATCTACCATTTTTACATACAAACAGTATATCTCAAGTTAAATTAGTTCAAATAGCACAATTATTTAAACTCAAATGAACAACATTTAAATAAATGTAGCATGTTTGGTGCATTACAGTTATAGTCTTCAAGGGGGTGCTCATTTCCTGGCCTGAAAAGTTTGGGAACCCCTGGTCTAGTTCACTAATCTGAAAAAAAAAAAAAAAAAAAAATAACGTTGAAAGTTGAAAATAGCTGACTCGTTGACTATTAAAATAATCTTTATTCAGTTCCTTTATTTTGACCTAGTTCTAAAGCACGGCACTAAGTGCGACTGTGCGTTGACCTGCTTTGGAGAAGTTACCAATCCTATCAGTGAAGACACGAGCTCGCACCACAGATATGACAAATGTCAAAGAGCAACCCCTGGGACTAATATGTACAAAACAATAATATCCCCATGGTGACAAGCGGGCGGCGGAACCCTTCAGAAAAGCTGCATAGTGCAGCTTTAAATACATCCACTACATCCACACACCCTCAACACATCCACTTGAAATATCATACGCACAACCATTTTCAAGAAAAACATAATTCTGTCACTATTGCAGCCATCACTTTGAAAACTGGACACTAATTATCCCCTCCTTCAGATCAAAGGTTATGGCCACGTCATCTTTCAAGTCCAGAGGTAACTGACAGGCACTGGGACATTTTAGGCTGCACATGTTTGAGAAAAACATTGTCAAACTAACACTACCATGATAACATTGAGCACTGATGCTAAAGGACTTCAGGGTAGGAGCCTCTTAGGGACACTTACGAGATCCGGCATGAGACTTAAAGCAGCTTTCTAAACATTTATACTCTCTCTGAGCACAGATAGTCTTTGAACCTTTGATCGTTGATCTGGGTGGCGACAAACGCTCATGCTCTCTGGGATTTTTGGGTAAGAATGAGGAGGAAGTGGTGAATTAAAGCCATATGGCTCAACAAGAGAACTTCCTAAATCTACAGTTAAAGCTTTCCAACGTACCTCTTTCATTTTGTTCTCGCTAAATTGTGTAATGCAGCAACAAACCGACCTCCAGAGATCTATCAGCATTGGCCTCTCTCTGCGATAAGAGAAACAGGAAATTCCTCGACATAAACACAAGCAAAAAAACAAACCAAATATAGCAGAGTGAGATCCTGCCAAAGGGGATATTTAGTAGAAAGAATACTGGTTCTCCACTGCCCGGGCCCTGCGAGTCCCGTCCGAATCCTGATAGTCATCGGACCCTCCACTCGACCCCTCCAGGAGTCGTTCCGAGCTGTTACTGCGACTCTGGAGCCCCCCGCCAGTGCCTGGGTCGCTGCGAGACAAGGAGGGGTGTGCCGTGGGCGATGAGGATGTGCTGGAGGACAGCGGCATGTCCTGGGGCGGCCCGGGAGTGGCTGTGGACAGGTGCAGACTGGACTGAGAAGATTCTGCCCTGCAGTTGGCTTCTCGGGGGGCAGTGGGGGTTGTCGTTGGTGGAACGTCTGTAAAATAAGAAATAATGGCGTTTCAGTTTTGTTGAGTAGTGTTGAAAGTAGCAAATCAAATCACTTGTCTTGCATGTTTGTTAGATGTTTCACAACTGGACATATTCTGGTCGGTCCCTTTTGGGCCATTTCACTAACAACAAGTCAATGACACGCCATGAGTGTATCAATAAAGCCTTTTACATTTGAAATCAAATGCTTCGTCTATGTGCGCATGTGAAAGTGTGTATGTCCAGCGGCCAGGCACACAGGGCCCTTTGTGACCGGCAGGGTGGGTTGTGGGTGGGTTGTGGCCAGTTCCAGGGCCTGCATGCTAAATCATGGTGGTATAATCGCCCCCTCACTCCCCTGTACAGGAGGGCATTCATTACATGCCAGGAGTCTGAGTAAATGTTTTTAAGGACATATTTTTGTGTAGAAGAACGGTGGGATTCTGACAACTCTTTAAAATAACTTTCACTTCTATTACTCATCAAATCCAATTCATTTTTATGGCACAACTAGGGCCAACTATTACATAGAGATACTTTATAAATTCAAATAAAACACCATTATAATGAGTTGTACTGAACACTATTGACCAATTTAAGCGAATAACAATTTGGTATAAACACACATTATCTTTTATCATTTAATTTGATCACTTCTGGATGGAAGTTGAAAACTATTTATTTTATTTGTTTATCTTGAATGGAACAGTGTGCCTGTTGTTTTGTGTCTTTCCATCTTTTGCCCCATTCTCACTCATGAACACACTCATTCACCCTGGCCTGAACTAGTGTACAGTGATGGGGCAAACCGGAGCACCCAGAGGAAGCTGACACAGAAGAAGAATCCAACCCAGGATTTTGTTGCTGTGAAGTACGATGGCGCTCACTGCTGCCCCACTGAGCCATACAAGATATAATATTATGTCTATACTTATCACGGTGTGCACTATGGATCTTAGAAATCAGCATAAATTAAATATAATAAAAACACATGTATATATAAATTTAGGGTTGTTGTGCATTACCTCACGTACCTGTGTTGTTACCCCTCTGCACTTGCACATAAGAGCGTAGTGTGATGTCAGCAGAGCCCCCAGACTCCAGCGGGATGGGGTGGGCGTGGAAGTGCCTCAGCATATCCGAAACCGTGTGAAACCACAAATGGTGAACGTGACACTGGCCATTATCATTCAATGACAACCGCAAATGCTGCAATAAAGATAAGCAACAGGAGACATACTAAGATCAGTTTGTGATTTTGTGAAGGTTAAAAATCAAAAACACCAAGAGGTCAGGTCTTTTCAAAGCCATGTCTCTGTTGGAATGAACACAAGGCTGACACTAGAGGAAGAGCTGAAGGAGCGGACATACAAGGAAGGTTACAAATAACAAATAGATAATAATAATTACACTGATACTGTAAATGCAGTTGATATTTTGTTGCTATACGGCATAAGAATAATAAATAGTTGGATATTGGTGTTTGAAACATAACTTGGTCTTGTAACTCGTACAAGAACAAGGAGTATAGTAATAGTATAGTAATATATTGGAATATAGTAGTAGAGATAAGCCAGATAAGATAAGGAAGTAATTATTGAAAACAAATATGAAAGGGGTTGTAGTTAACAAACTCATGATTTCATTGTATTTGTTATAATAAAGATTTGCTCACCTTGGCTTTTCCCTGGAAGTTAAAGGTGAGAACATACTCTCCTGGCCTGGTTTCACTTTGTCGAATCACAAAAAGCCCATGGCTCCTGGCTCCACCTGCCAGAACTAACTGTGCCGCACGGACCCGAGACAGTGTCCCATGAAACCAGGGGTAGCCCACCAGACTGGCCTCTCCCTCGGACTCTTTCAGGCCTTCACTGGCTCCTGCACAGAGCGGATGGGTCAGTACATTCAGTCTCATTTGTTATTGAACTTGTCTTGTCATACCTGCCGTGTTAGGAGAGGTTTGTGCCTCTGGGGACTGGAGGAAGCGCTCTAAAGGCATATGGGACGGGTGCTGGGTGAATGGAAGTTCTCTGCATCTGACAGAGGGGGCGCTATAGTGCTCTGCTGCTGCTGAACAAGACCTTTCTGAAGCACGGTAGATTCCTGTATCAACACAAATGTGAAACATAAGTTTAAATATAAGGAGAAAAGCAGATTTATTCTACTTTAAAGGGGTCATGTTATGCTTTTTGGACTTTTTAGTGTAACATTCAGTTACAGACACATTATTGTGCATTATGTTCAGCAATATAGATTGAAGAAACCTGTCCAAAAGTGCCACTAGTTGAATGATGAATGAATAAAGTCTCAAAATATTAGAATCAGGTAAATTGACTCCCCGTTCAAAATGGCAGAACTGATAATCCTCTTTATATTATAGCACATTTTGACTTAGACAGCTCTAGATTTTGAATAATATGTCAACTTTAATGCAGGCCTATTTCCTGAAATGTAATAGCAGGAGTTTGAGACATGCTTTTTCTTCTTAGCAAGTCGTAAAAATATGTAATATGGAGGAAATGTAGGCTTAAGAGTGTCTATCTGGTTATTCTATCTGCCCCTGATAACAAGAGAGACTTGCCTTCAGACAGGAGTTCACAGCTGCAGGAGGCCACCATGGAGCAGCTCTTGGATGCCTGGCCATGGGGACAGGACGCCAGCTCGATGTCGTCACCACTGTCCCTGTACACAAATAGGTTGGTCAGACGAACCACACACAAACATTACAGCTAAGCACTCTCTCTACCAATAAGCTGTTGACGTCAAAAACATTCTCCAATGATCTCTACAAAAACAGAGATGGAATATCAACAGAGAGAGATAGGTTTGTGTAAAGCAACCTGTCAAAAAGTCCACTAATTGAATGATTAATGACTGTGTGTTGGGCTCCTTCCCACCTAGTCCCCCCTTCTTTCCACCCCATCAAATACCAACAGCAAATATTTATGAGTGAGTTTACCCCGGGTCTATGCAGTCCTGAATGTCAGCGACCCACGAATTCTTCTGCAAAGAGTCAATAGTTTCCATAATGTACTCGCACCCGTTTTCCACCTGTAAGATACAATGGACTGAGAAAGGAGTGCATCAATATTCAAACTTGTGTGAGACCAAGAAGTATACCTTAAGGACAAAAGTGTTGTCTTTGTCAGGCATCTCCAGCGGCATCGTGGTCCGCACTTCCACAATGGCTGACAGTGGTATGCTGACTTTGGGCTTTGAAGACTAAAAGAAAACAACAATGTTATGTCTAAATATGAATTTCGAGAAAACATTTTGTTAAAAAGAGAGGTTAAGTTCATTTGTGACTTTGGGCAAATAACAAGATCACAGTTTGGGAATAAGAGAATCTTTCTTTTTTGGTAGTGAGTGAATACTGCTTAATAAACATGCCATATCAGTCAAGTTGTTGCACAATTCTTAATCAATTCATTTTTCAAGAGTTTTTGCATATCCGTCATGTTCTTAAGGACTCAATGTTTAGCAATAATGAGAACCTTACTATGCTAAAATATTAACGGTATATTGTAAATATATGTAAATTTGGCCTCTATGTGCCCCCAGCAGATCAAGAGGGTAACACTGGATGTGAGACGGTTGTGAGACAGGGCCTGACTGATGCTCTGGGCCTGGCTTATCAGCTCATCTGTCTGAAGCTCATCTGCTGCTGCTGCTGCTGCTGCTGCTGCTGCTCACCCATCGCTCCTTTCCCAGGATCAGATGTCAAAAACCACTTCCTGTATTCAACCATTTGACCATTTTTTGACCAGATCAGATGTCCAACAGTGGGCAGGAAATGTTATCTCCCAATGTGACACACAAATGAGAATTTACAATCACAAACTACATTCTATACATTTTAGGGCTGTCAAACGATTAATTTTTTAAATCGAGTTAATTACAGCTTAAAAATTAATTAATCATAATTAATCGCATTTCAAACTATTGGCAAAATTATGCCATATTTTTCTGTAAATGGTTGTTTGAATGGAAAGATAAATGACAGCTTAGTGAACATATGTACTGTATTTGTTTGTTATAACAATAAATCCATATAAAATGGAATTAACATTATTAACATTCTGTCTTTCTGTTTAGACTCAGACCAAAACTATAGTTTGTTACAGATGAGGAACATTTCAAAATAGTCTGAAATGCAGAATGTCATTAAATCTGTTTGATTTTCTCACACCATTACTTTTTTTGGCACAGCTAACATGAACTGGTAGTCGAAAGGAAAATTAGGTACCTCGGCTTTAATTTAGCGAGTGCGCTTCGGGAGAAGACACGGAGGAGACAGGCTCCGCAGTCCAGCTTCAGCGCTGTACATATTGTGTGCATCGGTTACGCAAAGACACGTACGCACACTAGAGAATAGTTCTGTGCGTGGTCTTGGATATGATCCCATTACGCAGCGCCGTTCGCCGTGATCACAGCCGCTGGAAGTGGGAACGGTCCAGAGCGCTGTGGCGCCCGCTGCTCATCATGCAGAGTTCATACAGGAAACAACAAGTGCCCCGCGGTCACGCGTGTATTCTTTCAAAACTTGAATTCCCAGAGGGCCTACCTGCTCTGTCCCCATCTTACACACGCATGTGTCCGCGGTATTCTGAGTGTTATTATGGGATGCATGGGCATGCGTCAAATGCGTTAATTTTTTAAACGCGATTAATGAACAAAATTAATTAACGTGCGTTAACGCGATAATTTTGACAGCCCTAATACATTTATGAAATTTAAGTTTATCTTAAGTATGTCACTCTATTGGTCATTATTTATGAGTGAAGCAGAAACACGCACGCCATGTGAGTGCAGCTGTGGTCAGGACTGCTGTGTCATAATGCAGACACACTGCAGTGGACCTATTCTGCCATACGTCTAAAGGCAGAAGGAGAAAATATTGATAAAAAACATTGATTGGTTCAATCATGTGAACATTTAATAATTTTCTCTTTTGTTGACAAATGTATTGAGGATTTTAGGGTCGAATAAAGGCTTTGATTCTTGCTAACCTTCAACTGATACTTTGCAGTTTTAGCTAAGTTACTTTAATACACTCTGTGTGTTTGGGCATTTTGATAATATGAAGAAATAATCCATATTTATGTTTTTTTGCATATGAAAAGATAAATTATAGCCATTTACTAAAAATACTATGTAAAATGAGTAAATTGAAAGCATCCTTTCTCTTTGTTCTACTTTTTGACTCCACCAGCGTCAGGAAGATCTCCAATGGTGTCTCCCTCTCCCTCCTTAGCCTCACATTCCCACCAGCCATGATCAAAGAGCGGTGGCAGATTTACACACACTCAGCTGAACAGCTTCATGGCCCCCTTAAGGTCAGGCCACTGATCTGGAAACCTCATCCAGACAAGTGCAGAGTGCTCTGGAACAAGGCATATGGGGTCACAGAGCTGGAGCACCACCACTAATGAGACTTACAGTATGTACCAGAATTCTTGATTTCATAAAATGCACCACGTACCTACAATACTTCAATATTAATTTCACATGTGTACCTTTGGTGGGACATAGAACTCCAGCAGAAACTTCTCCCCTCCCTCATCTCGTTTTGTCTTCCGGAGTAGCAGGCGGCACTTCTGCCACTGTGCGGCCCCCATACAGTTTGTGTCATCAGCCACCATGTATCTGAGGGCACCCTCCCTCTGAATCTCCAGCAGTTCAGCTTTATGACCCTGAGAACTCCGAGGAAGACGTAACTTCTGGGACCATTTCTCCCCGCCAGTGGCTTCAGCTGCTCCTCCAGCCACCCCTGTTGCTCCTCCAGCTCCCACTATCCCATTGGACTTCCTGGTCCCAGAGGGAGCGTCCGGCTCAGGGGACGCCCGTCTGTGCCACATTTCCTTCACCCCGTCCACCACACACAGGCTCATGTTCCTCAGGGAGAAGCCTTTCTTGAAGCGTGCCTTTGGGTGACTGATAGAGACATCTTCAGAGCTGCGAGACTGTCCCAAAGCAGAGACTTTATGTGTGATTTGGGATCCTCGAGAGTTGGCACTTCCCCCATCCAACCCTGCACTGTCCATACTGTCCAGAGACTCACTGGATGCCCCAGCGTCTTTGCGTCTCTGGTAAAGGTCTTGGCCGTAAGCAAGAGGGCAGCCCTGAATCCCCAGGAAGGGAACAATACTGTATTTGGCTGCAGAGGTGGAGCCGTCTTCTCCAGGGGAAGAGGCCTGGTTCTCTCGGACCTGCGTTAGAGCTGAAGAGAAACACTCCAGGAAATGTTGAGCAAAGTGCTGGGAAAAACTGGCATCAGCACCAGCCGAGGCGTAACATGGGTTCTCAGACAGGAAGCGCTGAAACTTGTCTGCGAAATCTGCAGCAGAGGCACGTGCGTGGACCTCGCAGAACTCTCGCCAGTCGGGCAGTGGACATGAGGAGGAAAGCTCCGGGCTACCAGGCACCACGGCTCCGTTCATCACTGGGCCATGCCAACCCACCAGGAGAGGCTGCACACACAAACACACAAACACATCTGTTGAATGTAATGTACACAAACATACCTCATACTTATCCCTTTGATGTTCACTCCTTAAATAGAGGACTGAATTTCTAATATGTACAAGCACAAATAACACAAATAATTTGTTGTAATGTTTTTTCTTTCTATTACAGGAAGGTATTTTCTAATTCAAAGCATGCTTCAAGTAGATATAGTGACTCTCAAAGTGATCTTCCAAATGGTTGAGGAAACCATTAATGGGTTAAAGGGGACTCTTTTCACATGAAGTAGGTTTATTTTGCCTTGCTACTTTATCAAGCCCCAACAGCGAAAGCAAACTATAGGCAGTAAAGAGGGGCGGTCCATATTCTCACTAAAATCAGACATGAATCATTATAGACTGTTCTTTGATTCATCCTTCTGCTGAATGATATAATTAGTTACATCTGTATACCCCAACTCTAGTTTCCCTCAGAAATTGAATCAAAGCTTTACAGTCCTCTGTGAAGTTTATGATGTATGCAAAACACATGGTAGAACATTTTGGATGTCCACCATTCTGCTTGTGTACCAATACACTTATGAGCTAAATTTTGACTTTTGATAACAGATGAAGGTGAAAACATGACCCTTCATCCCACAACGAGGAGATCCATAGCTGCCTCACAGAAACCCATGACCCAGGCACAGAGTCGTCTGCATGAAACTCAAGTCGTGGACGCTAGAGGAAGTGGGCAGCGCTGGGCTTCTCTGCACACTCTCTATCATTGTACAAAGCCTATAGCAAAGGGCTACATTGAGCATTTGGTGAAGGAAGAAATTAATGAGACGGAAAGACACACATAAGAGGAGGGAGGGGGTGTGTAGGTGTGTTTAAACAGTCTATGGTTTAAACGACTGGAGGCCCGGGATGTTTTTACTCTTTTGGACCAGCTGCTAAAACAATCAGAATAACAGTGCTATATATTGTGTCTCCAAACAGACCTCTGCTCTTCAGGCTCACATGTGCTGTATCTAGTCCTATCTGTAGTTTTAAAAATGTCGCAGTGCTTAGCTTCCGCCTCGGCACAGGACCCACGGGAGCAGAGTTGATTTCTCTGTCAGATGCTGGTAACAGTAAACTGGGAAAGGAGATGTTACTGACTGCGAAACACATCATATCACAGAGTGTGGCGCTGAGCAGAGCCAAGAGCTGGACAATTATGTTACGTCTAAGTTCATTGTACAAAAACACAAACATGTCATTTGTAGTTTAAAGTTTTTATTATTTAATACTAATCAGATCTTGTTTTTGATCTTACTGATTTCATAAAGCTACAATCTAAATCTATTGAGTCTTTCCTTCATGTAGAGCTCATTTATGCAGCACATTTTATACAACAAGTTTCCAAAGTGCTGCACGGAGATAAAAGCAACAAAATTAAATATACAGCTCTGTCTGCTTTATACATACATATAAATAGAATTAGGGCTACACGATATATCGGAAAAATGTCATTATTGAGATATTGGTGCGTGCGATATCCATATCGAAAATATGTGCGTCTTTTTTAAAGACAACAAAACAAACAGACACATCAACGTTCAATAAATACAACAAACAAACACACAAACAAACAAAAAAGTATGTAAATATATGCATTTGAATGTCATTAATGTTTTTGTCATTTGTCTCTTGCGTTTCAAAGCAGATTGCAATTTTAGAAAGAAACAAATATAACACTCATCGAATAACGCTCTAATTTCCAATATCGTGCAGCCCTAAATAGGAAACGTTTAAAAAAAATAAAAGTAAAAATGACACAATAAAATAAAGAAAACAGGACCACACAACTCACACGATGTTAAAAGCCAGAGAGTAAAAGTGTGTCCTAAGACACTTCAACATTCCAATGAGGAAGTTGTTTTGACGTTGGGGGGCAGACTGTTCCAGAACGTTGGACCAGACACAGGGAAAGCTGGATCCAAACGATATCAATCCTGCTTTGATTGAAAACCCAATTATCATATGTTAACATAAATAATGTACCCTGATCTGTGTATGAGCGCTATATAAATAAATATACATTATCATACGTTATCAGATGTGATGTCACACTAAGCCTTATAATGGGGACACAGATGGAATATACTGTATAGATGCAATATGAAATCTTAAAAACTGTATGTGGTTTATGTATTAACCACATACAATAGTATGTGGTTAATACATAAACATACTATTGCAGTAGGGCTGTAAAAAATGGCAAATAAGTAAAATCTCGATTTTCTTTCCTGCTTTGGAAGATTTCTATTTTAAAATCGATTGTCATTAAAGTCACCGAGGACAGACTCTCTTTCCACTCAATATTCAAGTTTCAAAATTATTTTTAATTTGTTTCCCCCAATACGTATTATAAAAGTCTTGTACAGACTCGGCTGATATTGCAAGTATAATTCATGTGCTGCTGGAACAATATCCTTCATTCGATTTCCAAATTTTTCACAAATTCGATTTTTTCAAAAGACGATTAATTGTCTAAATTTGATTTATCTCCCAGCCCTATCTGGTCCTAAAGGCTTCTAACCAAAGATCTTTTTGCCGAGAAGCCACTCTGTGCGCCCAACATGGATTACATCTTCCACGTGATGTTAAATAAAGTAGGCCTGTAACAAGTGAATCAATTAATCGCAGTTAATTAGTTGAAACGCAGACAGTTATTACACTGTGGATAGAGAATATCGTGGCCACTGAGGCTCACATTAAGAAGAGTCTTTGTCGTCTGCTAAACAGTGACAATGTAAAGAGTGTGTGAGCCGACAGATCCATATGGCGGCCAGTGATAAAGGATGGAGCGCGTGGGAGATGTGCATTCCGCCTCTGAGTTCCATTTCCTGTCTCTCACCCACCACCAGGTCTAAGTCCTTTCACAGATGACCAAAAGCTCACAGCCATCAGTGCGCTGCGACGCGTTCTAATCGTCACAATGATGTACAACGCACACAAATCTCAAGTATTAACTCGGGTGTGAAAAATTCCTGGAGTACCTAGAGGAAAGGCCTGCATGCCGACCGGTTAAAATATCACCACTGATCCTGTGTTGCCACTGCCTTTAAGGTGCATTCCGCCTGTTGCCATGGTGATGATGTTATTGCTTTTGCTTGGAATGTTGCTCAAAAATATTACATTATCTAATTACAGATGGTTTTTACTGAATTATAATATTGCGGAAAACGTTGTCTATTGTGTGTTCTTACAGATTCATGTATTTACCATTTGCAGTAAAACCACATTGAAAAAACTGTGCAAGACTACCCCAGTGTGCACTAGACTGGGGTAGTACTGCACACTTGTATACGGTAGCAACATTAAGAAATACTATGACAATTTATTTATGCTATTTTTACTTTTATAAACATCAGCCCTAGCAGATTCCTAGCTTGCGACCTCCTGTTACTTCCAATGGCAATAAAAGAATTCTGATTATGATTATATAAAGATTTATTAAACATAGATTTAAATATTTCAAGCTTTTATTTCTTCTAATTGTTCCACATTCTGAAATTACTGACAAAAGATAGTAAACCTTTTCACAATTTTCATTATGTTTCAGTTTGTGGAAAAGTTCAATGCCAAACAGTGGAACATTTCAGGCAAACACTTCGACGGTTGTGAGGGAAGATACATACTGCATCTTTATCTATCATAGGACATTTATAAAGTTATGGCTTCTATGTGACCTCAGAACCTCCAGAATTCACTCACTCATGTTAAGGCCTGTCACAATAATCTTTGATGGACATTATAGCTTTAAAAAAATATTGCTATAAACAAGAGCAAACAACTATATGCTGCTGTAAAAGTAAAATACAGCAGGATCATGTCAAGAAAATAGCCTGCAGAATTAGGCAAAGGAAAAGTACAGACGTAGGGTGCAACTGATAATCATCTTAATAACTGATAAATCCATTGATTACTCATTTGATTAATCCATTAGTAGTTTAGAATGCTGATATGGCATTTTGTTTATATTTGAGTAAGATAAAGCTGAAGAGAAGCCACCAGAGAAAAATAACAAGAGATTAACAGAATTCTTAATTATATCCTTATTAAAATCCCATTTCACAACCCTTATGTTGGACTATGTATATACAGCAATTGATCAATTACTTAAACAGTAGTTATTCCTAAAAAAAACGTGTTAATAATATGAGCTAATAATAACCCATTCATTATTTCAACTCCTGTACAGACGCTAAATACTGAGCCCAAAATATATAATATCCATTCATCAATTATTAAAGGAGAAGTCAGTATAGTTGTTATTGTGACTGTTCATGTTCGGGATCAGGTACGGAGGATTTGGAAAAGAGACATCTTCGGTTCAATCCAAATGAGAGACTTGTGTGAGCCTTTTATCTGATTAGACATTATCCTTTAAACCGAACACCAAAAATAAACAACTTGTGGGGTGCATTACAAAGCTGATTGGACAGAGTCAGGCTTTAAATCAGTGACCTGGCCTCTCATTAAACGCAGCTCAGATACAACAACGCTGGGGCAGATTTGGAAAGGCGAAGTTTGAGCTCAAGTCTCTGCAGTTTTACTGAAAAAGAGGCATGCATGTAGAACTGTCAGATCCAGTGGGTGATACGGATTCAAAGTATATAGATAGATAGATAGATAGATAGATGGATGGATAGTTTATTGATCCCTGTAGGAGAAATTCAGGTGTCCAGTAGCAGCAAAAATAAAAAATAAAATGGATCATTCTAAAAAGCTAACAATAGTAATAATAAGCAACAGTCCTTCAAGTCACAGCAGCAGAGATGTATGATACTGACACAATATAGCCAGAAAATAATAAGCCATTTAAGTTTGAAAACGTGAGCTGAAAGTGCGGATCTAAGATATGCAACCCTCTACATCTAAATGAGTTTCACAAAAAGCCGGAGTGGCCTCAAATAACTAAAGTCCAAACTAATAATGCATAATAATCCTAATAACAGCAATAATAATAATTGTTTGTACTTGTAATGTAATCACCACCTATTTGTCCTTTCTCTTCCAACGCCTCAGTACTTTCCTTCAAGAAAATAATAATACATACAAACATAAGGATCAGATTCAATAATAGAGGAGAGAATCAGAATATGTTTTCAATTCCCCCACGTTTTCTTGCTTTGGGTCGAATCTTTCTATGAACAGACTGAGTCCTGAATTTATTTTAAAATAAAAGAGACTTCCCGTTTTGGCAGTCGCATTGATGGTATCCTGTACTGATTAGTCTGGCTGGGAGAAAACAGTGCTTCACATGGACGGATCAAATTATTGCCTGGTAATGAATAAATAATAACCACACTGTTTGAAAGCCCTTTAAACCGTTTGTACGTTAGCGCACGTCCAAATGTCTAATCCCATTTTGCATCATAGACAATATTTCATTAAACCTATATTTGTTAAGTGTTCCACAAGTCATTCATTAACTTGGAGTGATGTGGAAAAGGTTAATCATGTAATCTTTACCTCAAAACTAGATAGATTTCTACATATGACATAAGAAATTTTAGTATAATTGTGAACTATATCAGAAGCGCTCATAGAGTACACTGTGGGACCATAAAAAGTACTATTATAAAGGATGCCAAAGAGCCCAAAATGTAGGATATTCATTAGTATGGAAGAGTATTGTGAAACACTAGGAGTAATAATATCCAATACTTTATTTTAATGTTTTGTGTCCACTGTCATCTAAGAAAATGTATATATTTTGACGTATGCTAATCTTTTGCATAGAGAATGTAGTTTTTTATATTTTATCTATAGTATTAACATTTCCTTGCGTGGGAGGAATAAACTTCTCATATCATATTTTTCTACACAAAGGTTTTATGTTATCAAGTCCTTCAATAGTCCATCCCAGGGACTCTGACAGTTCATATCACCAGCATCAAAATACATGAAGAGACACGTGAGGAAAAAGTCAATATTTGGCCTGAACGAGGCTGGTGCTGGGCCTATATCTAAAGACTCGTTGTGCAATCTGCTGCTGGACTTCATGAATGGAAATCCTATTGAATGGCTCCCATATCCAGCTCCACACAGGCCTATGAATGGAGCTTGCGTCGGTACTGTGTCATTGTTGGATCATCCACACAGACAAGCGTGCGGCTGCATCACACAAAGACCATTTAACATTTATATTTATATTTCATTTTTGTTAAAGTCCTCTCACAATGCGTTATATGTTCTCGAATGGCTATTATTACCCCTTAAACAAGCAAAGCGCGCATAGAAACACGGCGAACATAATAGAGGCAGACTTGCAGTGGGGGATGAGCTCTGAAGCATCACATCCAGCCTCCTCTCCTCTTCTGCTTTTCTCGAGGACCGATGCCGTCAATCACCTCTCTGTGCGTGACGCTAAAACCATAAAAGAGCGCCGCGCCTCTGCACTAGCTGGGCATTGTGAGGTGAGACTGACTGAGCGACAGAAAGGACGACACAAGCGCGTCTCACCTCAATGATACGGCGGCGTTTTGAGGCGCATGGCGTGACTGCTCTTGGGGGTGGTCTCAGAGGCCGCTCGGGAGCTGTGGACGCACGGACGGGTCAGCTGCGTCTCCATCTCCAGAGCTCGCGTTCTGCTGCTTCACCGCCGCCTCCTCTCTGTTGTGGACTCATCAACACACAAGTCACACAAAGTCACGCGAGACTACGCTTCCGCCACGACCCGCAGAAGTAAAAGTGCGCAGGGTCGTGTTTAGGAGTCGTTCTGTTTAAACGGTAGTTTCCAGATAAATATGAGAATAGACATATTTAGACAGTGTGTTGAAATATACGACCCGGAGAACGACTGTTTTCATGTGAGTGTTATAGTTGGGAAGTCTCTTGAACGCGACAAAGCTTTTACTTTGAAGGCAGATCCCGGCCGCATGTGGTATGTCTTTTGACTTGATCATTGTTCCCATGGTCTGTGTGGTACTGATCTTTTTAATACCATTCGACCTTAAAGGAGCCACACCCTTTTATTGATGCCTATCTATGTTGTTTTAGCAAACAGTGTGTTGACATACACATATTTAATATGATATTGAACAATGAAACCTAATCAGTGTTAATGTTATGTTTATTATCATGTGCAATGTGCAATAATGCAACTTCAGAATGTCACAGAACAATGTCACTTTACCTCATGTCACTTTACTTATATACTTTTTATCCTGCACTATTTAACTGTACAGTATATAACTGCACTACTACATACATTTTGTTTGACTGGTATTGAAGCTTTTTCAGCATCTACAGCTAGTTATGTTAGCTAAGAAACATAGCTACTTCTTATTTGTATATAGTGTATATATTGTGTGTGATCCCTGTGTGCTCTTACTACTGTCTTATATGTGCGATGCAACATCAATAAGAATTCCTTTATTCGTCCCACAGTGTCCCCACTGTGGGACGAATAAAGGAATTCTTATCTTATCTTATCTTATTAGGCGCCTACTTTCTTACTCTCAACCACCAAGGATGATAGAGATAGTATAATGATCCTCTTTGAGAGGAATCTGCAGGCACACATAATTTAGAACTATGGATGTTTACTTTTGCTACTGTGATTAGTCAAACATTTTATTTTTTATTAAAATGCCATTGCCTAAATGTAGTGAGGAGGCTCCTAATGAAACTGATGCAGGACTGGTCTGACACTCTCCTCTGAGACCTTATATTGATCCCCACACACTTCCTGGCGGAAGGATGAATCGACAGAACCCTGTGGGGCAGGGGCCACTTCAGCCTCCACTTTGTGTCCATGTTTTTGTCTCTACATGACTCTACCCTGGTCCCACAACCCCCCACCCATCTGAGAGAAGCACAAACATCATGCAGTGATGCGGGAGGCATTGATTTTGGGTTCAAAAATATACCAGGTTAAGACTTCATTGAGGTAAGCTGTGGGAGGGAAGGGACCTGGGCACAAAGGGGAGAAGAAAATACTTTTCAGTTGAGTTGCCGTGAAAGCATCCACAGAGCTGGAGATTGGCCTCATGGGGCCATTTGAGAGTCAATATGTCAGTGTGCATTAATAGGAGCCATGGAAACTAAGCACATAACGCCTTTTCATGTGACAGAACAGGCCCATGCTCCAGGACTGCACTGTTTAACTGAAAACACAAAGATGTGAGGAGACACTAACTTCACATGTTTCTTTTTGATGAAGGAACAGATCATGGTCTGTAGTGTTGACGCCAGTGTTCAAAAGTGACAATACAGCTGGAACCTCTGGATATGTAATGATTTTAGTTTGGATTTTTACTGACAAACCACAAGAAACTATCAAACAAACCTGCTTAAGTAAACACAGAACTTGAGGTAATACTGGAATCCACTTCTACAAGGTTTGTCAATGGGGAATCTACACTGAGGCTGATGAGCTATAAATAAACATTACTTACTACTTACTTACCTTGTGCTTCATTTGATGTTTTGTTCTTTTTGTGTCCATCAAGGAAAAATTGTTTAAAAATGGCAAAAGAGAAAGCAAACTGATACATGACTTTTGTGTTTCTTTAACAATAGAATCCTGAAGTCTTGATACTTTGTGGGACCTATTTTTGCTGAAATCACTCAACCTTATCCCTGTGCTCTCGAGTGTTCCCCTTGGACATCATGATGGGGTTTAGTGACCAATGCACTCTACACATAGCTCTGAGGCCGTGTCACAGAGCAGAGGTTATTATTATGAGAACAGATTACACACAGGCGGGTTCTGTTTTATCATTAGGGCAAGATGTGAGCATTCAACAGTCACTAGGACATGTTCAAAGGAAATGGGCTCAGACCAGTCACTGAGAACCATGTTACAACACTTGGTCGAGCCCAAACTGAAAGAAAAGACAGCGGCTCGTCAGCATCTCTATGTTTGCCGACATTCAACATAAACTCATGTGACAATAAAAATAAGTAAAGAGGTAATAAGAGAGAACATTCATAACAAAATGACAACAGACTGATCTCTTCTTTAAAGGAATTGCAAAGGGAAGAAGCAGTGGAAAAACCCAGAATTGATCCTCGGTATAATAGGTCTTATCTAACATGGATGGTTCTACTGTAGGATTGGTTGCCTTATATATATATATATATACCTGTTCATATTTTTTTTCAAAGGCATAGAAACCTGATGATGATAGACAATGGGTCATTTACAGATACTGGTGCATTGAAAAAGAATACAAAAGATATGAAAATAAAATCAAATATATTTATGAGAAATTAAAAACAAGTCTCTTCCACCCATGTGCAGATGTCGGCTTTATAAACCAGTCACAGCAACAAATATTCAATATCATCAGCAAGACATGGCTTTTAATGTTTAGACCCTGCCCTACTCAAAAGTCACTCCAGCCTTAAAACAAATTTACATCAACAAGATAAACTTAAAATTATATACATGACGCTTTTCAACTCATGTCAATTGTTATACCATTTCCCTCAAGAGACAATATCCCTCAGAATTTAGAAAACATTTTTGGGACAGGATATATAGATATTTTTTATACATTTCTAAAGCATGCATCCAAAGGATCTTATTTGATAACAATTTACAAATTATATTAAAACAACAAAGAGGCAGATCAAAATAACATCGGACACACAGTGCGTGCATGCAGCGCCCTCTATTGTTGGAGTTCTGCGTCATAGATCACAGGTCCACATGGAAAGTAATGGTGGGGCATCTTTCTTTCTTTTAAAAACGTTTCTTTTAACAGCATCAGTCCAGACTGTTAATGCTGCCTCCGTATGGGCACAGTTGCAGACAGAGGATAAATAAAAGTAGTATAAATTAGGAGGGAAGTGAACCCATTTTGAGGGAATAGTGAAATGAAATGTTTTCCTATTGGATTGTTTTTTGTTTTGTATGACCTGCTCAAATAAATTGATGGATTGAATAGTGAAGTTATGCAGTCTTCAGTTCAAAAGCGTCGCATACTTTACACTGTGGTCTATGAGACACATTTGGGCACTGTATGAATGAATGAATGCATGTTTGGCTGGTGGAGAGGTAATGTGAAATGGTGTGCGTGTGGGCGAAGAGAGCGAGATTATGAATGGTCACACACCTGGGGCTCTGATTCGATCCGTTTGGTTTATTTTTGCGATTTTCTGGCGTTCACCACGCATTTTGCCATTTGATCAATGAATAAGAGTTGACTATCTACACTGGATCTTGTCTCGTTGTAGTTTTCTATTGAACTTTAGCGCGTTATGCACTAATATTGGACCCATCTTGCCTCTGCGGCCTGAGGCAACACGTTGTAAGTAAGCATGTTTGCATGATTACATATATATAGATGAACAGTCAAACTGTTTAATGAAAACTCAAGACGTCCGTGCAGACAGCTTTTTGAGTCATTTTCTCAACTATATTTATTACTCATGATTTAACACGGATCTCCCCAAAACAAGAATCACTCTTAATAAAAGACGACACAAATACTGCCTACATTTTAATTTGGAATATAACACAGAAAGCACAGTTCCAAAGACAAACTGGTATAACATTGATTCATTAAATGATAAGAAAAATCAAAAGGCGCTATATAGATAGATAGATAGATAACTTTATTTGCGGACTCGAGGTCCAAAGACACAAGACAAGAATACTGCCCATGACTATCATCAAACCCCATCTTCCATAATAACTGCCTTTTTCCAACATAACCGCATTATATAATTCTAGATTCTGTTTGTCTATACATAATTACTGATTAGACACATTTAGCACGCACCACACATTACTGCCATGATTTCATAAAAGCCGTTGCATGTGTTAGTTATTAAAATTCAACAGAAAGAAAGTCATAAACCTAATCTTATAGCAAACATCCCATCGCTTGATGAATGTATGTGGAAGCGCCCTCTAGTGGGCAGTCGGTGAGTTGCATATGTGACATCGCAGATTTTCACAGATTTTGGTCATTCTCATGAAAACGGTGGAGATGGTCAGCATACCTAGAAGAAACAGAACGAAAGTGATCACAATATGAAATAAATTAGTCCATATCGCCATTATATAGTACTATTCTTTAGGCCTATATACCATATATCATTATTGCCCTTAACTTACTTCTTTGCACATAAGGTAGAGCAATCCCTCCCAACACTCTCACTCCAAGCAGTCTTGTACAACACCTACCGGTAATAAATAGGTGTAGTAAAGTTATTGAGTATTTTATATAAATATACAATATAAATATGAAACAAATATTAAGCATACCAAAAACACCAGGCAATGTAGGAACAGGGTGTAGAAGAATGCAATGGTGCGAGCCAGCTTGTTGGACAAAATAACTCGCCCCTGTAACAAGGTAATGGAAATTATTAGGTTTTAGGTTTGTTGTTTCCATTTGAGACACACTGATTTTTCAAAGTGCCATGGCCTCTGGACCAGATCAGAACAAAACAACATCCTTGTTTAGTATCAACTATGATTTTAACTGGAAATTCAACAATCTAGTATTATATCCAACAGGTTTAGAGTTTTCACTGTCTGTAATATATACTAATAAAAATCAGGGCCTGTTGTGGCCCTTCATCATATTCTCACCAGACTCAGGGTGGCTTTATCCCAAGGACTAAGGCTCAGGTATCGACGCTGGCGCTCCTGTGAACAGCGAACAAATGAGTAACAATATAACAGATCATATTGGTCCAGTGTGTACACTTAGGTGGGTGAATGTACCCTCTTGCCGAAGGAAGCGAATGGGTCCAACCTTTCCTCGTACTGAGAGGAGTAGCGCATCACGGTGTCATCACTCCCTCCAGCCTTTAATGGCAAATACACATTCACATTGAAAGGAATTCATAAATACTAGGAACAAATTCATGTTGCATTCGGATGCTTACTTTTCCTGGATAGCTTTGCAGGAATTTTATTTTCTCATAGAGCTTGATGTTGTCAGCCCTCAGACTGTCCAATTCATTCTGCAGTGCCTGCATTGTTTGCTGCATGGAGCGACTTTCCTAAACAAGTAGGAAATAAAACGCAATTAACCAAAATACATTAGCTTATCAGATAAAAAAAAAACATAGCTGGGACGAAGTCCTTATTTACAAGGCTCAAACCACAGACGGGTAAGTCCAAGTACATTACATCGTAGCCTGCAAGTTAAAGCCGGATCGCTTTAGAATTAAGTACTTCCCAGGCCCTCTTTGTTGCTAAGCTTCTGTTATGGGAGACCATACCAGGTCCAACAGAGATAGAAAACTGCGCCCTGCTGTCATCCTTCGGAAAGACACTTCACCCACATAGTACGAGTCTGGTGTGTGCTCGAATGTTTAGTGGACAGTGAGAGGTGCAGGTCTTTGCTTCAGTTAATCTACCCCCGGGCAGCTGTGGCTACAGAAGTAGTTTATCGCCCCAGTGTATAGTGTAAATGAATAATGCAATGACTTACTTCTAAAGTCAAAATCCTTTACAATGTCATGCATTATTCATTCATTAGCTCTACACACAATCATAGTAAGCCTGAGTCATGATAAGATTGTTTTGATAAGCAGGTATGGCCACTTCAACCTTAGATTCTAAAAGATCACTGTATAAAACCAATGTCTATAAGGATTCAATTCAAATTCTAAAAAACACGTCACCTTGAGACATCTCTCATATGCAGAAATCACGGCCCGAGTCCTGAGTCAGTGTAATAATTGTACTTTCAAGTCTGACATGAGTCCACATCTATTGATAAGGCTCATTTATTTAGAAACACATAAGAAACTTACAGCCTCAAGCTCCTGATTGCGAGAGCGAAACCTTTCTCGTTGGCTTGAGATGATGGAGAGCAAGGAGTCCATTTGACCCTGAGGAAGATCAATATGCTGTGGGTTCACACCTGGACCTAAAAGACAGTTCAGAAATACAATAACATCTATTTTAGTAAATAGAATACATTTTTGTCAAGTAAACATTAAAAACAAAGGACACACCAGAAAACATGGCAGAGGCCTCCTTGATGGGTTCTGGGATGTTGCCCATGTCAGGGACGTCGGAGCCGTCCGCACTGGGACGAGCCAGAGAGGACATGGTCTGAACTGTGCTGAGATCGTGCTCCAGCTTCACAATGAGGTCCTTCTGCTCAGCGCTGGTCCTGACAGCAGCAGAAAACTCCACCTGCAGCTCTGCATAGCGTCCTGGGGAGACAGTGGCCACGTCAGTGGGTCGTTTACACCTCCTTCCTCTGTATTGAGGGAAGTATAGTGCCGTGAGCACTCACCTGTGGATCTTGAAAACAACCATAACACCAAAGTATAACACATCTTAAGAGTGCCGATATTTTCCTCTGAGAATACTTGAATTGAAAACACTACTACAAACACATTAAACACACTCTTGGTATTTGTATAAAAGAGATTTACTTCAATTATCACACCTAGGGTGCATGTGAATAATGATGATGAATCAGATGTCAATCATAACAAATACATTGTGAACATTTCATACAGTGATATTGCTTTTCAATGTCGTAAAAGGGACTGTTTTACAGTGCTGAGAACAAACAACATGGTACATTTAGTAAATATAAAGATAAGGAAACGATGCATGATGAAAAACAATAGATGGGAAACCCCAAAGAGAAAAAAAGTTTTTTCAGGAGTGACAGAAGTGCTAAGGAAACAGCTTTCAAAACATTGAAATCATCCCTTTACAGTCATGCAGCCTTTTGAACTACAACACACATACACGCACACTCGCAAACTCACAAAGAAATCAGTGGAGAGGTTATGACAATTATTACTTCAACATTGTTGATGAACGGTTGGAAAATAGTCTACAAACACTCTGAACTTACTAAAGCCTCAACAAGGATTTTAAAGCTTTCCAAAGGGTGGGGTGAGCTCGTCCCCAGGTCTTTTGGTTCAGACTACACTGTGTTTGAAGCCCTGGGTGAATTGAAGCAACGACACTAGGTAGCAACACACAGAAAAATGTCAGCAACATTTCAACATAAGTGGACAAATACTTCACTTTTTGGCTTTATGCTTACTCTTTTAAGTCTTACAAGTTTTTAGTGAGTGATGCTTAACTGTTGAATCACCAGAACAAAATAACATATGTTTTAAGACTTGAAGTTAGCTGGAGCCAAATTGCAAGTGAAGGGGTAGTTAGAGGGTGATATTATTGTGCTGTCTCAAGTGTACGTGTTTCGGAGTGTGCCATGTACATAGCACCACTAATTTGGAAAGTGTTACAAAACCCACTTCATAAGTTATATTTCAAAAGTATTACAAAAACATCTGAGGTTCGTCATTCTTTTTTCCTGAATATGGTGACCAGTGCTGCTGCTCAGGCTTCCATTACAACTAATGTTAATGAATAACCACTACTTCAACAGATCATACAGTAAAGCTTTACAACTTCAGAAAACAAGATAATGATATACAGCATCTGTTACACCTTTACAATGTTATTCAACAGTGTATAGAATTATCTGATTTAAATTTGTAGAAAAATATCTGGATTATGGAAAAGTCCTGAATCGTCCCTTCTCTGCCTTCAAATAAAAGCATACCGCGTCAAAAGTGAATCAATAGCTACTGGAGCAACGGTATTTACACCTCTCTCTTCCAAATAACCATTACAATTGGCACACCTTATATGAATACCTGTCGTGCCCTTATAAGTGTCACAGCAAACCTGACAAACAGAAAAATACAAAATGCCCCATGAAGAAATTCAGTGTTATTACAGTGTACAATGTTTCTGCATGCTTCCTCCTTCATTCAATGCTCTGGCCTTTCAATGCTAGATATGTACAACAGAAGAAATGCACTGTAGGGAACGGTCTGAAGTTAGATCCGAACAAAAAACATGTCTTCAGGTCAGTCATATGTTGAATTGTTCAACTGTATATACATCCCTCTTCAGAGAGCTGAGAAATGTTTGCTTTAGTCCTAAAATGAGGTGTGCGTGGATACATATTGAACATGGAGAACGAGGTGAAATATTCTAATGACATCACTAGTTTGGTGCCCTGCTTGGCAGTTAAAGGCACAAATCTGATGATCTCATGTGGTTGAGATGAGTTGATGAATCAGGCTATAAAATAGGTCAAGTGCTTAAAATTTACAGTAGCTATTTATCACCATAAAACACACGGTGGCTATTCAATAGAAGCAGTCCAGCAGAAGGCAACATGCCTTTAGTTTGTAGAAGACTCATGTTTTACATCAGCCATCCACAGGAAGAGCCTGACGTTGACGGGTTTTACAAATATTAGAAAATCCAATTTGAACAGTGCAATGAGTAACAATGTTATACTTAATAATGGCTTACAACACGAAGATATTTTACATGTTTGAAGGGAAGGGTCCCAACTACAAGATTATGCATTTAATACAAAATAAAGGCCAATGAGTTTGCCTGTACTGTGCATCTGATGCTCTGAGACTGGCTTCAACATATCAATAGCATTATATTTAGTGTTTGGATTCTGTGTCTGTGCTTGGTTCACAACCAGGTTTAAAGGCAAATATTTCCCAGCATTTTGGGATTTTTCTTATATAGTGATAGTGTTTATGGACCCTGTCCCAGGAAAATCTTCATAAAGATCCTAAGTGCTTTGTTACAGACTGCATAATCATGGGCTGGCTATCTGTTCAACCTGGCATAGTACACCTGCTCGCTGGTACACCTCACTAATCTCAATTTGGCAGATATGACCTTTCAAGTGGAAATGTATCCTCAAGTTTAGGTAATTTCATTTGACCTTTTCAACATGTAACATTTGGACCTAATAACGCATTTAAATGTTAACAATATTTGAGTAAATTCTGCAACAAAACTGCAAAGCTTTAAGCTGGGGGTCTGCACAGTAATCCAAAATTAAACCCAGAGAACGAAATATAGAAAATATATATAATTATTTTGATATGTCCTTGATATCCTACCAAGCAATTTAAGAGCACAACTGTCTTTTTAGCATAATGCTAATGGGAGCATGTAGAAATCACAATATTATAAGCAAATTGAAATGACACTTAAGTTTAGGACTCTTGGATATACAAAACAATTGAGAACTAGTACATCTTTGTAAATATTAACCAATACTGCCGGCAGTCTATAACTCTAATAAAAATGTTACTTGCCCTCTGAACAGTATAATCCCTTAATAATAGACAACTCAAATTATAAGACATTACATGAAAAAAAAAATACAGCACCTATAAATAAGCAGAATTAAAACCAACCTATAAATGCATAAAAAGCAATAAAACCAAACTACAGTAAATCATAGTATTACACTACTTTGTGAGAAGATTAATGTAATGGTAACGCATTAAACAGCTTAAAGAAGGGTGTCAGTTGTGCACTAGTAGTGTGTGCAAGTAGATACGAAATATGACCCCACACATTAAAAAACACTGAACACTCATCAATCACACGCTTTGCAAAAGACACGCGCCTTTGCACATGTGCACACTCACACAGGGAGGCAGTGGGCTGACAGGCACTGAGGGCTCGTGTGGGACAGGGAGGTGATATGACTTTGATTTGTAGTGTATACACTAGAATTCAATGCAAAAATGATTGAAATCCCTGGATACAGGATAGGCTGCAGGAGAGTAGTTACTGGACAGGAGAGGGATAATAACACAAAATAATGATTTCTGTTCGCCCAAGCTTGCTTGCAAACCCATTTTCAGTCATTGTACAGTATTTTTTGTGTGATATTAACCCAACTGTAATGTACATGCAGGCATTATAAAACAAACGCACAAACACACTCTTCCTGATTTGGCCTATAAAATGTGTATAATGAACAGTGACTTTGTGATGGGCACACACTCAGCATGTCCAGTGCAGAGTGTGACAACCACGACTTAAATAACAGACAGGTGTGGTAGCACAATGTCACACAGCTAAAGTAATATGTGAAGTATAACAGAGTCAGAATGAAATATTACTCTAATTTATGCTTTCTTAACAATGTGTCATTTTCACATTTTCTTTTCTTTTATGGATTAATTAAAAATGCTTTCTAAAATTCCCTATTTTGTACTCTTTAGAGTCAAAAGACTGTGCAATCTCTTATTGGCAACCAAATTGCAATAATTAAAAAAGAGATCATCCTTCATCCTTAAGGAAAGGTCAAGGAGGCAAAAAGTCCTTCCTTCCTTTTCAGATGAGTGCATGTGTTTGTATGAAGACTTGAATCCCTTAGGCCATTACATGGCTGTCCGGAGATAAGGGTCATAACAGGTTAAAGTTCCTAAAAAGACAAAAATAAATTCGGTAACCATGGCAGCTCAGCTAGCGGTCTATTCACCACCCACTAAGAGTGTAGGAGTGAGTTAAAACATGCTGCCTTTGAGAAACACCACACCCAGCAGTTTGGGTGCATAACACAGGTGCACACTGACGCAACCCTAACATACAGACACACACACGCAGTGAGTGAAAAGGCAAAGGGTTTGTAACAGTCACTCTACAGTGTGAAAATGAGGCATCTCACTGAGTGAGGGGAGGTCTGTGGACACTTGGGAGGTGAGAAGAGCGGATAAATCTCCTTTAAGAAAGTAAGTGTTCTTGTAAGAGAGTTCCTGTCTCGATCTATCATCTATCAGTGTCTATCACTGTGACAGCTGCTGTGTCAGGCCGTGCCTGTTTTACTGAGTCCAGGTCAGAAGCCCAGCTGCAGGTTACACCTGAGCATAGGCCCAACCAGTCTGGTGCACCAGTGGCTGGTGATAAGGGAGGTACAGCAGGGCCAGAGGCCAGCAGGACGGCTAAGTGCTTTTCTGAATACAAAAACTAAATTCAGTTTAAAAAAAAAGAAGAGACAAGTTCTCCTATTTTGTTCTTCTAGTTATTCAGTAAATCTTTTTAGGGTTTTACCAACCACTCTTTGTCTCTTTCCTTTTTGGGGAAAGCTTAATGTAATAAAATGGCTGCTGAGCTTGACTTTGGCTGTGTTCACTCTCCAAATGGAACAGACCAGGAGGTTGTGAGGTTATGAGACAAAAGGGGTGAGGAGCTAGAACTCCCACTCTGAAGGATCTTCTTTACTAGCAGCCTTCTCCAGTCTGTGGATAATATTATTGAGATTGGCTGCTTTTTTCTTTCGCAGATTGTTGTCCTTGGGATTTCTGGCTGGGCCAGAGGCTGGGATATTTGCACTGGGAGCAGAGCTACTGGGTGCCTCTGAGAGGCTAAAGAGCCCATGTCCGGGTCCGGGGGTGCTGCAGTCTGTCGGGGCAGGGGAGTTATTAGAGGCCCCTGCTTCAGAATCCTCCATGTCTTGATCTTTACACACTCCTCTGTTATCCTCCATCCCCAAGCCTGTGCCCTCGGACTCAGTCCCATCGCAGCTGTCGCCTTCTCCGGCTTTGGATCCTCGGAGGGAAGGAGAGCCCCTGTCACTGCCTGGCCCAACTCCTCCAGCTGCCTGGATCTCCTCTATGAAGAGTTCTCGTCGAATACGTGACCTAAGAACAGAAATCAATAACTAAGATGAGCACATCTTTTGTAATGCTGCTACGTCGTTAATCCTCACCTGTAATTATGAAACCAGTTGATGACGGTACTGGTTTTCAAGTTGAGCTGCGATGCCAGTTCCTCAATAGTTTTGGGTGAGGGATAGGGTTTCTGCTGGTAGGCCCTTTTCAGTGCCTCTTTTTCTTCTGGGCCCAGTACCACTCTAGGTTTTTTCAGATGTTGCTGTCCAGGGCTCTGTGAGCCTTGAATATAGTCTTGTCCAACGATGCTTCCATCCAATGAATGCCCATCACTCAAAGAACTCAGCCTCCTCTTCATGTAAGCTGATAAAAGACAGTTATACAACATTAGCGATTGACGGCAGTGAATCACAAAATAACAAGCAACAAAAGACACACAGAAACACATTTGTCAACAATCCAGAAAGTCCACTAGGCGGTGCTAGTGTTCTTCAGATCAGGCTAAACAATGGATTGTGCATCCGGCTTAAGGCATAAAGGCAGTACATAGCTTAAAAAGAACAGCTCATGGCCGCCTCACATGAGGTTGACATTTTTAACCCCAATATGCTGCTAGACGTTTTTCAGAGAACAAGCCCTCGGAGCAAGGTTAGATCAGTGGAAAGTAGTGCATTGCCTTGTAGGCTTCAACAAAAAGGGTGAAAGGTCAATAATGGTTGCTCCGGACTAGGACCATGTCTTCCCCTGAGCTTTTATGGGTCAGGATTTATTTATTCTTAAATACAAATGCAACGTAAACGGTCATGAAACATTTTAATGGCTCAAACAGTAAAGTAATTGGAGTGAAAATAAACAAATTAAAGTCATCTCAGAACTAGGTGATTATGATTCTATATGTGGCTTATCTGCACAAACTGATGAAGAGAAAACATTAAAACAAGCTTATAGACACAGATAATTATGATGATGCTGATGAAGAGGAGTGCTGATGACTGTGAGTAAGCAGCCCTACGGCAGTCCCCTCGCTGTCGCATCTAATACTGTATGTGATGTCCGCAGTCCTGATTTGCACTGACAACACACCAAGACAACTGTGATCTGCACAACATGCTGTGTTATGCTTAAAGAAGGGTGGATGTGCAAACATGAATTTAACATTCTTATAATTCATATCATTAGAACCCCATTTCATTTACATGATACAATGCTACATCTACACACCTTTTTTCTCCAGACGTTTCATGTCCATAAGTTTCTCAACACTGTGAGGATCCTGGAGCCAGAGCTGCATTCGAACAAAGGGCTCCCTGCCCTTTAGACTGAGCTTGTGCCATGGTTTGGGCCTGGCCAGCAGGTCTGAGACTGAACCTTGAGTCAGACCCAAAATAGTCTCTCCAAACAGGCGCTGGCCTGGATGAAAAAATGGGAAGTAAATAGCAAGTGCAATAAACCAAAGTCATCCCACTTTTGTAGTAAAAATAATCTTACCAAGGTTATTATCTGTCAGCACCTCTTTGACCTTCTTGGTGATGGCATAGGTATCAAGCTCAGGGGACATGGCAACCATTTCCTGGATGCTTAGACCAGCATGGCCCGGTATGGGCAGAGGGGTGCCAGGCTGAGACTCTCCTCCAGAGGGCTCTTCAGAGGGGGCTTTACCACTGGAGGACTGTGAGGTGAGTGGATCCCCAGCCAATCCATTTACCGACTCCTCTGCTGAGCTCAGGGGCGACTCAGGAGCAGGGCTGCAGCTGGCTGATGTTTTGGGAGTACCGTCTGTAAAGACAGTCAAGGTTCAAAAACACATCAATGCTGAGCTGTAGAGGAACTTTGCTTGTACAATGAGATCTGATTGAATTCCTGTTTATTTAAACCAGCAAAAGAAGACTAAGTTTGTGGTTTGAAGCTTTTTTGTCCTACTCCTTCATCTTTCTGTCTGTGTCTGTGTAGTACTGCTGTGCGGCTCAGCAGGCTGTAAGAGAGCAGTCATGAGGAGCTGTCAGTGTACATTAGCTGCTGTTTACACCCCCAGAGAGAAAGAGAGGCACGTACACACACACCGAGCTGCCATCTGGCGCTGCAACACTAACTTGTCTATGACATGACAAACCAGCAGCTTGCTGGCTGACACTGCCACGGCCACGGCACTGGGGATGGGGGGATGGTGGGAAGAGAGCGCATGGCTGTGTGAGGTGGGTGCTGGGTGGGTGCAGAGGGTATGTGGGGTTAGTGACAGGGTGACAGGAAAAACTAGCAATCAGTTTGAATCAGGATCTCCTCCCTTCAGTACCATTTCTTATGTTTGACACAATTGCTGTATGAGTAATTTGTATACCGTGATTTGGAGCTTGCTGGACGTGTGCGTTTTGCCCTTGGTCTCCATTGAGCCACGGTTGCATGCGAAGGTATGGCTCCCTGCTTCTCTGGTTCAACTTGTTCCAGGGTTTGTGTCGAGACAGACCATCACCAAGTATTCCCTGTGTCACAAATGTAACAAGTTACACATAAGTCACTTCAACAGAGCAGAAATGTAAACAGCGGTATGTGACTACTCAGATGACTTGACAACTTTCTCTTAGAGTGCAATGGGTTTGCAAGTGCAATGACTTTTAACAATTTGACTAATATAATTAATTACAATCTTTAACTGAACTTATGTTTGTTAATACATCACATGTATTTGATAAAAATGCCAGAAATTTGTTTTAGTTTGGTTTATCACTGCATTTTCCCAATTTAGAAGCTTCAGTCAGGATATTCATCTTCTCTTTGAACAGACATGTGTTAAAATCTCAGCTGTTTAATTAGTCTACCGCTGAAACAAGTCCACCGCTAGTCTACCGCTGAAACAATGCCGAAGAGCCCAGACACCTCACCTCTTTGGAGTCGTCCTGGTTGTGATTCTCCTCCGCTGTTTTACGAGGCTCAGAGTGCATGTTGCTCCACCATTGCTCTCTCCAGTAACCCACTCCTCCAGCACTTCCAGAGCGACCCGTAGCATCACGTCCCAGCCTGAGTGTTCCATCAGACATGTCCACTCCTGAAGATGGCCTTCCCTCTCTCTTTCCACTGGAGCTAAAGTCCAGAATCGGTGAAGGAGATGAAGGAGAAGACAGAATGGAACTGGAAGGCTTTTTGAGGGACAGTGCAAGGGGGTTATAAGGTGGGAGGGGGGCTGTGAGAGGTGAGCCCAAGAGATCTCTCTGAGATAAAGCAGAGGAAGACGATGATGATGCTTTAAGAATGGGCTCTAGAGCTGCTTGCTGGGCCTCCATTTCTCTCCGGGCCTGTTCCAGGATGGAGCGTATAGCCTCATCTGAGCCGCCGCCTCCCCCGCCTCCCTTGAGTCCAGTATATGAGGTTTGAGTGTGAGACAAGTCTGCTGAACACACAGGGAGACATTTTGTATTATATTCTTTAAACATAGCACAATGTATCACATTGGGCTCTGGAGATAAAAGTTGCAACTCACCTGCTTTCTGCACCTGCAGTTCTCTTTTGGCTTGCTCCAGAATGGACTTGATTGCCTCGTCTGAACCAGCCTCAGGTGTACGAACTCGTGCTGTAATGTTACCTGGAAAGAAACAAAGCCACTTGTAAGAACTTAAGTATTCCCTTACCCATGAGTTAATAAAAAATATAATGAATGATGAAGAAAACAAGCAGTGGCTTGCAAAAGTACTTATACTAATTAAACATTTGAACACTTTTTGTTTAAACCACACAAAGTAACAACCGACTCTGAAGTGAAAGCAATTTGATACATGATTTTGTTTTAAAATATAAAAACAAAGCAGTGGGACTTGCACCAGTATTCAACATGAGTCAATACTTTGTGGAAACCCCTTTTGCTGTAATGACAACAGTCTTTGTCTCTCACACAAGAGACAGAAAGTTTTGATCATTAGTCTTTACAAAACAACTCAAGATCTGTCAGATTTTATGGGCTATGTTTGTGAACAGCAATATTCAGGTCTTTCCACAAATGTTCAATTGGATTCAGGTCTCACCTTTGCCTGGGCCGGGCCATTCTAAAACAAAAGTTTATTAATACAAAAAAAAAAATGAATTCCATTGTAGCTGCAGCTTTATGTTTAGGGTCATTGTCCTCCGAGAGGGCAAATCACTGCCCCAGAAAATTTTCCTCAATCCATCAATCTTCCAATTTTTCATCTTTCTTATGGATTTCTTTAAACAATTGCTTTCTTCTTGCCACTCATCTATAAAAAGGCCTGATTTGTGTAGAGTAACATAATATTTCTCACAACTCAGCTGCAGAAGGTCCCAGCTCCTCCAGAGACATCTCAGGGCACATTAACATTTAATTTATGATCAGTGCCCTCCGTGTTCGGTTTGTTGGTCTCGATGGACCTCTTTGCATTGGGAAGTCTACAGTCGTGCATTTCCAAATAATGGATTGAATAGTGCTCCATGAGATGAGCTTGAGAAATTTTTAAGCTTTAAGCGTCTCCTCAACTTCTTAGCTGGAATTTCTGATACTGATTAGTGACCAATAAACTCTAAACAAAGCTCTGAGGCCATCGCAGAACAGCTGTAATCAAACTGAGAGTATAGATTAACTATGGGTGAGCTCTATTAAATCATTTGGGCAAATTATGAGCATTTAGCATTCAGCAGACAATAGAATATTTTCAATGTAATACCCTCCGAGAAGTATGAATAAAAGTGTATAATTTTGTTTCCACTTCCACTTTATTTTGTTGAGGTAGTTCAAATAATAAACATGACAAAATGTACGAAGGTTCGAGTTGTATTAGTACTTTGCAAGCCACTGTATGAACACACGTTTAAAACAATATACCGCACCACAACAACTACATTCTGCAGAGCTTCAGGGGAACTACACTGGGAGATGGCCGTCATGTGTCTCAGCAGCGCACATGCAGACAGACTACAGTAGAGTAGGGCACGCTCCCCGCCAAGTAAGAAACCACAAAATCCCTGTGTGCACATGCTAATTTGCTATATACGCTGTATGTATATGACTATACATATTATTACATCTACAGAAGGTTAATTTAGTTTTAGGGCTTCCATTAAAACAACAAAAAACACAAACTTCTCACACAAGCCTGATTGCATACACAGCATATATTTGATTCACCTCAACACAAACATGCCACACAGACAAAACGTGCTACAATCTCTGCGTGAAGGGACAGACCTGCGTGCGAAGCTGTATCAGAAAGGGTTCTCCGCTTCGGAACATCCTGAAACACCCGGCTAAGCTGGGGCTGGCCTGAGCCCTCTGTTAAAAACAATATTATCACACACTATGTTACACCAGATGTGTGTTTACTACAACCGCATCCATTTGATGCCCTGTACTACTGTTCAAATAAACTTTTAACCGCTGTACGTCTGTCCAATGCACACAAGAGGGCCACAACTTTATTGCTGAACAGAATGTGAAAATACTCTCATAGTAATCTAGGATCAGATGCCAGAATGTTTTACATGCAGAGCATTTTTCTGCTACGTTTCAAATACTGCTTGTACTATTGGATCTATGGTGCTAGTTTGTGTACTTTTGAGAACACCTTCAATCAGAAATGACTTGACGCGTTAACAAAAGCAGGCCAGGGCTAATCGAACATCCCCGTAGTTAACAGTACCCTTGCCTTCCTCTTTCTTTCCAACAATCAATACTATTGATGTGTGAAAGGTTTCTGTATTGACCACAATAGCTTGGAAAGGCTCTTGGGAACTGTGTGTGACAAGAAACTCACTCAAAACGCACAGGTGTGGCACAGGAAGGGAGTGAGAAAGGAGAAAATAAAAAAAGCCTAGTCTATATTGACACACTAATCAATATCTCAGTGCAGAGTTTTACATACACACAGAGATACACACCAGCCGCAGTCACACTTGGACACTGGAGACATGCACTCACCTCTTTGTCGTCCCTGGATGCTGCGCAGTGCAAGGATGTTCTGCTCATCAGCCAGAAACTGCCTCATCTTGTGGAAGGGCTCTTTCCCCCGGATGGTTAGTTTATTCCACGGCTTTGGTCTGGCCAAAATTTCACTGACGGAGCCCTGGGACAGTCCTAGCACATAGTGTCCAAACACACGTTGGCCAATGTTGTGCTTGATCAGCTGCTCTTTCACCTGCCGGGCAATTTCAGCAGTGTCCATGTCTTCACCATCCAAAACACTTCCGGTGGTGGCGTCTGAGTGACTGGGAGACGGAGAGGGGGCGCTGCCAGCTGTACTGCTCCCATTGACAGGAGCCATATCTGGGCTAGCAGGCGGAGGCTGAGGGCTGCTGGCGGCCAGAGGGATAGCTGCAGATCCAGGTGTGGAATTTGGGATGGAGCCAAGGGCAGGTGTGAAGGGGGTGAACAGTAATGCACCACTCGGGATTCCAGACGACTCCTGCAAAGCTTTGGAGTAGAAGGTCTGGAGCAGTTGGCGCTGGATAAGGGAGTTCAAAGCCATCTTGCCACCCACCAGAGGGAACACAGGCGAGTAGAAGTCCTGTCCAATTCCCGTAGGAGTGAAAGTGTGTGATTCGCTGCTGGTGGAGGTGGCAGTGTTCAGGGTGTCCGTATGAGTGCGAGACAGAGGGAGCGAAGAAGAGGGGAGAGAAAGAGGGGGAGGAGGGGACGAAGACGGATCGCCAGATGCGTTCTCCTTTGGCGAAGGCTCTTCTGTCCCTTTTCCTCCAGCTGACCCTACAGGAAAGGTCAAACACACCATGCATTATGGGGGAGTCAACAAAAAAGGGATTTTCAAAAAGAGAAAAAAAAATACAAATGTAAAAAAGTTATCTTAATCAAGTCATCAGATATTCCTTTTTTGCCAACCCCCCAAGACAAAAGTGCCCATGCATTTGTGATTTTAACCTTTCTTGTAAGCCACAGCCTGGAAGGAAAAAAGGACAAAGAAAACAACTTGACAGGGTGGAATTAGGTGAATTAGTTCCTTTTACACAGGTATATTGACCCAAAGGAAAAAGGTCCACACATCCATAAGGCCTCTGGGTCTTCTAACGTGGATCCTCATTCCAACACACATGTTTCCTGCTTTTTCAAAATCGTATTACATATATTAAAAATGAGTAAAACAAGGAGTATAGAGGAGATGACTGCAAAGCACAAAACATCTTTATCTATTTGAGCTTCGGCATGACTAAATAAGACAGTAAGCTTTTCTTTTGGTGAATGTTAATCAATTCAAAGCTATTCAACTATTCAAGCCCAGAGCCATGACATTTTAAACACACACAGTTGCAGAGGGCAGAAGTTCTCATGTAGGGGCAAAGAATATTGCCCTTTTACAATCTACCCATAGTATTATTATTGTTAATGTGACATGAAAACAGACAATTTTGTTACCATATTGTGTAATGATATAGCCTTTTATATTTAAAACAGTTCAATCCATCATATTCTCAGAGGAAAATGGGCAAGCCATCACACACATGCAGTGCAAAGACAGGCTGTGGCCATGTGTCTGCAGTTACAGGGAATTGTGATACAATGCTCAAAAGAAACTTACCACTGAGTTCTGTGTTGGCAATACGCAAAGCAGCAGTCTCAGATTGAAGACTACGGTTCCTTTCTAATAGCAGCACCTCTAGAGGTTTGGAGGAATCCTACAAGCAAAATTATGAGTGTAAAGCATAACTAAAGATTGAATCAGTCTCAGTTGCTGATTTTTACCTGGGCAGAGTCTGAAGTCCCGAATTCCATGGACTTGAGGATGCTGTGAATAAACCAGTGAAATATACATTTATCATATACATTTGAAAAACGACAATGGAATAAGAGAATGTAAAACATTGTAGGATTGTCCCCACCTCAACTCTTTCTTCACCTCCTCATAGTCAGCTTGGTTTTGCAGTTTCTCCTCCAGTTCCTAGGAGAAAATTTAGTAACATGACATGACAGTTCGGGAATATGACTTGTGTACACTTATTATTGGACTATTTGTAAATTATTACAACTACAACCTTGCTGCTGTCAATATATATTGATTGAAAAACAGAGGGCAAACAGTGCATATGTTTCATGTAAAAAGGAACCTCAAACAAGACATTTAGAGCTTGTTTGGCATGTTTTGTTTGTTTGGCATGTTTTGTTTGTTTGGCATGTTTTGTTTGTTTGGCATGTTTTTTTTGTTTGGCATGTTTTGGCAGTATTGTGTTGAAGATGAAATATATGGAGATATTACCTTCAGAACGGCAGTCTTGCTGCTGAGCTGCTGTTCAAGCTCAGTGATCTGGGACCCAGTGGTCTCTCTGAGTTTGGTCAGGCTGGCCTGCAGTCTCTGAACGTCCTCCACCAACTGGGCAGTCTCTCTCTCTTTGGCCCTGAGCTCCGCTTCCAGATTAGACTGTGCTGCTACCTCGCTTGCTTGCTCCTAAATTATATTTAAAAAAAATTGTCATATGAATTCAACTTAACTTGAAAATATAGTATAGTATTTCTCAACCTTCGGCATTTGTACCACTGGTAGAACTCTGTAGTTTATATATTTGTAGTTATTTTATATTATATATTATTAAGAAAATGAGACTTGAACCTTTATTTGTCCCATAGCTCATAGCTAAAAGTAATTAGAGAGCGATATCAGTCCCTCCAGGATTTGGCAATCGCAACTATGGCATCTAAAACTTTGTAAAAACATTGCAACTTTTTACATCAGGGGCGTGTTCATGAACGCACAGAGGCTCCTCTGTGAGAAAATGCTGCAGTTTTCATATTTTATTTTGCCTTCCTTTTCAGTTCAGCTCTCGGCCTATAGGTGTGACCTTTACAAGACACAAGAGAAACACAGAGAAACAAGCACATTTCTTTCTGCGTGCAACAGTGTAGATGATATTTTCCTCACATGTTTATGACCTTATGTGCACCTTAGGTGAATAGCACAAAGCACATTATGCTTTGTGCCTGGAAAAAGCCTGGATTCGGATCCAGGCTTTTACCTTATGCTACCTTGCTGTTCCATATCTGCCTTGTTGTCTAAATATAATGAAGCATTTATAACTATTTCTCCACTCCAACGTAAGCATCTGACACAGCTCTATTGTGACGACAGCAATTTTAGTGCATGGCTTGATAGAACTCTCCACAATTGTATTTGAGAACTTTTCATTTATATATATTTTTTATAAAATAATTATCTTTAAGGAAAACAGAATAATATTCAAAAAGGGTTCATTATTAAAATGTTCAACTTTTGAAATACTATTATTATTTAAATAATTATTTAGGATTGCAAAAATCATAAAAATGCCTGCAACATCCAGGGGGAGGGACTGTATCAGTGGACACGTTTACATTGCACATTATATTTCACATTACTTATTGTTACTACAATCCCATTAGTGATTGTATGATGTGATGAACTGGTGTGTTTTTAAGCTACTGCTCCTATTGGGACAAATCAAGTTTTTTTTATAGATTTGTTGGAAAGTATAAAGTAAATACTACTTGAAAGTTAAGTTGGTTTAGCTCTAAGTTAAGAGTCCAGTTTGAGAACTGGTTTCAATAGGGTGGTTCTCAGGAGGAGGAGAAATAGCAGATTTTAATTTAGATCAGATACAAATAACGAGCACTCTTGATCTCATCAGAGCCTGAAAGTGTCCAGCTAAACTTATCATGTCAAAACCAATGTGTCCACAGAGCACTAAATCAAAGGTGTATGTTACCATGTCAGAATCGGCCTTGGCCGGGCTTTGGAGAGGTTGAGATTGGTTACTCAAGGACATCTGTGCTCTGAGTGACTCCGCCTCCCTCTGAGCTGTTTCAGCCCGCTGAAAAGACAAAACAAAAATACTAGATGGACTCCCACCTCACCCATGTTTATTCTCATGTTTACTTTCATCAAATCCATTTCACACAACCATCCCATTTCATTTAGTTTGCTTTAAATATTCATTTAGACATAACTGCACAGTCTACTAGTCTCATAAAATTGACAGAAACCACTAGCAGTGATGCACAGACAACGGTGCCAAGTTGCCATCATTAGAAGTTACAGGGAGTTGATTCCACTGCGTTTGTAATTGCTACCATACTGTGACTCGTTATTGACAGGGTGTGAGCCGTTTTGTTATTTGCAGGAAAATAAATCCTGTTTTCCATTTTCTCCTTATTATAGTGTACAAAAAGTCTGGGAGTAAGCTGGAGGCCATGTTGTCATCCTCTGTAAACCTCAAGTTAGAAGTGTGAACAGTGCTGAATACGTGGAGGCTTTGTGTGTGTGTGGTTCAGGCTGAGCACCAACCTTTAGGCTAATATTAACATTACATGCCTATGCTACCCCTTTAGCCACAAATCATCCTCTTGGGCCAATAATGAAAGTTAACAACAATGACATTAACAGATACCACAAGAATATTTACAACTCAGGGGCAGGGGGGCATTTTTCGGACAAATGAGTTTCAAAGGTGTGAAGATACCATTATTCCTGAGATCAGGCTAAAAAATGTGTTTAAAAAATATATTTTAACATTACATTTTTGCCAAGAATACAATTAAATTATTCAGTTACCTGATTTGCTCGTTCAAGGTCTGTCATAACCATCTCAATTTCATCAGCCCTGCAAATATATAACCATATAACAAAATAAATAATCATAGAGAAGACAAAACAAAAACAAAAAATAGAATATTAAATAAGTCCTCTCGCTGTATTTAGTGAAATGTTTGACCTTAAGTTACAGTCTAAATTTCACCTTAATCCACTGATTGTGAACTCCATAACCCAAACAGCTTGTACGTTTGGATCAACTTCTGTATTTAAACGTGTGTGTGTGTGCGTGTGTCCATGTTTGTGTATGTGTGTGTGTGACAGAGAACATGTACTATGTAAGCCCCTAAACCCAGGCCACACTAAAACAGAGGGATTACATTAATAGAGCTCTAAGTCCTAATACAGCGGACTAATCTGCTATGAAGCTGTGTGATTGTGTCTGACTAATGGTCTGGACGGAGGCTGTGGTTCACCTCGCACTTGTGGAGGTCAAAGAGCAAATATACTAAGTTTTCTGAATGTATCCCAAAATGGCCACACAACACTACAGTAAAACACAAATATAAATCTTTCATAGAAACCACCCCTGGCCATCTTGAATAAGCTTTGCATGCCTCACTGCTAGAGTGAAATATGATTTTATATATAATTTGATTTAATTTAATGTTTATATACTATATATAAAAGAGAAATTTATGTGTAAAACATGTGCAAATTAGTTCTGTGCAGTTTGTGTGCTAAAGTGAATTAAAGTAAAGTAAATCCTTTATTATCGAGGGACACCAATGTGTTTTAGGTTAGGTCTTAACCTAAATATTCTGAAAAAATATAATCAACACTCTTTTGCGATAGATTTGATCAATTCGATGAATGGCTTCAGCCCTCGTTGCACCACACACATATTGTATGTCTTGCCGTTATAAAGGCCAGTTACACACGCATCATGTACTTTATTTAGAGCATTATTTACAAGATCAGTGGAGTATAGTGAGTGCACAAGCGCAAAAACATATGTGCACTGCTTCTTCCATTAAGATGTTTTATATCACTTCAGCCCTTTGATGGTGGACCCAATAACCCATGCCGCTTTTGTATTTGTGTGTCACAGTAGGAGAAACAGTGTAATGTCCCATAGGCTTGAGTACAACTGATTTGAATGTGTTTAACAAAACAGACACAGTTGATATTAGGTCAACATTGTGCCATGGGCAAAGCAGCAAAAAGAATCTGATGTGGGTGGGAGCTTTCAGTGTGTGCGTTTATTCTTTGCCTTACAGTTAAAAGGATCTAGTATGCATTTAAGCAACATAATAGTTCACTACCTCACAAGCTTTTATCCCGTCCTAAGCTATAGCGTGTTCTGCCCAGCTCGTGTACACACAAATGCAAGGTCAAAGAACCAACAAGCCAGAAAAGCTTGTAATGGAGAGTGTTTATGGGTAGTAATGCAACCCAAAATCCTCACTGCTGCTGTTCCAAATGTGATCATTTAATCAAAGTACAGATGCACAAAGTCTTCTTAAATAACCTTTGGATTTGGTTGTATTTGGGAATTATAAAGGCAGAGCTAAAGGCTGAGGGCCAAAGCAGATCACAGGGAAGGGATTTTCGACAATCCTGATACATTCACTCTTACCAGTCAATAAATCAAAAAATTAGGATTATTTATAAAAAGGCATAAACCATATAAAAAAAATAAACATTCCTGTTAGAGTATGATACTAATAACTAGTCAATAAATAAATCTGATCAAAGTAACTGAATATTAACCAAATTATCGTACATTTTGAACAATCTACTTTTGATACTAATTGATCAATATTTAGTTTCCGATCATTTTGATAAACTACTTTCTTGTAGTCTTGATTTGAGCAATGGTGAATAACATATTTCAGGACGTCAGAATAAGTACAGCATCAGCTTCATAACTGCACTCAAAGACTTAGAGTCACTTACACTCTTTTGCAGCATGAAAGCAAGTGGGTGCACCCAGTGACATCAGTGGAATTCTGAAAGGAGCCCAGAGCCTCTAAGCCCCTACTGTACTTGCTCCATCTCAGACAGGCCTTTTCATCTCTTATCTTGCCTCTCGTTGCTCACTCACACTCTGTCCTTTCCCCCTCGACCCTTCTCTTCCCTCTGCCCTGCACTTTGGGTCTTTTCATCCCGCTTCCTTCCACCTCCTTGCTCCTTCTCTCATCTCCCAGCCCGTGTCCTCAATGCCAGCAGGATATTCCCCTGATTTAGATTTTCATTTCCCTCCTCTATCACACTCTTATCCCCTCTTCCTCACTGTAGCCTGCAGCCCCTGACTTGCTTTTTGCCCTCTAGCTTTCATCACTCCATTCCTTTTCTTTCTTGGCTCTCCACATTGCGTTTTCACAGCGTGTTACCTTGGGGATTTCAAGGAGGCTTAAAAAGAAGCTAGCAGTGTGAGTGCATCTGTGTGTGAGCCATTTTGTCTGTGTGCCTCAGATGGACACAAGAAAAAAGACCTATTGACTGCAGCCTAATTATCAGCAATTAAATGCTTTCCCCAAAAGTGGTACCAAGAGCCTACACACATGCAGGACGGCACATAAACACGGGTGAGGCTTGCACACACGTAGCATCCTGTGGGGGCGGGGATCAATAGATCATTAATCTTTAACAGGGACTAAACGGGTAAAATGCGGGCAGCCAGACCCTCACAGCAGTAACACAGGGTGGGGGCTACACTATTTCTGCCCGCCCCTCGCCTGGTGCAGTTCAGAGGAGTTTCTACCGAATTCTTGCCAGTGTCTCTGTCCACTAGAGTGCGTGTTTTTTTAAAAGGGCGATTACCTAAATGCAGCTGGAGGAATGGGGGATTTGTCACGCTATGTCCTCCTTAGTGGAAGTTTAAATTAAGTGTGTAGATACAAGTGTATTTGTATATGTGCTGGTATAAAAACTTGAATTATATATCGGTGTCTGTTTTGTGCCAAAATGTATATACTCTCAAAGGGTTAAAAGTTGTGTTCAGTCAAACACAGGCGATTTGCTCAGCCAAGCAGTAAACGGGGGAAGGACTCCAAGGACTGGGAGGGTGCAGGGTTAGAGAGAGTTTGTGTGTGCTTTAAAGCGTTGCATTAAAATTTCAGATCACAGCACGCCACATAGTCAAGGACCCTGACTGCCTGAGGCTCATGAGTGAGTGAGCGCGTGTATATTTGAATGTGTGTGTAAGAGCGTGTGTGGGGAATGGAAAGGCATGTGTTTATTAGCTTCCGTAAGCAACCAGGCAACTGTGATCTGACTCAAAAGGAGAATTCAAAGATGGACAAAAGGAGGATTCAAGTGGAAAGACTCGGTAGGAAAAAATAGGAAAACAAATCTACACTAAAAGGCAAGATCTTCCAGTTGCCTTTACTTAAATACACACACACACAAACTACAAGAGTCATTTGTGTGACAAGAAAAATAGAGAATGGACAAAAAACCTTGATCAGTTTTTAACAGCCGATCAATTTAACAGCAGTGTTAATGGAGACAGCGTGTTAGGGGCTAAAGGTAAAGGTGATACCGCGGCTCATTCTCTACTTTAATATCAACACTATATTGGCAGATGGCAGCTAATGATTATTTTATTCATTACAAATATATGTTGGTCATTGAGGCCATGAAATTGCATGCTTTTCTGTAATCAAACTATAGCTAACTATTTCAGCTCAACTATGTACAGTACTATATACAGTAGGATCTGGTTTGTAGAAAAGAACAGTGCAGTGCTGCTGAACGTGTTTCATCTTTGAAATACTTCTTTGAAGCTTCTCGTATATGATCCATACTGACAAATTACAACATTGAAAGAACATTTTGGATTTGCTGGTATAATAAACTTAACAATAACTTACCAAGTAATAAACAGACAAACTGTTTATTATAATGTTAGAACCCCGTGTTAATTCTATTCTACATTGAAAGTCGTGTGTTTTTAGGAGACTGGATATGTTTCGTAATGTATTATGAGGGATAGTGCAGCTGTTAGGACTCTTCCTAATCATGAATGTGAAATACGTACTTTGCAGTAGACTCCTCATCATACTTTGTCTTCAAATCAAAGAGTTCGCCCTGAGTTGTTTCAAGTGCTGTAATAGAAATACCATTAATCTGGAAAACTTGAACACAGAAGTCAAAATAATAAATAACATCTTAATAAATATAATGGGTTTTTTTTAAGTTTGGCTGTGTAATTGAAAAGAAGATACCTGTCTGCAGGGACTGGACCTTGTGTTCTGCCTCCTCCAACTTTGATGACATGGAGTCCTGGCTTTCCTGAAGTTTCCTACGCAGTAATGAAGACAGCAAAGATAGATTGTTTATCAGTGAAGCTTGGATGCAACATTAGTGACAAATTCAACTTTACTATAATTTTCCCACCATTTCTGAAGTGTTTTTCCCCTCTAAAATCCTCCCAACACAACCCACTCCTCATTAAGCAGCCCTATTAGACAGGAATGTCTGGCCACTGGGGCACACTGCACCCCAGGGTGAGAGAGAGAGAGAGGGGGGGGGGGGGGGGGGGGTGTAGACTAAGGAGGGGGAAGGGGTGACAAAAACCACAAGGATAAAATATATTCATTTTTACTATAAAAAAAGTTAGGCTCTGCAGAGAAATTGCCACTGTGTGTAAAACATCAATAATCTAGCACAAAGACAGTCTTTATGGCACTCTTTGATGCCCCCCTTCTCCGCCAATCCGTCTCTCCTGTCATATCTTTTTTTGCCCTTCATCTCTCCCTCTCTCCTTCCCTTGCTCCTTGCTGGATAAATGCATCTGAGGTGCCATCCATTTACGGCCCCTCTCAGACACAGGAAGTCGGCTCTCGGCAGAGAGGAAGAAGGCTATAAAACACTGACGTACAGGAAATACACTTGGACAATTGATCCTCAACTCTATATCTAAAAAGAAAGAAAAAATGTAACAGAACACAAAAAAGTGATCAGATCTCTAATAGTGAATATGGTCAACATGCAACTTTGAATCTCTTTGGAGTTCCATCTTCACAAGGATTAAACAGATATTTACAACTTGAAGGAAACGTATGGAGGGAAAATGGAATCACAATCTCTTTTGTTGTTGGGACTTAACCTGAATAAAGAGCATGCATACCCAAGTGTCATCAAAGCAGAACCTCCAGAATTCGCTCCACACTATCTATATGAAGCAGGCCATTTATAAAAATGGTGGGACCTTGTCTTTGCTCGCTCCGGTAGCTCCTCAGCCACATTAGCATAGCATAACAAGCACTTTTACTGCATTTAAACATTTACCAAAATGGACTATACCAGTTTCGAACACAAATGGACTCTTCAGTAGCTGAGTTGGATTAGTTTGTAAATTTGTCTAATGCCTTTGTCTTGCCATATCCTGCCATACTTATTACTATTCCACAAAGCCACAATGCAGTCACTATCAATTTAGCAATGCTGCGTTCCAGGAGTTAGCATGTTCCCTATGTCAACACAACCACATATGTTCAATGTCAATTGTGACTCAATTAGTATTGTTAAATTTGCTGTAGGTGATTAAGTATGTCTGAAAGCTGTGTGTAATAATATAACGCATATAATAATAGATTATTTACACTGCGATTTATATTTCAACTAAAGTTGTGCTCTATCGCTCTGCTCACTACTTGAGCTGCGAGCATCACATTTGGCTCTGTGAGGTACCAGTATCAGTGCATCCATAATATCTACCTCTATTTCAAAACACAATAATACATTCAGTCAAATAAGTACAAAGATGCACCCACCTCTCCTTTTCTGCATAGTTGTTGTGTAGCTGCAACTGTTTTTCCTGGGCCAGATTCTCAGCTTGATTCTTTAGTGACTGCTCATATTCGCGGATTTTCTCCTTCAAATTTTTTATTGTTACTTCTGGGGGGAAATCACATTTGAAACAAATACATTAATTTGCATTCATTTATATTGTGTTAATCTAGAAATAAGAACACCCTAAATGGAAATACCCTAGGCTTAGGCCGGCTTTTACAGGGCTTTAGGTTGTGCTTGTGACCACAGCCCAAGTTAGCAGACTAAAATCATCATAGTATGGAATATTCAACATGCACTAAAGGTATATGAGCGATGTTCATTAGCACTGCATAAACTTGGAAACCCCATAACCTGCGGATGGCTAAACACTGTGTTCAGAGGCCTGAAATAAATCCAGCACATAACTGGGCTAATAAATAGGCCTTGATATGTGTGCGTGTGAGTTTCCCAGTGAAAGTGAGTGAGACAATGATAAAGAGCAATGCTGCCTGCTGCCTTTGACTGAGGGCTCTTAGCACAAAGCTATGTGTGTGTATGTGCATGTGATTTAAACTCCAGCCTCACTGCCATGACACATAATCAATAGAAGAGAGTCCCCTCAGAGCCCTCTTACCCCTTAACTGCTTAACTGAACTTTAAACATTTAGGTTGCAAGGATCAATGGCCTCTGCTCTTTTGCTGTGTGTGTGTGAGTGTGTGTGAGTGCGAGCTAGTGCGCGTGTGTTTAACAGGAGTGGGAGTTCCACAGTGTGTTTTGGGGTTTAAATATCCCCCATCTATTGAGGCGGGAAGGAGGGATAAAGGATGAGGGAACAGGAAAATCAATGGCAGAATGGAACCCTGCCGCTATCGAGCTGCTCCAATTAACTCTCGTGGAGAAAAGGGGGATTCCAAAACATTCCCACTCCTTCACTCACACCTCCTCATTTTTCAACTGAAATTACATCACTTTTTATTGCCACTTCTCACTCATCTCAACCCTTTTGTTGTCAGTTTTTTCCATCTTTCTAATACCCCGAGGTAGCCTGTCGTCTTTTATTCATGAAACTGTACCTCTTCACCCAGAAATCTATTTAAAATGTAAAACCTTGTACTTTTTGTGTTTGTAAATAATTTATTTGCCATTAAAATATGTTCAGATTCGCCTCTTTTACAGAGTAGGAATTTAAACTGAATACAAGCTGTGAAAAGGCACCATCTAGAATACCATTTACATTTTCAAATTTACAGAAAACAATTTAATAACAATGATCTTCAACTAACCTTGGTTCTTGACATCTGCAAACTCTTTGTTGTAGTCCTCCAGTGTCTCTCGAAGTTTGCTGTTCTCTGTCTCAATGTCATGCATCCTCTGGAGCTTCAGCTGCAGCTGCTGAGCCAGCTCAAGCACAGGTAGAGGATCTACCATACAAAAGACACTACATCAACACTGATCAAAGCACATTACACAAACAAGGGCGACACACCACTGGAGTTCACTAGGAATAACAGCATCCAAGCCCTGTGAGAGTCCAATTTCCCCTGGTGAAATGTCCTTCAGCAAAGCCATGAATCTAACAAGTCCAGAAGCACTGTACTGAGGGTAACCCTGGCCTATGATCTCCTTGTGCACTCCAAAAGGAACAGCAAGGACACTAAATATCACAATTAGTATTCTAACATAATAAGGCTTACAACTACTATGTCTCACATTGAAACAATATCAGCTCTTAATCAGGCCAACTCCTGCCAGCTCTGTGAACTGCTTCCACTGCAAATACAGTATGTACAAGGCTCACAACCAACTGATTAAAACAGGAGAACAAAGAGACTCCCACATTGTTTACTGCTCACAAAAAGGAAGGTCACAGTTTGTACTTTTCATGTACTGTATCACGCAACTTTCTCAATTAATTCTATTGACAATAGACAAATAGACAATGACACTTTTTATAAGACTATCGTCAAGGATCCAGATAAACGTCTTTGGTTGTAATGGAAAAACAAAGCACTGACTGCTGACACAGCAAAAATGTGAACACACCTGTAGTTATTCTCAGATTAAACTACTCCACTATGATCTGTTGACAGTAATGTGGAGTAGAAAAAGCAAAAGACAACCACATGTGGACAAGGCAGCGGCATGCGGAGGAGAAGAAGGTAAACAACAAATTAAACAAAAGACAAAATTTACACAAAAACAACTTTCAGAAGACATTTCACCAAAGTCTCTGAGCACACAGCAGGGTTAACTGTCATAGCAATGAAGAGAGCCCTGTCAGTCAGGCCAATCACATCTGATTGGTGCTCATGGGTGGCAGACTGGTGACAGGCAGCCAAGAGACGCGGGCGACGCTCATCAGCATGCCAGCAAAAGAGCAGTTTGTGTGTGTTTGTGCGTGTTGTCGAGATAAGAGGAACTGACAGCTTACAGCTGGGGGTAAAGACTGTATGTGTGTGCGCCTATTTCTGACGCAGTTAGATATCTTAACTATGCTAATGAGAGATCAGCAGAGACCGATTGGGGAATTCATGCTGATTTTGTGCTGTCAAGGTGACGCAGCATGCAGAGCCATGCACTCTCTAAATCACACATACGCTTCTCACAGTCTGATACAAATAAAACATCAAGGCATTACCATACACCTTGAATCCGCTCTCCTATCAGCCTTGGCATCCAACTTTCTCTGTTATCACACGTTCGCCCTTCCAAATCATCTGTACAGTCTGTTAAAAGCCTTTGACTTAAGGGCCACTGGTGCTGAACATTCTAACCAGACACCTTTAATCTAAAGCAGAGCACATTTGTCTGACTAACCAGGCCTTCAGCTGATAGAAGACAGAACAAAACACACTGTTTCCTTTTTCAAGACCATTGCATTAGTCAGGCTGCGCTGTGTCTGCGTGCGTATGTGCATCAAGCATTACATCATTGTCTCGCTGCAAGTTAAGAATAGCCTCGTCAGTGCTGCTGCTGACTTATTGGGAGCAGTACAATCCAAAGATATTACTGTAGGTCTATCCATGTGGGAATATGATGACCTCCTTACGCTATAGATGAACTCAACTTCTATCCCCTTCCTACATGCACAGCCCCTCTAGGATTCCAGCACTGCTGAAGATGTCCATGTGTGTCCATGCTCAGTTTGAGCTCTCTGGAACCTACAAGATGGACTTGTCAACCATATCAGGAGCCACCTTCTGCTAAGATGCTCAGCACTAGTGGGAATAAGATCTCTTGGGGAAACATTAACGTGCATGCTTGAAAGCACAAGAACAAACACCAGGGTACAGCGTTGTTGGGCTATCAGATACCAATATTCATGCTTCAAGTAATGATAATAATGCATTGCTTTTGTTAAGTAAGTAGTAAGTAATCTTTATTTATATACCACCTTTTTACTGCAAATCTGAGTCTCAAAGCGGTTTACAATTGTTAATTTTGGGCATTTGTCTCTCACTCCACACATGTTCAATAGTAGATCGAAAGATTGATCAGCTTTGGTAGATTTTGCAATGAATAAACACAGGTTAAAATGGACAGACTCCGATGACGTGGCAGTAACAGGGTCAGGGTCAAGTGTCTTTACCTCTACTCTCTCTTTACCACTACTCTCTCATGTGATTGGCTTTAATATCATCTCTAATAAGGGGGTTTTCAAAAATGTTTTGGGAGATTGAGATACCAGGATCAGCAAAAGTACAACTCAGTGAATATAGTATAGTAAAACAATATCAAGTCAGATGCACTTCAAGGACCCATGAAAATAAAACTAATAAAAGAATCCAAATTGCTTGCGTGAGACACTCTGAGAGTATAATAGTAGAATAAATTAAATAAGTTACCTGGTACATCAATAATTTTTTTGTAAACGTTCAAGAAGGCGGCCTCTGCTTCTTTACTCCTCTTACTCAAGGCATCAATCTGAAAAGATAAATCAGATAACATCAGATAAGAGCGTTGTATCAAACTATAATCAGGTCATTCATTAGTACGAGTGGTCTGCATATTTGTCTTTCCTCACTATGTGGTGTATGTTGCATTCTATCAGGGGATGTCTTGACGGTAGCTACGTTGGTGTTTCCTTCCTGTAAAGTCAGTTCAGCTGTTCCACTGATGAGTGATGCATTTCGTTTGCTCCGTGCATGTCCGCTTGCCTATCCAAGACTAAAAGTGCCCAAGTCCGTCTGTCAGTCCACACTGTGTGCGTGCCATGGTGTGTGTGTGTGTGTTTGTTTCCCCTCCAGCACGCTGACATCATTAAACAGCTGGCTCAGTCTTTCCAGCCACAGCGGGGGCAGATTATTCAGTCAGCTCTTAGCGGCAATACAGCACGGATCCATTACTGATGCAGCCATTAACACAAGGGGCCACGATGTGCGTTCCATCACAGATATTATTGAAATGGACAGCATTAGAACGGATCCATAAGAGATTAATTATGAAATCATGCTGAAAGAACTTAACTGCATCAGCACTGTCTGCAGCAGCCACCGTTCACACTTAAACAAGCGGCCCAGACAGCTATACTAACAGACATCTGAAATAAGAGTTGAAATTGAGGGAAGCAGATGCCAAATAAAGACATTCAGATGGTGCTACTGTACTGGGCAGAGCTACAGCTGACTCTTCTGGCTCACGCACTCAGACTAAACAGGCCTGTGCTCCTGTTCCAACTCCTCCAGCATGATCAGCTGGGAGAATGAAGACAAAAGTCTGTACAAGTCCAAATATAAAATCTTCACATTCCCAGCCAAACCAGTAGTGCAGTTGATGGGTGGTTTAGGGGTTCTTGCCACTGTAAACAGAGCAGGCTACGTGTAATACTGCCTGGGCTCCTATGGGAACCTAATAAATCTCCTCACATGGCTTTGATTCATCTGGAGTTTTTTAGCCGCAAAACATCTGGACTCAAATACGCTGGTGCCAGCTCCCCTCCCGCTATCCCCCATTTTATTTCAACATGTCTTTTTGCAAATTCTCTATTGTGTCACTTCCCTTTTGTAACTCAATCTTTTTTGAGGCCATGTTTTTCACATGCATTCACTGTGGCACTACCCTTCAAATTGATTATAACCTCAAATCTGACATTACCTTAGATTGTATATTTTGTATGCTCCCTGTGTGCTCTTACTACTGTCCTGTATGTGCGGTGCAACACTGAAATTTCCACCCTTTGGGATGAAAAAAGAATCTCTTATCTTATCTAACTTAGCATTAAAAGGATTGTGCCATGGATCACAATCCTAAATGAGAGACAATTGAATTACCAGTATCCCCCAAAACAGAACTGAAGATTATTCCAAACTTATTCTGCAAGAAGAATGTGTGTATAGCTCATACATTGACTATCAAGTACTTTAATATCTTTGTCATCTCACAAATCAACTGAAAAGTAATGAAGGAAGCCAGCTGCATAACTGTACAATGGGCCAAGGTCAGTGGTACAGCAGCTTTATATAGTCCAACATGGGAGGCAGGAAATAGATGTTTAATGTAGGACACACCCTACAGTTAGAGGCAGGTTAACTGCAGGACCAGAGCCATTAGAAAAGACCACCCAGGATTTGCAAATACAAGGCCGCAGTTTCTAACTTCAGATCTTTATAAAAATCCCAGTGACATTAGATCTGTTCTATACCCATCTTTACACGGGACAAGAAAAACAGATGAAGTGATCAAGATGATACAGCCAGTATCAGAATGTTACTGGTGAGAAGTGCTTGCAATTGCAAAAGGTCTACCGGGCACATTCACACAAACACAGGCACATACGTCAGCACCTTAGCTACCATCACTCAGCACCGCCTCGGTCCCGTATCGGAGCTGCCGTGTGTGAAGGGCATCGTGCTGACCTGTTCTATGTGTGGGTGGCCCGGTGGAGTCAGATAAGGGGTAGCTATGGGAAGCACAGACTGAAGCATTGGATAATGGAAAAGCTTATCTGATCGATGGACCAACAAGGAACAGCACAACATACACGCAACGTGCTTAGGCACTCTACAGAAGCGTTTACCAAACTTGAGCCTCTTGATAAACCTACACTCATTGATAATTTTCAATGATGATGTGTACATATTAAAAAGGACATAATGTACTATACATGTAGCGTTATCTTTTAATGTCTTGTTTAAGGTATTGGACAATATAACACCATGCTTAGCTTTCCATTCAAACGGTTCAGTTTTTTATATATTATAGGTATATTGAAACACCACAGTTCATTATTAAGGGAGTGCGATATCCAAATGTTTTGTTTTATTAGTAATCTGCAAAACGCTTTCGGATGAATTATTCCAACAGGGAGATCCAATGTTTCTGATGCCTTCTTGTCCTTGATCAAAGGGATGGAGAGTAAGCAAACAAAGGCAGGCTAAAATTACACATTCCCAGAGCTACTCATGTTGTGGCATGCAACTGCACAGAATAGTCGACTGATTGATGGGCTGCTCGAAGACTGGCGCGAGTATAAGGTATTATCTCAATAATCATAAGATAATGTCTTTCTCAGTTCCGAGACCACCCACTTTGCGTCTCCATGTATTTTGGTGTGCACACAGTCGAGGTGTGTCAACACGCGGATGGTGGAAACAGCTGACAAAGCCCCAATTATATTGCTGCCGTTTCTATTCTCCAAATAGACTCTGGATGATCAGCAGAACATAGAAGAACCACTATAAATTACAGCATTTTATGTAACCACTCACTGTGGTCGATGCTCTAACCTAACAACAAGAATATGGAGAATAACTGAGAGTTAAACAGAGCGGTTTTAAGGCCAATATCCACGTAGCCTTGTCACAAACTGTTGGGTTGATTTTGTGTGTTTCGATGAGAAGCACAAATGCTGTTAGGGTAAGTGTCCACCCACTCTAACCTCAATTACTGCCCCAGCCTCTGCACTGACTTAAATATGGGAGTGAACTGGAAATGCATGACTGCCAAAAAGGAGGAGCCCTAATGGAAGTAGGCCAAAATGATAGAGGAGGAGATAGGAATAACAGTGGGAGTATGGTATAAGTGGCCACAACATACTCAACCACACAACTTAAAGAACCTTTCAAAGTGCAAAAATGTATGAATAGGAATTACAAAAATGGGCTGATTGACCATGAAGACAGAATGCAGAGTAAAAGACCAAATTGATAAGAAAGCATCTGGAGAGTTGTGAGTGGCCAAGAGGAGCTTTTGTAGGGACTTTTTGCAGGATGCAATTTAAACACATCCTCGGGCTACTGGACATCATGAATAGGGGAGAAAATCAAGAGCAGAGCTAAGAAAAGTGATGGGAAAAGGGGAAATGAGATCATGGTAGAAGAAATAATGATCAGGGGAACAGAGGGCTGATCGTCGCATTGGCAACAATTGAAAATTACATATAGTATAGTATAGATATATGTATATAGATAGAGTCTCATGTATGATAGGAACTTACCTCTCCTTGGAAGCTCTTGAGTAATGGTGCAACCTGTTTCCGTAAATCCTGTGAAATACAATAAAAATTAGGGAGTTCAGAATTAGAGATGTACTGAACCAAATAATTTGTCAGTCGAATATTTGTATTTTGCAGCTATTAGATTTAAAAAATGTAATTAAAAACACACACATTGTTTCAACCATACAAAGTTGAAACCCTATGTGCTTCAAGCCTCTGGGAAATGCGCACACATATCGGTGTTGATGATTCTCTGTATCTCTGTATTCTTTACAATTGTAGATGATTCCTCCTGCTGTCCATAATCCAATTTGGATGTAAAATCAGACATTAGTCCATTTTATTTATGCTTGATCAGCTGTGGCTCGCCAGTACATCACCTAATTAAAGAACCAATCATGACACGCAAGTGTCTTGTGCATAATTAGTGTGGGTGGGGGCAGTTTAGCCTCAAGTGCCCTTGTGGGTCCTTTCTCATAAGAACAGGTGCAGCACCACCTGGGCCACCCAGAGGCATATCCAGTGCGTGTGAGACGCAGAATAGGCTTACATTTATAGCAGAGGACATTGGGGAACCAAACTCTTTGAGTAAAGCAAATGCTTTTCTTCCTGTCAGTCCCGTTGCATGACTTTCCAGTACAAGTCAGTGGTTTGAGATTAGATAGCCAGTCAAGTATGTATCAGGGGAACATGCAAATCACCATGCTGTTAGCTGAGCCTACATCCCTCACAAACTGAACTGGAGCGTACGGTAAAAGCACCGCCGAATAGAACATTCTGTCCACGGACATCTGATTTGCACACTTTGTGGACTCACACAAAACTCAACATGCCCAATGAAGACGTGAAGTCGAATAAAGACGTATCAGTAAGAGCTCTTCACAAATGTCCTAAAGTGAAGAAATTGCTCGTTTTAAACTCAAACTGACCTAGGACAGACTCTCCACTTCGCCAAGACAGAGCCAGACAGGCCACTTGTCTGGGCTGAGGACAGGTTTTGACCCTGGTGACCCTGGTCCATTGTTACCTCATCAGGGGTCACCAGAGCTGTTTGTCTGGGCCAATTCAATATTCCCAGCCAGGATAATGACCCACACTTGGGCGACCCATCCCCCTCTGCTTTATCACACAGAAGCGTGAACAAAACACACCACACACGCAGTCTGACCTATCAGTAATGATTACATTAACATGGGCTGGGAGATTGTAGACAAATATCTATTTATAATTTAACGGAACAGTTTAATATACTATTTCTGTTTTAACAAAACACATTTACACATTACACCATTAACATTTGAGGCAAGACTGACTAATACATCTAATTAAAGAATTTAGTAATTGAATGTATTTTGTAAATAGTCATATGGTTTGTTTGCTGATGGTTGTCCGCACAACTGCATTCTACATTGATCAGATTAATCCACATTCAAATCAGACGCAAAGGCATGCCACTGGTCTGGTTCCAGCTCCTTGCCTCTATACCCTTTGGTCCACTCTTCAGTGCTCCGCCTACTTGCCCCCACTGCTCCTAAGATTTATGAGCATATAACATAACAATGCACACAGAAACGATGGTCAGTCTGGCTGTGTGTGCAGAGAGGGGAGTGGAGGGGCCAGTAGTGGGAGATGGATGACTGGTGTGTAAGCTGCCGGCAGACAGCAGACAGGCCAGCCCGAGGAATCCTCCTGGGAGTATGGAACTCCCATTCGCTGTCTGTCTGGCCTGCAGCTAAACACAAATGTGTGTATGTGTATGCATGTGCACACACCAAGTTGTTTTACTACCACTGCCTCTGGCTACCAATCGTTGCGACATTTTACAGCCAATCCCACCCATTCCTTTATAACACCATAGCTCGAAAGATTTTCCCAACAAAAAATAAATTAAGATGTGGATGAATAATTGAGTAAACTTAGGAAGCTCAGCGAGATGCAGTCTCAAAAAAATCCAACAGTGTGTCAAAGCTGATGAATTATGAAAACTTTGTTTTCTGACAACATTTCTTTGCACTACTTTGAAAATGCTACAGTATGTGCACATGCCATGTGCACCACTATGCAGGCCGTGAGTGTGGTTCACGCCGAGTACAGCTCAGCAGACTAGACACAGTCAACGTGGGCTGGTCTCCTGGTTGTTGAATAATGGATCAGAGACGGACTCCCGCTCAGCTTAATGCAGTCTGATCTGATGTGACTGTGATCTCCACTGACTGGTGCGGACCACAGAGAGCTGACAGGCCGTGATGTAGACTGGTCAACCACACACCAAGAGCCACGAAATGCACTTTCAGAAAATGCACTTAAGACTACTTATATTCTTTCATCAAGAGCCTGCCATGGCAGGCAAAGTATGCACCCAGTTCTAAATGTCAATAATCTTCAATTGTACAATGTTTGGTGGGGATTCCTATTGAGCCTGTAACAGGCCTGTAATGAATCCTGTCGCTCGTCTGGCCGAGCTCAGATTCCTCCTCCACATACCAGAGAGATGCCAGGGGCCACACAGACGCCAGACGAGCCACCCTAAATCACAGCCTTGTTACACTGATGAATGTGTATGTCCTCTCCTCTGATCTGCTCTGTGTTGTGCAGCATGTTTCCCCTGTGCGTATACCACTTTGACTCCATGTATGTGCACTTGCCATTCACATAAGTGTAGCTAATCAAATTATATTCAGGTACTCTGATCTACCTCCGTATTGTGAGTCACAATTCATATCCTTTGGTAGCCTATCTGTAATAAGCCAAGTGTTAAGTCCATTGAGGGTTTACCATTTTCTATACACTGTCTTCTCCTTTCATACATTATTCACAGCGCCATCAATAATTCACCATGGTGACATTACCAATAATAACACAATACATTGTTTTTGCAGTGTGGTTTAAAATATGTTGCCTTGGTAACAGAGATGAAACAACAATTCCCAGGAGGAGAGCTGGGAACACAGGAACAGGGCAGAATTCCCTCCTGATCCCACTTAGTAGTGTTGTCACACACTTTTTTCCCTCTCGCTCAGCTCTGCTGCTCACTGTCTGTCTATCTCCAGCACACGCACACACCAAAGGGCCGCACTTTCTGCTCGCTGAAAAACTAGGTCAGATAATACAAACTCCTGAGGGGATTTCTGTTTTGTCTCTTTAGGATTTCAGGGAAACTAATGGAGGGACTATTTTTGGGAGCCAACCTCGCATCTCTGTGCCGTCTCCCCCCCTGCTTTTTGAGTAAATGATCACTCCTATATTTATGATGTAGAGGAGATGTGAATGCTGAGGCCAGCTATTGGAAGACAAAGAACTGTTGGATTCACATTAGTGAGGTATTTGTTCGACTCACCTCTGGTGTGTTCTTTTTGAAGTCGCGGCTCAGGTCAATTAGTTTCTTTCGGGACTGTTCACTCTCGTCTTGTCTGTTGGCAAGCTGCGTGGCAGTGGCATCTAGTTCTTTCTGCAAAACAAGAACAACCAAAATTGTTAACATTGTGTGTGTGTACAACCAATACTTGCTAAATCTACCTGTAAGAAGAATTATAAAGATTTCCCATTCCGAAATGAGAAAATATTGGTGGCCAAGAAAACTTCCCTCAAAGTGCCGCCATGTTTAAGAATCCGACAGTTCAACCACTGATGTTTGTTGAGTTTTTACATCACCAAGGGATATTGTGATTGTCTTGGTTTTCCTTTATGCAGGATTTCCAACTGCATAGATTTAGCTAGTGTGTAGATGTGATGGTCATATTTTGTGACTATGCGAGGCCTATACACTCTGAGTGCACGTTCTATTTTTCTCTATCAACAGTTCACCCACTGTCTGTGAGCGTACCCCTGCTCAGCATCAGCCTTTGCCTTAAATTGTCCGTCTCATCACAATGAAAAGTTATTATTATTAACTTGCACTACGTTTACGCGTCAAAGAATCTGGGTGTAAATTTTGGGTATAAACTGTAAGGCAAGGCAAGGCAAGTTTATTTGTATAGCACAATTCATACACAAGGCAACTCAAAGTGCTGAACAAGATAGCATTAAAATCAAATAATCACAGAACATTAAAAGGAAAGATAAAACATAAAATCCCTCAGTTGTATGCACAGCTAAACAGAACTGTTTTTAACATTGTCAGAGAGGAGGCCTGTCTCACATCTTCACGAAGATTGTTCCAGATTTTAGCAGCATGAATCTGAAAAGCAGCCTCCCCATGTTTAGTTCTGACTCTGGGCACTAACAGGAGTCCAGTCCCTGTGCTCCTCAGAGTCCGGGCTGGTTCATATGGGACTAACATGTCACTAATATATTTTGGAAATGTAATAATAACATTTCCATTATTACATTTATGTAATAATGTATTATTACATTATTACATAATAATGTAATAATAACGTCTGGGTTGATAAATTACCTTCAACAGATCAGCATTTTGGCTGATTTGAACATGTCCCTAGTATATTTCATTGAGTTTTACAAGTAATGTAAAATCGCGCTTTCTTTTTTTTTATTTGTCCACTAGTATGCACTTGCTACTTGAAACTCAGATACCAGCTCCATGTTTCGACCTCCGCCCACAAATGTAACGCACCATTAGTTCAAAACACATGAGCCTGGCAACAAGTTATTTTGATTACATTGGCAGAAAGAACTACGTGAGTCTACCATTTTTTTCCTCAGGCCTTCCCCATTACAACAGCACCATTTATTTAAAAAAATTAAAGAAAAAAAGAAAAATAGTGTTGTCAGGGCTGATGTAGGTCCCACAACTATTATCTTATATTTCATATTAATAGATATTTATGAAATTTGATCTAGATGATAGGACAAGTGCTGACATTAACAATGACATTAACAGTGTCGAGATTATATCTTGGTGCTGACTGTTGGATTATATTTCTGTTGGATTCTTGCCCTAGTTTGCCCGCTGATTTTTCTCACCTCCCATTTTTCCATTCACTTCACAGATTATCCAACTCACTCAGTGCTATCCCATTCTCTGCCCCCCCCCTACACCTCCTGTGAGGCTCCCCACCCCTGAGAGTGATTAAACGCTGCTGAAGGGCCGTTATGCTAACTAACACACTAATCATTTAATACACACATTACCACAGGGGCCCTTGTGGCTCAGTCTGCTGACAAGGTCCCAAAAGCACACTCATGTACACAGCCCACCGCCTCACACCAGCTCACACTGAAAAAATACATTCCACGCTGATCAAGAGCTAATTAGACAACTTCACCCATCAGCGTTAAGTTCATTTTTTCCTTAGCTCTGATCTTGATATATCCAAACGTATTTAGGTTATATTTTCAAAAATTATAACTTATAATTGGACCAAGTACAAGTAAAAAATATAGCGACTTGGTGGACTTTTTGTATGTTTTTTGTTAGTTTTTTAAACAAACAGGAAAAACTACTCACTTGCTTTCCTGCTATCCAAGTGGTTGATGTAGCAGCCTGTCTGCCCATGGCCATGGAGCAGCTGCATTGTATGTTAGTGAACTCGAGCGTGCGCACAAGCTTGTTCAAAAGGCCAATAAAAAAGAACCTAATACATTTTAATCATGTGAAATTAATTGTCAAAAAATATGCTCCAGTTGGCAATTTTAAGTGCATTATATCGGCTTACGTATTTTGCCAGGATGAAAAAAGTTTTCAATCACACATTTATATCATAATTGATCTTGGAGAAGACTCTAATAGATGACTATTCATGATTTTTTTTTTTATATCATTATCAACATATTTTTCCCCAATGTGAAAGACAAACATAAAACAATAAAAATTGAGACTTGTCACATTTAAATTTACAATTCGCTATAGATTTACATGATCAGATGAATTATTCTGAAGTAGTTGCAATGCCCACAAAAAGCTGTTTATTATATCATTGGCCCACATTCATAAATGAAAATGTGCCTCATGCTGCAGCTTCAGTGTCTTTGTAAGAAAGTGTGCTTGGTACTACAGTTCCTTGCGAAAGTATTCGGCCCCCTTGAACCTTTCAACATTTCGCCACATTTCAGGCTTCAAACATAAAGATATAAAAATTAATTTTTTGTCAAGAATCAACAACAAGTGGGACACAATCGTGAAGTGGAACGAAATTTATTGGATAATTTAAACTTTTTTAACAAATAAAAAACTGAAAAGTGGGGCGTGCAATATTATTCGGCCCCCTTGCGCTAATACTTTGTAGCGCCACCTTTTGCTGCAATTACAGCTGCAAGTCGCTTGGGGTATGTCTCTATCAGTTTTGCACATCAAGAGACTGGAATTCTTGCCCATTCTTCCTTGCAAAACAGCTCGAGCTCAGTGAGGTTGGATGGAGAGCGTTTGTGAACAGCAGTCTTCAGCTCTTTCCACAGATTCTCGATTGGATTCAGGTCTGGACTTGGACTTGGCCATTCTAACACCTGGATACGTCTATTTGTGAACCATTCCATTGTAGATTTGGCTTTATGTTTTGGATCATTGTCCTGTTGGAAGGTAAATCTCCGTCCCAGTCTCAGGTCTTTTGCAGACTCCAACAGGTTTTCTTCCAGAATGGTCCTGTATTTGGCTCCATCCATCTTCCCATCAATTTTAGCCATCTTCCCTGTCCCTGCTGAAGAAAAGCAGGCCCAAACCATGATGCTGCCACCACCATGTTTGACAGTGGGGATGGTGTGTTCAGGGTGATGAGCTGTGTTGCTTTTACGCCGAACATATCGTTTTGCATTGTGGCCAAAAAGTTCGATTTTGGTTTCATCTGACCAGAGCACCTTCTTCCACATGTTTGGTGTGTCTCCCAGGTGGCTTGTGGCAAACTTTAAACAAGACTTTTTATGGATATCTTTGAGAAATGGCTTTCTTCTTGCCACCCTTCCATATAGGCCAGATTTGTGCAGTGCACGACTGATTGTTGTCCTATGGACAGACTCAGCTGTAGTTATCTGCAGTTCATCCAGAGTGATCATGGGCCTCTTGACTGCATCTCTGATCAGTCTTCTCCTTGTTTGAGATGAGTTTGGAGGGACGGCCGGGTCTTGGTAGATTTGCAGTGGTCTGATACTCCTTCTATTTCAATATAATTGCTTGCACAGTGCTCCTTGAGATGTTTAAAGCTTGGGAAATTTTTTTTTTTCCAAATCCGGCTTTAAACTTCTCCACAACAGTATCTCGGACCTGCCTGGTGTGTTCCTTTGTCTTCATGGTTCTCTCTGCGCTTTAAACAGAACCCTGAGACTATCAAAGAGCAGGTGCATTTATACGGAGACTTGATTACACACAGGTGCATTCTATTTATCATCATCAGTCATTTAGGACAACATTGGATCATTCAAAGATCCTCACTGAACTTCTGGAGTGAGTTTGCTGCACTGAAAGTAAAGGGGCCGAATAATATTGCACGCCCCACTTTTCAGTTTTTTATTTGTTAAAAAAGTTTAAATTATCCAATAAATTTCGTTCCACTTCACGATTGTGTCCCACTTGTTGTTGATTCATGACAAAAAATTAAAATTGTATATCTTTATGTTTGAAGCCTGAAATGTGGCGAAATGTTGAAAAGTTCAAGGGGGCCGAATACTTTTGCAAGGCACTGTATATTGACCATAGACTTAAAGCTATTTATAAGCCCTTTTCTTGCAAATTTAATACAAATTGACATGCATCATGCTGTGAGGTCATAACCAATCCCAGATGACCTTGATTCTGACCAATCCCTTCAAATACATCCAAATGTGTTACCAAAACACCTCACCGCAGTGCAATATAAAACATCTAAATGAAAGAGGATTGATTCGATGCCAAGTGGGTGAATGTGGCCTCATAGTATCCTGCTGGAAAGACCCTCGGTGCCAATCAGATGTTTATCAACGCAGGATGACTGAACGATATACCATATTTGTGATTATAATCGCATAGCACCATTTTGATGAGATTGGACAAAAAGTCAAACTCAAAGAATCTTTCTGCTCTCTGATTGGATAATCTGCTTGACAAGGTAATTATTATATGGAACATGTCCATTGTATTTATCTCCAGCAACGAGTGAAGCGGAAGAAAATGCATTGCTTTAGTGTTTATTTTCATTTACAATAAAGAATAAATGTAGTAAGAAACAATGTAGTGACCTGAGCCACTCTGTGAAAGCAAATACACAGCGTCTACACAGCAAAATTGTCTCAAATTGTCATTGTGTATTTTTATTTGACAAACAATAAATCGATTTATCCAATCACATACAATGTTTTTTTACAAGGCCCCACCTTCTGGAATACATCTCCTTTTGAGAAATCCCAGATCTTTGTAAGAAGCTTAGCAAACTACAAGGATCTGGCTAGAGTCAGGTTACGTTTGATGAGGGCAAATTTCACATCTCTGCTCGTCATGTGTCATAATTCTAAAAAAACAGGGTTCAGTGCTGGGAGGGGACACAAAGCACCAAAAAGTCTTGAGAATCGGGTGGCAGCCGTGAT